CTGCGTCAAAGTCTTCTGAGTAGTACCTGCAGTGAGTGATGCTCTGAGCACTTCTGCCAGGAATGGCTGAGGTAAGAACAAGGACACTGACCAGACTCTGGAATCTAGAAAGATCTCCTGCGAGAATCTCCTGCTCAGACATCTCAAAGCCCGCCGAGTGTCGTCAGGATTGAATCCCTCTAAACAAGACCTCTCGTGAGTGATTCCTCATGCACTTCTATTAGCAGATATTCAGGTGGTAACAGATACGCTTGTCCACTCACCAGAAGTCTTGGCACTTTCAAGACAACGGGAACCCGCAATAAATCAAAGACCACTCCAGCGAACTGCTCGCGCAGCCACATTCGACGATTATCCTTGGTGGAGACCCTGAGTACCGACCATGGCGTCCCACACTGCCAAGATGGAAAAGACGTCAGCGATAAAGCCCCGACGGACCATGAAAGGCCATACCGACGACGTACGAGATGTTGCACACCTGCCTGGCGGGCAGCGCATCATCACATGTTCGTTTGATGGCTCGCTCCGATTATGGGACCTGGAGAGCGGTGCACAGATCGGCGAGGACTGGCGAGATGAGGGGATTGAGGCGGGAGCAAGTACCATTGCATTATCTCCAAACAGCAAGACTGTTGCAAGCGGAAGTACGGATGGGACAGTGATGTTGTGGGGGTGGAGACAGGGAAAATCATCGCCAAATGGACACGACACACTTAAATTCGTGGCGTCAGTGTGCTGGAGTCCAGATGGTGAGGAGTTTGTGAGCGGATCAGAAGATGGGACGGCAAGAGTGTGGGATGGTGAGAGCCGGCGAACCGTCAGGGTCTGAATCCAATCAAGACCGGGCACCAGTTCCTGAATGCGGTGAGCTATTCGCCTACCAGCCAAATGATTGCGATAGGGGGGACACAACGTTGGGAGTCGAAATCTGGGATGCCAAGACGGGCAAGTTGCTCTCCAAATCGAAGACAGGCATGCTTTGAGCTGTGCCTGGACATCAGACGAAAAGAAGCTTATCTCTGGGACATATCACTGGATTGAGATATTTGACACTGCCACATGGCAGCAGATCGTCGTTCTTGAAGGTCACACTCAAAGTGTCCCACACCATCACATTATTTCGTGAACGACCCGTCTTCTTGCGAGCACATCATACGATGTGAAACAGCGCGTCTGTGGGATCTCGACACGAATCTCCCGGTCGGTCCACCACTCAAGCATGAAGGACGACATCAAGTTCACCGTGAAATGTGGGCAGGTGCAGCCTTTTCCGCTGATGGAAAAACTGCTCACAACTTGCTACAACAACAACGCGTACGTATGGGACGTTCACGCCATCCTACACGAAGCTGGGCCTCGAAGATCTCCTGTCTATACCCCAATGTGAGTGTCAACATATCACCGCTCTGTTTAAAGTCCTGACAGTGTCCACTATCAGGCACCAAAAGACAAGGTATGCATCATCTCGTGGCTCTTCACCAATAGAACATGCTAATCTCTCACTCGCAGAAGTCCTTGTTAAATGTATGATATGCCCTTGTTCATATTTTCTACCATTGTAACGTGATGGATATCTAGGCTGATGCTACGCGGCGTCCAACTCCCCGTCGACTGCAACCAGGCTTCTTTGATGGCGCCCCAAACCGTGCTCGGGTGCGTCACCACCATCTCGTTTTATTCTTTTTCCGACATTTATGCTCTCAGCCCTCCGCTATGGGTCTCCACCCTCATCCACACCGCCACCTTGCATCATCCTCGGGGTCAGGTTCACGTGCATTCCTCAGTCGCATTCCCTCCCTTTTCCGCCGTGCCCAACGCAATGTTGATGAAGCGACTGAACTCCAACAACGCCCAAGGCAAAGCATCTCCTCTCATCACAGCCCTCCTGTTGTTGAAGTTGCTCCAATACGAGATAAGCAGGTATGTCTTTTTGGGTGTGCTCCAAACAACTCGTGTCTGATGATTTCCCTGTAGGCATTATATGTTGCTCCGCCGCGGAAAACAGCTAGTAACACAGCCAGACGCATGAAGAACCCCAAATGGTTGGCTCGTGTGGTGTTGTTTCTCTGTTGTGTGTCTCCTGCTCCCGACGACGGTCATCGCGCCACATAGAAAACATTTCATCTCACCATGTATTTTCCCTTTCTTTGTGATCTTGTTGTAATTTTTTTCGCTATCCCATCAATATCATCCATTGACGTCTCACATTTTGTGCGTCTCTGGTAGTCTCATATTCGACCTAGCACGAGCTCGTAGTCGGTTGACTGCACCCGACGAGTGCGACAAGTCGAAACTGAGGATCGCGGTTTAGTTTTTCTGATTCCAAGTCAAGGTTTAACAGGCTTTTTTTCGTAGCTGTTCAACCACACCACCCGTTGGCCCTGCATAGGTTTGATTCAGCACGATTCGTCACTCGTTGTATTCCGCTCCAAGCTGTTCATTGATCATTACACGATAACCACAACAACATCCTCAAAACAATTGAAATACGGAGATCCCAAGGATAATACATACAATAATTGTATAAGTAATCCACAGTCATATCGTCTATCGTTAAATAATATAAATAAAGATATAAATGGGAATGCCACGGGGATTGGGAATGCTTGATGATGAATAAAGTTATCGAGCGTATAAAACGATGAGACGACGAGGGTCGTATTCAAGCAACTTGAAGGAGGCGATGAGGAGTCCGAGGTGATTTGTTGTGGATGTCAAGCACGCGGCCCATTCCAATCACCAATGTTACGAGTCACGATACCTCACCGCCCTCCCTTCTCCATCGAGGAATGGGGACTCTCAACCTCACAGCGACCTCTCCGTCCCTTGCCTCGTGTGGGTGTAGGGCGTCGTGTGTATTGGAACGAGACCCGTCATGTAGGGTAGACAGCGGTTCGTCGTGCGTGAAAGAACGTGGGTGAAGACTAGAATGTGACTGTCGTTCGTCGTGCATGCTCATGCTATGATGAGGCCCATCTTGTACGCTAGAACGTCGCGCGTCGCGTGGAGAAAGTCGTTCGTCATGCACACTAGACCGTCGTCCATCCACTTGCAAACTCAACCGCCCAGACCCAGACCCATCACTCACCCCAGACCGCCTCCTCTCCCGCCCACGCCCACTCCCAGGAGCTTCTTCATAACTCGCTAACCCCGCTAAACTCGAAAGTGGGGGCACACCTCCGATGAATCCTTGTGATGCGACGCGATAGTCTGGTGCTGCGTTCGCATTCGGGTCTCCATCCAGGAGGCCGCTTGTGTTGCCTTCGACACTGACACTGACGCCCACACTCACACCAACGCTCCCTTCGACGACACCCCCGTCCCCATCCAAATCCTCTCCAGATCGCCCACCATGCGAATGCGACACCGAACCAACGTCCGTAAACCCCCTCCCCCAAATGGCACTCTCCGCAATCTCAGCAGGAGGCGTTCGTGGACTATGCGGTGAATGCGTTCCTGTGAAATAAGGCGTTTGGGCTCTGCTTGCGTTTCCGCCTATGCTGAACGTTGTGTGGCGTGAATGCCCATGTCCGTGTGCGGGGTATTCGAGTGGTTGAAGCGGCGACACCAAATTCCCAAACGATCATGAGTGGCCCCCTCCTGCACCACCACCAGCCCCAGGAGAAACGCTCGCCATCCCCAACCCATGCCCATGCCCACCCATACCCACAAGACTCGAATAACACACTGATCCCCCGCTGAACCACCCACTATGCAGAGGTTTCATTGCGATGCTTAGAAGAGAACCTCTGGTACGGGAGGCTGGTGGGCTGTGGGTGTATATCTCTGGGTTTGATACTGGGATTATGGGTGGTCTGTGTGGGTCTGCGGGAGATAGGGAGATGGGTGCGGGTGCGGGTGCGGGTGCGGGTGCGGGTCTGTGTGTTTCGGGAACAGAGATGGGTACAGGCACAGCTGGGGGAGGCCCCATCGTCCCATAGGCATGTACATGTCCCCAAACGCGCTGTTCGAGACTAGGAGCGCGCGAAACGAGTCGACTGGGTACTTGGCTTGTAGGGTCTGAATTCAAGTGTGGCGATCGCGGACGACGAGATAAGAGTTCTGAATTGACCCAGTCGAGTACGCCATGCGGGAGCGTATCAGCGTGGTGCACATGCGGATGGAAGCGAGCTTGCACCCGGGGAAAAGGACTTGCTGAGGCCTGGTGTATGGGGATGTATGGAGCGGAGGATACGTATGGATTTGCAACGCGCATGGTAGATAGAGCACGCGGACGCCTTTGGCGAGTGGGATAAATTTACAGAGGGCAGTGAGGGTATCACCTGCAGCCCAAACACGACGAGGGAGTACAAGCTTTTTCGGGCCATGTGTTCTCGACCTCGAGTGACTCTGGTGCAAAGCTGCGTATTAGGGTGACGGGATGTGATGCGGTGAGGTTATGTAAGAGGCCAGCGCGGACTGCGGTTGCGCGAAGTTTGTAGGAAATGAAAGAGGAAGGGTTGGTGGCGGGGAGGTGTATTGAGGATGCGAGTGTTCCGCCGAGTGCGAGTGAGAAAGGAAAGACGTGTTTGCTTGCTTTGAGGGTATGTCAGTGGCGTTTCTCGCCTTCGAGGAAGGACTAATCATATGTGCAGAGACTGAAACTCTGGCTTAGGGTGATTCTAGCAAACCGAGATGAGATAAGGAGATTGAGATGAAAGAAATGACGTACGGGTCGTTAAGAGAAGGTGGTACGCGAGTTTTACCACGAAATTGGAGATTGATCTCTTTGATAGAGGTCGCCTCTGAGAGAGTGAGGATGAGGTGACCAGAAAGTTAGGTGAGGTGAGGACGGGCGGGTTAGGACGTTCCTGTGTATTACAACTTTGTGAAGGTCGCCTTTAAGAATCAAACATAAACTGACCTCCTCAATGACCGGGCCAGTTTATACGTCCCAATGTTGCCACAGCCGTTCTGGATGCTTGGCGGACAGTGGATGATCACATGTAGTGATCGTGCACAATGCGGTGAATGCGGATGACATGATTTGTCGGTAGAAGCACTTGAGACAGTCGTTGATTGTGGAGAAAAGAGCGGCTGGGTAGCGCACAGTAAACTTGGTGAATTAACGTTAATTAACGCTAATCTACAATATTTGTTAATTTGGGTTATTTTGATTGATCACGCTCTCGGAAATCGACTCGTTCATTCTCAGCTATTCTGTGGATCTCATAGAGCTGTCCTTCACATGCTACAGTACTATCTCAAGCAACTGGTTCCATGTAATTTCCACATGGCTACACCTTCGATGGCTCACCTTGAAGCTGGACTCCAAAGCCATCCCCACGATACCTCTTCATGTGCCCCAGCCCTTTCCGGAACTCACTCACTTGCATATCTTGTGCGAGGACCTGAGCATTTCCACATCTTTCCTGCGTGATGCAAGGATGTATTCTGATACGCGTTCCTTCGGGTGCCCCAATCTCAAAAAAATTCAGATCGACGCACGTCGCACGCAAATGCGGCCCAGCCTGCATCTGATCCAAGCTTATTCACAAACAGGTCTAAATCTTGCATCTCTGTTCATCTCCTGTGTAATGTTGCTTTATATCACGAAACATACAAGCGAGAACATGGCAATGCTAGAGCACTGCGGCGTCCAACTCCCCGTCGACTGCAACTAGGCTTCTTTGCTTTGATGGGGCCTCAAACTGTGCTCGGGTGGGTCACCACCATCTCGTTTTATTCTTTTTCTGACCTGTATGCTCTCAGTCCTCCGCTATGGGTCTCCACCCTCATCCACATCACCACCTTGCATCATCCTCGGGGTCAGGTCCACGTGCACTCCTCAATCGCATTCCCTCCGCCATTATCAACCCAACGTTGACGAAGCAACTGAACTGCAGCAACGCCCAAGGCGAAGCGCCTCCTTCTGTCACGCTTCTGTCGAAGTCGCTGCGCAACGAGACAAGAAGGTATGTCTTTCTTTCATGGGTGTGTTTTCAATTGCTGTATCTGATTTTTCTCGCAGGCCTTGTATGTTGCTCGGCGGCCAGAACGGGTTAGCGACAAGGTGAAACGCATCAAGAATCCTACGTGGTGGACTCGTGTTGTGTTATTCATCTGCTGCGTGCCTCCTCCCAAGGACGACAGTCATTAATGGAGATGCTGCACATACACATCGATTTCTATCTCAGTATCTAGTTCCCTTTTTTCTCTCACCATAGTGTATCTTTCACCATCCCATCAAATATCATTCATTGACGCTTCACATCCTAACTCGCCTGTATTGAAATGGTGACGTGCTTTGCACAACAGTCGATGAAGATTATCCAGCCTAGAGGAGCTCAGCGTCATGTGAACTTGCATATCAAAATGTTCGTTTCAGATGCATGCTGGACACTGGCATCCAGACCCAAGCTTAGCCGACTTTCTGTGGGTCCTCGAGCGCTACACTCCGCATATGTGTTCATGCTTCTGTGAAGGACATAAGCGAATCTACTGCCCTGTTCGTTCGTACCACATCAAAACTGCCCTGCAAGTCGCTAAAGTCACTGCAGATCTAACTAATTTTCGATGTCAAAGTTCGCTCGTTTCCAGCCCAGTCAAACTTAGATCATTGTGTTCTGGATAGCTCTTACCCATCACTTCACCTTCCACTTGCCGGCATTGATGGGAGGCATACAACATCAACGTGGCACTCCATTACACCCTGACCGTCGCAAAACCATCACTGATGAGAAGGCTCCTACATACAGGCAGCATGTGCTGCGGTATTGTTCATTCCCGTCTTCTGACCGCTATGACTGTATTCCAATCATTTCTATCTATTTCTGGACTTGTATGTCTTGCACCGTGTACTTTTCGTTCCCCCGGATTTATGGCGTTTTACAGTCTCCACACACACTCAACCTGGCAAGGCCACCCATCTGACTAGACAAAATTCGCTTTCAGCACTGTAATCGTTTCGTTTCATCTCCTCATGTGATTAAGCTGATTCTGCGTGAACGCGACACGACATTTATCGCGTCTGTCAAGCTGAAAATTTACCATCGCAGTAACAAATCTGACCAGTCGTGTTCCGATCGACAGATCAGCTACGTCTCCACGCCCAAACCGTTACCAGAGGGTGCACAGGGCGCACGGCATATCCCATTGGCACAAGGGCAATATCTGGTACGTCAACACCCTATAGCGTTTGTATTAACACATGTAGAGATACTAAGATACGATAGGTGCCCACCATACCAAACGAGTCTGTACAAACGGCAAGTCTTGTACTTAACCATGTGCGTAGTCGTATTTACTCCTCGTCCGTGACTAGAGCATGTTCAGGTATTTACTCACGAACAGGTGATCCAAACTGTATCCCATGTTCTGACTGCTATCGAACAGGTCTAAACCTTGCGTCTCTGTTCATCTCCTGTGTGATGTTGCTTGATATCAAAGCGAGAACATGCTATTGCTAGAGCACTCGGCAGAACGACGGTTCGATCTGGTAGGCTTGGTGATCTTGGGCAGAACCTGCTTACTCAATGTCAATAGTCACCCAATATCGTTCGATGCATCATTTGTCAATTGACAATGCATTGCCAAAGCTATGTTGTCAAATCGGGCCGTCTGCGTTTGACCATGGCCTGCGATCTCATTTGCCAGGACAATGCCTTGATTTTCCAGCAGTATGGGAATCGCTTCTGCCGGCCCCGAAGGACGGTCCATAAACTGTTTGAGCAGTCCCAGGAACATGCAGGCGTTTATCCTATCTGACAGAAGGAGACTCGGCGCTTTGTGAAAATGTGTTGAAGGTACCGAAAGGGCTGACGGGTGGGGTACACAAGTAGGTTTCGAAATTAGATATTGCGTAGCTTCTTTGAGGATCAATTTTATACAGAATAACTAGCGCAATAATCTTTGGGTCTCGTAGAACACAATGTTCGAGAAGGCAATGATCGTCTCGTGGAGTTAGTTGACGTGTGCAATCTGACGCACATCAATCAACTCCACGTGGATGATCAAGGAATAGGACAGTCATCGAGCGGGCTAGGGATATATGAGAACCCCTTGATGTCTGGAGTGCACCGCGGATACACGAGAATTATCGTGGCTAGACGAGCGTCGTAGCTTGTTTTTCCCCAACAGACGTTGCTGGCTAGGGTTGGCATCCCATTCGCTCCTCTTGATAGCTGGAACTGTCGTTTCCGTCATTGTCTATACCAGACCTTGGAGGAATACAGACATGGCAACATGTCACACGTCCTACGAGGTCGATGCGAAATAGACAGGCTGCCAGGAAATCGTAAAGAAAACGATGGATCGTGCGGCAGGTCATGACTATCAAGATATAATAAATGATAGGAAGATGCACGTGGCACCAGTCGCGGTCCTGGGCGCTTCGCCTGCACAGCACATTGATTTGAAGCTGTGAAGAGAACACAGGATAACGCACCTTAATAGACGACCTCGCGCAACTCTCTCTACTTCACACCAAACATCCACTTCCTCAGCTATAAGTTCATCCTCTCGTTCTTCCGTAGAGTGAGTCTGCGTCGAGGTCTTCTGAGTAGTACCTGCAGTGAGTGATGCTCTGAGCGCTTCTGCCAGGAATGGCTGAGATAAGAGACAAGGACACTGACCAAACTCTGGGATCCAGAAAGATCTCCTGTGAGCAACACCTGCGCATACATCTCAAAGCCGCCGAGTGCGTCAGGATTGAATTCTTCTAAACAGGACCTGTCGTGAGTGATTCGTCATGCACTTCTATGAGCAGATATTCAGGCAGTAACAGATACGCTTGTTCACTCACCAGAAGTCTTGGCACTTTCAAGACAACAGGAACGCGCAATAAATCAAAGACCACTCCAGCGAACTGCTTGCGCAGCCACATTCGACGATTGTCCTTGGTGGAGACCCTGAGTACCGACCGACCATGGCGTCCCACACTGCCAAGATGGAAAAGACGTCAGCGATAAAGCCCCGACGGACCATGAAAGGCCATACCGACGACGTACGAGATGTTGCACACCTGCCTGGCGGGCAGCGCATCATCACATGTTCGTTTGATGGCTCGCTCCGATTATGGGACCTGGAGAGCGGTGCACAGATCGGCGAGGACTGGCGAGATGAGGGGATTGAGGCGGGAGCAAGTACCATTGCATTATCTCCAAACAGCAAGACTGTTGCAAGCGGAAGTGGGGATGGGACAGTGATGTTGTGGGACGTGGAGACAGGGAAAATCAACGCCAAATGGACAGGACACACTCGATTCGTGACGTCAGTGTGCTGGAGTCCAGATGGTGAGCGAGTTGTGAGCGGATCAGAAGATGGGACGGCAAGAGTGTGGGATGGTGAGAGCGGCGAACCCGTTCAGGGTCTGAATCCAATCAAGACCAGGCACCAGTTCCTGAATGCGGTGAGCTATTCGCCTACCAGCCAAATGATTGCGATAGGGGGACACAACGTGGGAGTCGAAATCTGGGATGCCAAGACGGGCAAGTTGCTCTCCACAATCGAATCAGACTGGCAAGCTTTGAGCTTGGCCTGGACATCTGATGAAAAGAAGCTTATCTCCGGGATGTACTTTGGCTCAATTAGGATATTCGACACTGCCACATGGCAGCAGATCGCTGTTCTAGAAGGTCACACTTCATTTGTCGACGCCATCACATTATTTCGGAACGACCGTCTTCTTGCGAGCACATCATACGATGGAACAGCGCGTCTGTGGAATCTCGACACGAATCTCCCGGTTGGTCCACCACTCAAGCATGAAGACGACAACAAGTTCAACCCGCCATATATGGCAGGTGCAGCCTTTTCCGCTGATGGAAAACTGCTCACAACTTGCTACAACAACAACGCGTACGTATGGGACGTTCACGCCATCCTACACGAAGCTGGCCTTGAAGATCTCCTGTCTATACCCGATGTGAGTGTCAACATATCACCGCTCTGTTTAAAGTCCTGACAGCGTCCACTATCAGGCACCAAAAGACAAGGTATGCATCATCTCATGGCTCTTCACCAATATGCTAATCTCCCACTCGCAGAAGTCCTTGTTAAATGTATGCTATTCCCTTGTTTATATTTTCTACGATTGTAACATGATGGATATCTAGGCTGATGCTACGCGGCGTCCAACTCCCCGTCGACTGCAACCAGGCTTCTTTGATGGCGCCCCAAACTGTGCTCGGGTGCGTCACCACCATCTCGTTTTATTCTTTTTCTGACTTGTATGCTCTCAGCCTTCCGCTATGGGTCTCCACCCTCATCCACATCACCACCTTGGATCATCCTCGGGGTCAGGTCCACGTGCATTCCTCAGTCGCCTTCCCTCCCTTTTCCGCCGTTTCCAACCCAACGTTGATGGAGCGACTGAACTCCAACAACGCCCAAGGCAAAGCATCTCCTCTCATCCCAGCCCTCCTGTTGTTGAAGTTGCTCCAATACGGGATAAACAGGTATGTCTTTTTGGGTGTGTTCCAAACGGCTCGTGTCTAATGATTTCCCTCCAGGCATTATATGTTGCTCGGCGGCAGGAAAAAGCTCCGCGGGGGGAGACAGCTAGTGACAGAGCCAGACGCATCAAGAACCCCAAATGGTGGGTTCGTGTGGTGTTGTTTCTCTGTTGTGTGTCTCCTGCTCCCGACGACGGTCATCACAGCACATAGAGAATCATTCTCATCTCAGAAGCTATTTCCCCTTTTTTGTTATCTTGTAGTATTTTTCGCTCTCCCATCAATACCATCCATTGACGTCTCGTATCTTAACTTGCGTGTCGCTGATACCCTCGTATTGGGCCGAGCACGAACACATAGTCGGTTCAACGATGTACCCAACAAGTGCGAGAAGTTGAAACTGATGATTGCAGTTTATCCATGTTCGACGTCGACAATCCGCACGCTTCATCACGTTGGACTCGACCCCAAGCCCCACGGTCATGAAAACACAGAACGATTTTCCTGAAGTCACTGACCTTGTAGCTCACAGAAACAGACGAGTGAATTCAAGCATAGGTATGATGGACACGTCTTCATCTGATGTCGTGGAACGATTGCAGGCACTGGGCGATTTCTTAAATCGATGGATGACGAGGTACAGGCTGCGGACCCAGAAGGCAGTGGTCTCTATAACAAGGCTGAAGCCTGTCTTTGTCGGCTGCCTGACAATCTCTCATGCACCTTCAGGTCAAGCACGGCGTAATGTACGACCGCAGAGAAGCTGAAGGCACCAAACAAAGGCATCAAGTTGACACAGTAGTCGAGGGAATGTGCGTATGCAAATATCATTTGTAAATCCCATCTGACTTATCGAGAAATCAACCGCATGACGAACAACATTGATCCTGCGCTCCTTATTATAGATGACACGTTCTGGTGCGTCAAATCCTTGACCTTGTATTATAATGGGAGCTCGTCGATGACAAAGGATAGCTGATGTTGAAGCGGCTGCCATGTCCCGATATCTCGTTCAAAATGATGGCCTATTTCTGGGCTCCAGCAGCGCCTGCAGTTTGGTGGCATGCACACTTGTTACGACCTTGTACGTTCCCCTGAGAAACTCTTGGAACGATTGTGACTCGCCGTTTTCCCAGGTGCGACTCCAGTAACAGACAATGAACCCACAAATTGCATGGGCGTAGAAATGTATGCGAGCGCTATGGTACAGATACTACTTGATGAAGAAAACAAGGGGATGGAAATGTCTTTACACGTTCTGCCTGATTGAGAGTTGCCACCAGCGATTTGGAGGCAGTAAGAACCATCGCTACCTGAGGAGCAATCACAGGGATCACAATATGATTGACTATGTGGGTGGTCAGGATTCTGACAGTTGAGCGGCGGCAGGCCACCCACGCATGCACTAATGTTCTCTCCGAATCACCCCGGCTCAGGCTGTATTTCAAATGGTATTTTTTTCCTATACTCTATCCCCAGTCCTAACAATTCTGCCAGCAGAGGACAGCAGCTATTTTCAGAACATAAAAGCAAGCCGCTTCCTACCGTGTCCCTCCACCCTCAGTCATTATTCCGATTTCAGATCACCTCGCACAAATCATGCGTTTCTCGTGCCTCGTCATTGCTACTGTTTTGACAGCATCCATGTCTGTCAGTGCATTCAGTAAATGTCACTACGCAGATTGCACCAAGGACAGTGATTGTTGCCCTGGCTTTTTCTGTAGCGGAAATGTAAGTATAACTAGCTTTGCATGCAGGATCCAATCCCATGACTCACTATTTGCGCCTTGCAACGCTAAAAGCCTTCTTATGTTGCATACTGCGATTATAAATGATTCTTGATGAGCTGGAAGCCCGAGTGATAGTGAGTCATGTCTCAGCTTTCGCTTTGGTGCCGTGTTTGATGATATGATGCGTAGTTTATTGTCAAATTACTCAATATGATCAGCCTGTTTCGAGACATGGTCCAAGACATAGGATTGATCTACGCCCCGTCAGCTGGATGCTAAGTAATAAATACACCAAATAACCAGCACACTGGCAAAACTTGAACATCATATAATGCAGATCTCAGATTTCCATAGGCCCTTCTGGCCGCCCTTTGTGACACTGGCAGACAACTTGAATGACACTACTAAACATCGGTGAATCGAACGAAAGTCTGTCGAGCCAAGTCAAGTACTGTCGATCACACCGCCGGCTCGCAGATGTACAGATTTCTCAAGTGAAAGTAAGGGTGGGGTGTAGTGTGGTGAGTTATAACGAGTGGGAGCTGACCGCACGCTAATAAAACAAGTATAATCTCAGTCTCTTGAAAGAAGCTCGGTATAACGAGCTATGTACCTAATAAAACAAGTATACTAATGACTCGTTAGTTTAGTTTTCTAATCGATATAACGATACTAACAACTCACATCTCAGTCTCTTGAAAGAAGCTGAGATGCGCTCGTGCTACTGCTGGCGTTTATATAGTAAGTTGTATAGAAACGGAATATATCAGAACGGAAAAGGAAAACATATTGTAGGACACGAGCCGACGTCAGTGCGTCGCTCGTCAAAGTCCCTTTTGGCTTGGGCTCGGACTTATCACTCTTTCTCTTCTACTATCTCGGATCGTTCGGACTCTAACATGTAGACGGAGCAAGCGCACAACTACTGGCACAACCGAATCCAGTCTTCCGTTCTTAACATGAGTACAGCTTGCGCGTTATCATCTAGGGCACGCGCAATTCAACATCACGTCCCTGCATTGCTATGAGCACCATTACGAACCCACAGCAGAGTATGTTTCTATCTTAGCAAGGGAATTTGGTTACGCCGAATTTGGATGATGAGATACTCTGTGATAATAGAGCAATGCCCTGCAATCGTATCCTGTATCCTAGCTGAAGCGCATTCATTAGGAGACCTTACTGCTCTAGTCAGTCCAGGTATGAACTAGATGGATCAGCCATCTAACCCTTGCCCAGGGCATCACAATCATAATTAACGCTGACCCTCATCCAAGACGAATGGGTCGACCCTATGCAGGAAACGAACGAAATAATTATTGTGCTGAAGGTGACCGGCGAAAATGGATCACTCAGCAAACATCTTCGCTCGGAGTCCTTGAATCAGATTTGGTCACGTTGTCAGATGGGTGGCCTTGTATGACGCAGAGCATGGACGGATGGATGTTAGAGCAGAAAATTCGAGTAAATAATCGATTGACGTACCAGCAACGCAGAAACAAAGGTACTGTCATGGCTATTAGAATATTGCAGTAAATGATGTGCGTATTGCTGCCTGAATGACGAGTGCTCATGTCCGGCAGGCTGGAATGGAGTAGTTATTGAATCCAAAGAGGAAATATTACAATGGCGATTCATACCCAACCGTCATATTCGAGCACAGGGTAAAGTCGTATGTGGAACGGAATAAGTGAGTTAAACAGCGAGCGAACTCTCATGTTCAAATGCAGCTGAATCTGCAGCAGTTGTGATAACTTGCAGTGCAGGCTCGGATGTAGTGTGAAGAAAGGGTTAATGGTTGTCTCATGTTCTTCGCAAGTTTGTGGGCACAGTGGAGCCTATGTGGTCGAGAATCCAGAAATTGACTTTGGGGGCCTAGGGCTGGATCCAATGTCCAGCGTGCATCTGAAATGTATTAATCAATATGTAAGTGTACACTACACTGAGTTGGACATACCTCACCAACTAATGTACAAAGCATGCCATCACTTGACGCACACATATGAGGTAGGACGCAGACGTCAATCAACATTATCGATTAGGATGCCGAAAGACACTACAAACACGGTGGTAATTACGAACGAACGAGATGCCAAGGTAGAAATGGTTCTCCGTGTGTTATGTGGCTATGGCGTGTTGGGGAATTATACAGCAGAAAAAAAAAGACACGAGTCCACCATGTAGCATTCTTAATGCGTTTCGCCTTGTCGCTAAGCCATTCCCGCCGCGGGGTAATATAATGACTGCATAAAAATCATCAGATCTGACAGGAAGAGACTCGGCGCTTGGTGTAATCTGTGTTGAAGGCATCAGAAGAGCTGGCAACATACACAAGTAGGTTTCGAATTTAGATATCGTGCGTAGCTTTGTTGAGGATTGATTTTATACAGGATAACTGGCACGATGATCTTTGGGTTTCGTAGGACGCAATGTGCAAGAAAGCAACAATCGTTTTATGAAGTTGGTTGATGTGTACAATCTCGTACACATTGAGATTGCGCACATCAATCAACTCCACATGATCAAGGAGGACAGTCGTCAATAATTGTCCTTGGTGGAGACCCTGAGCACCGACCGTGGCGTCCCACGCTGCCAAGATGGAAAAGACGTCAGCGATAACGCCCCTGCAGACTACGAAAGACCATACCCAGGTGGTACCAGGTGTTGCGCACCTGCCTGGCGGGCAGCGGATCATCACATGTTCGTTTGATGGCTCGCTCCGATTATGGGACCTGGAGAGCAGTGCACAGATCGGCGAGGACTGGCGAGATGAGGGGATTAAGGCGGGAGTATTGACTATGTCATTGTCTCCGAATGACAAGACTCTCGCAAGCGGAAGTGAGGATGGAACAGTGATGTTGTGGGATGTTGAGACAAGGAAGGTGATCGCCAAATGGACAGGACACACTCAATTCGTGACGTCAGTGTGCTGGAGTCAAAATGGTGAGCGAGTTGTGAGCGGATCCGTCGATGGGACAGCAAGAATGTGGGATGTTGAGAGCGGTGAACCCGTTGAGGGTCTGAATCCAATCAAGACGGGGCACCAGCATGTGCATGCGGTGAGCTATTCGCCTACCAGCAAAATGATCGCAACAGGAGGATCCAACGAGGGAATTAAAATCTGGGATGCCAAGATGGGCCAGTTGCTCTCCACAATACTTGATGAAGATGAAAAGAAGCTTATCTCCGGGGTGTTCGGTGGCTCGATTAGGATATTCGACACTGCCACATGACAGCAGATCGCTGTTCTAGAAGGTCATACAAACGTTGTCCATGCCATCACTTTGTTTCAGAACGACCGTCTTCTTGCGAGCGCATCATGGGACAGAACAGTGCATCTGTGGAATCTCCACACGAATCTCCCAGTTGGTCCATCCCTCAAGGTCAAGCACAAAGACGACAACAATTTCAGCATGAGTGCAAGTGCAGCCTTTTCCGCTGATGGAAAGCTGCTTGCCACAACTTGCCAGAATAAAAACGCGTACGTATGGGACATTCACGCCATCCTACATGAAGCTGGCCTCGAAGATCTCCTGTCTATACCCAATGTGAGTGTCAACATATCACCACTCTGTTTAAAGTCCTGACAGTATCCACTATCAGGCACCAAAACACAAGGTATGCACTGTCTCATGACTTATCACCAATACATGTCAATCTACCACTCACAGAAGTCCTTGTTAGATGTATGTTATGCCTTGGTTCATCTTTTCGATTGTTGTAACATTATGCATATCTAGGCTGGTGCTACGTGGCGTCCAACTCCCCGTCGACTCCCACCAGGCTTTTTCGATGGCGCCCCAAACCGCATTCGGGTGCGTCACCATCATCTCAATTTGTCGGTCTTGTTCTGATTGTATGCTCTCAGTCATCTCCTATGGGTCTCCACCCTCATCCATGTCGCCCTCTTGCATCATCCTCGGGGTCAGGTCCACGCGCACTCCTCAGTCACATTCCCTCCCTTTTCTGCCGTTCCCAACCCATCGCTGATGAAGCAACTGAACTGCAGCAACGCCCAAGGCGAAGCGCCTCCTCCTGCCGTGGTTCTCCTTCTGTCCAAGTCGCTGCGCAACGAGACAAGAAGGCATGTCTTTCTTTCTTGGGTATGTTTTCAATTACTGTATCTGATTTTTTCTCGCAGGCCTTGTATGTTGCTCGGCGGCCAGAACGGGTTAGCGACAAGGTGAAACGCATCAAGAATCCTACGTGGTGGACTCGTGTTGTGTTATTCATCTGCTGTGCATCTCCTCCCAAGGACGACGGTCATTAAATGGAGATGCTGCACATACACACCGATTCCTACCTCGGTATCTAGTTCCCTTTTTTCTTCTCGCCATAGTGTATCTTTCGCCATCCCATCAAATATCATTCATTGACGCTTCACATCCTAACTCGCCTGTATTGAAATGGTGGCGTACTTTGCACAACAGTTGATGAGGACTATCCAGCCTAGAGGAGCTCAGCGTCATGTGAACCTGCATATCAAAATGTTCATTTCAGATGCATGCTGGACACTGACATCCAGACCTCAGCCTAGCTGACTTTCTGTGGGTCCTCGAGCGCTAGACTCTGCAAATGTGTTCATGCTCCGGTGAAGGACATGAGGGAATCTACTATCCTGTTCGTTCGTACCACATCTAAACTGCCCTCCAAGGTGCTAAAGTCGCTGCAGATCTAACTAATTTTCAATGCGAAAGTTCGCTCGTTTCCAGCCCAGTCAAACTTAGGTCATCGTGTTCTGGATAGCTCTTACTATTGGTTACCAACGAGACGCACACACATAATCACTCCGTCGCATACACACTCTCGTACCGTAGAAAAATTAGTACTGCACTATTAGATCTGACATGATTCGATAATCAATTTATATTGCAGACAAGGCTGCTGATGAAGGGTTCTATAAACGAATCTTTTTAAGGCCCGGCTGGTAGACGAGATGGAGCGATGAGAAGTGAGTAGGTCTCGGAGTGAAACGCACTGAGAGTCGCCAGCATTGGCAGCAAAGCCTCGAATCTTTTTAAGGCCTGGCCAGTGGACGAGACGGAGTGATGAGAAGTGAGTAGGTCTCGGAGTGATGATCAATTTATATTGCAGACAAGGCTGCTAATGAAGGGTTCTATAAGCGCCAATCAAGTCGAGTCCAAGGGCAAAAAAAACGCACCGAAACCGCCAGCATTGGCAGCAAAGCCTCGGCTGGTGGACGAGAGCGAGAAAAGAAGACGGAAAGCTGCCAGTATTGGTGTCAAAAAGATGTTCGCGCTGGGTGGATCCTTGATGTACTATCACTCCTGGGAATCTGCAACTGGCATGTAATATGCAAAATGTTCAAAACACCTCAATGCGCTGCTTGAATCACCTCGAAAAAATTCATGTGTATGTAGGCTACTTAGAGATGATGTACTGTCCAAGTAGAATAAAATTTTCTTGAGTGTTGCAGCTGCGAGAGACAGGATAGTGGTGATTTGCAACCTTGTATAATCATAAATGATCCAGATCCCATAGATCCTAGAGAGATATTCAAAAAGTTACACCCGGAGCATATCAAACACCTCGTCAGGGTGTCAGAACACAATTTCGATAGAGGCCATTCTCTTGTTTTAAGATGCTATAGACAGAGGATTGACGACATGTATGAAAGCGTGACAGCAGATAGGAGAGTGTGTAAGAAATTCAATCTCCTCTAAGTGAAAGTTGACGGTGCCGCTACTACTGTGCCGATGTGTGACACGACGTGACCATGTTTTGCAGAATACCAGTCAGACCCTGAATTTTCTCGGCCTTCATCCGACACTCCACCACAAAATCCTTAAAATCAGAAAAAATCAGATTTATATAGAGCAGCTACGAATCTATAATGGTGCAAATCCGTAGAAGAAAATATGATGTGGTTGAGGAGTTACAAAAGATTTATTGAAAATGTTGCAGAACCCCAGGAGTGATAGTAAGTGTCGATGAGAAGGGCCATCAGCAAAAGTGCCCAAATCTAACAAGGTCCGGCAAGGTCCGGAGAGTCTCCCACGGCCACATGATGCCTTCCGAGGCTTGAATGTATTTGTTCGTCATTATGCAAGGTGCGCATACTCGTCTCGTAAGGCCTCACTACTAGACTCTTTCAACCTCACGGCAGCCTTGCGAGGTGTTTCAAGATCGGCTCAGCAGTTGTCGGCAGCTCTGATCACGGAGCCTGGCCCAATGTTGACACGTGCAGAGTTGGATACCTTGGGGCATCAATGAATTTTATGAATGATCATAGTGCAGTACTAATTTTCCTACAATACAAGAATGTGTATGCGAAGGAGTGATTATGTGTGCGTCTCGTTTGTGTGTGTGTGGCGTCTGTGCGTGTGTGAGTTTTGCATGTGAAGAATAGTTGAACAGATCCAGCGCCATATCTCCCAGTTGGTCCACCCCTCAAGGTCAAGCACGAAGATGATGACACATACAGTGCAAGTGCAAGTGCAGCCTTTTCCGCTGATGGAAAGCTGCTCGCCACAACTTGTGCTGACAAAAACTGTGTACTTATGGGATGTTCACGCCATCCTACACAAAGCCTGGCCTCGAAGATCTACTGTCTATACCCAATGTGAGTGTCAACATATCACCGCTCTGTTCAAAGTCCTGACAGTGTCCACTATCAGGCACCAAAACACAAGGTATGCATCATCTCGTGACTCTTCACCAATAGAGCATGCTAATCTCCCACTCGCAGAAGTCCTTGTTAAATGTATGCTATCCCTTTGTTCATATTTTCTACCATTGTAACATTATGGATATCTAGGCTGATGCTATGCGGCATCCAACTCCCCGTCGACTGCAACCAGGCTTCTTTGATGGCGCCCCAAACCGTGCTCGGGTGCGTCACCACCATCTCGTTTTATTCTTTTTCTGACCTGTATGCTCTCAGCCCTCCGCTATGGGTCTCCACCCTCATCCACGTCGCCCTCTTGCATCATCCTCGGGGTCAGGTCCACGTGCATTCCTCAGTCGCATTCCCTCCCTTTTCCGCCGTGCCCAACCCAATGTTGATGAAGCGACTGAACTCCAACAACGCCCAATGAGAAGCATCTCCTCTCATCACAGCCCTCCTGTTGTCGAAGTTGCTCCAATACCGGATAAGCGGGTATGTCTTTTTGGGTGTGTTCCAAACGGCTCGTGTCTGATGATTTCCCTGCAGGCATTATATGTTGCTCCGCGGCGGGACACAGCTATTGACAAAGCCAGACGCATCAAGCACCCCAAATGGTGGGTTCGTGTGGTGTTGTTTCTCTGTTGTGTGTCTCCTGCTCCCGACGATGGTCATCGCGGCACATAGAAAATGTTTCATCTCACCATGTATTTTCTCTTTCTTTGTGATCCTGTTGTAGTATTTTTCGCTATCCCATCAATACCATCCATTGATGCCTCACATCTTGTGTGTTGCTGGTAGTCTCATGTTCGGCCTAGCACGAGCTCATAGTCGGTTGACTGCACCCGACGAGTGCGACAAGTTGAAACTGAGGATCGCGGTTCAGTTTTTCTTATTCCAAGTCAAGTTTAACAGCCTTTTTTCGTAGCAGTTCAACCACACCAACTGTTGGTCCTGCATGGTTTGATTCAGCACGATTCGTCACTCGTTGTATTCAACTCCAAGCTTCACAGTCACGAAGACGCGGCAAAGGATTGTACTGAAGTCAGGCAGGGACAAATTCAAGGAGGAGTATTACAGGCACGTCTTTTATCCCTTTGCATCGATGGTGTCCTCAGTGCGCAGTCATAACGCACAGGTCAACAATGTGTATGTAATGTCGAGGCCCTTGCTATTTACAGATCTATGCTGATATCAAATTGCAGAAGACGATAATGGCTAGACCATGGCTGCTTCGGTGTGAGAGCAGAGACTCCATCTCCTACTGCAGGCACATATGCAATACAGGTGGAGATTATCGAGATCTGAAACGCACTGCATGATGCGAGTCCCTTACAAGTAAGCCAGTTTTCCAGATGACATTACGAATCTCATGTGAGGTGGACTGAACAGAGTTCCGGACGAATAGGGCCTCCCATTCTCCAGAGCTACCGATCATCCTCACTCATCTCTTACGCGAATTCACAAATGTACATATCACATCGAAAGGCGCCTTCGCCTGCTTGGCGGTACACAAATCGTCGATCAATTCATGTGTTCTGGTATATGACTTACAAAAAGATTAAACAGTACCAAAATCTACGAGTCTATTGTTCTCTGGTGCTGTAAACCGACTTCAAGACCACGAGTAATGTGAGACTCGACTATCAGGATGCGGAAGCCCAAAGCATTCCCTACTCATCCTCCAGCACACCTAAAACTGATACCTTTCACTGTACATCTCGCACCTACCTCGGCCCTTCCTACTACTCATGTCCAGTAATCATTCATCAGTTGTTTGTAGCAGTAAGACGATCACCCCGAAAGATAGTCCCGAGAGCCTAATGTTGGACTTCACGAGAGCAGGTCATCACCAATACAGATGGCGTCCTGGAAGCTATTATCGAACTCTGTACGTCATATCGCCTACGGCATCCTTAGAGGGTTTACCTTGCCTGTAACGTCGACCTCCATATCATCATATTTGCATTCTCGACGACGTCAAAGCCTCTCGCAGGAGCAGTTCTATTTTCAGCCAATCGAGCTGAGAAGTGATGAGGTGCTGTATGGAGTTATTGGAGTGATAGGTGTGTGATTCGACCGTTCGAACATTCAATACCCCTGTGGTGAGGATTAACTCATGATGATTTGGGAGTTGAGATTCTTGGAAGAGCCGAGGTGAGTTTCGAGCCAGCCTTCCCCCTAAATGTCTCCAACATGGTGCCATCTGTAGTTTGTGAACACCGGAAGGAGTGTCAAGGACCGAGTTGCTCTACCCAGTAAATTATCTGCACAGCAATTGACCTTATCACGTCATGTGACAAGCCACGTGCTTTCATTAAGCAGCGTACAGCGCGGTCGCGGATGCCCAAATCAAAGCCTCGCTGGAACAACCATGACATGACTACGATACCTGAAGAAGCATTAAAATACACCCGTACATGCAAGCATTCATCCTCGTAGCAGAAATGTATTCATCGCAAGTTCATTAATCATTACACGACGACGACAACAACATCATGATCCTCAAAACAACTGAAATACGGAGATCCTAAAGCTAATACATGCAATAATTCTATAAGTAATCCGCAATCATATCGTCTATCGTCAAATAATATAAATAAAGATATGGATGGGAATGCCATGGGGATTGGGAATGCTTGATGATGAATAAAGTTATTGAGCGTATAAAACGATGAGATGACGGGGGTCGTATTCAAGCAACTTGAAGGAGGCGATGAGGAGTGCGAGGTGATTTGATGTGAATATCGAGCACGCGGCCCACCGATGTTACGAGTCACGATACCTCGCCACCCTCCCTCCTCCATCGAGGAATGGGGACTCTCAACCGCACAGCGACCTCTCCGTCCCTTGCCTCGTGTGGGTGTAGGGCGTCGTGTGTCTCCCGTCCACTCCCACTCCCAGCAGCCTCCTCATAACTCGGTAACCCCGCTAAACTCGAAAGTGGGGGAACACCTCCGATGAATCCTTGTGATGCGACGCGATAGTCTGGTGCTGCGTTCGTATTCGGGTCTCCATCCAGGAGGCCACTTGCGTTGCCTTCAACACTGGCACCCACACTCCCTTCGACGATACTCCCATCCCCATCTAAATCCTCTCCAGATCTCCCACCATGCGAATGCGACACCGAACCAACATCCGTAAACCCCCTCCCCCAAATGGCACTCTCGGCAATCTCAGCAGGAGGCATTTGTGGACTATGCGGAGAATGTGTTCCTGTGAAATAAGGAGTTTGGGCTCCGCTTGCGTTTCCGCCTATGCTGAACGTCGTGTGGCTTGAATGGCCATGTCCGTGTGCGGGGTATTCGAGTGGTTGAACCGGCGACACCAAATTCCCAAACGATCGTGAATGTCCTCCTGCACCACCGCCAGCCCCAGGAGAAACACTCGTCATCCCTAACCCATGCCCATGCCCATGCCCACCCATACCCACAAGACTTGAATAACTCCCTGATCCCCCGCTTAACCACCCACTATGCAGAGGTTTCATAGCAATTGCGAGGAGCGAGCCGCGGGTACGGGAGGCTGGTGGACTGTGTGTGTATATCTCTGGGTTTGATACTGGGGTTATGTGGGGTCTGTGTGGGTCTGCGGGAGAGAGGGAGATGGGTGCGTGCGCGTGTCTGTGTGTTTCGGGGACGGAGATGGGTACGGGCACGGCTGCGGGAGGCCCCATTGTCCCATGTGCATGTGCATGTCCCCAAACGCGATGCTCGGGACTAGGAGCGCGCGAAACGAGTCGACTGGGTACTTGGCTCGTAGGGTCTGAATTCGCGTGTGGCGATCGTGGACGACGAGATAGGAGTTCTGAATTGACCCAGTCGAGTACGCCATGCGGGAGCGTATGAGCGTGGTGCACATGCGGATGTGGGTGTGGGTGTGGGTGTGGAGGCGAGCTTGTACCCGAGCGCGGGGAAAAGGACGTGCTGAGGGCTTGTGTAGGAGGCGGAGCGGAGGATACGTATGGATTTGCAACGCGCATGGTAGATCCAGCAGGGAGGAAGGCATTGGCAACGCGATCCCGAACATGGGCTGTATAACTCGGTAACGTCTCACCTTCCTCCTCATCCCCTTCTTCCCCAAAGATCCCAGCGCCACCACCAACACTCTCCCCATCGCCTTGAACGTAATCACCCAAAACGACACGTCGGACCCATCTTCCACCGGCCCGAGCTTCTGAGAGCAATCGCCCATCGAGAATGGTTATTGGGAGACTACAGCGGAGTTCGGAGGTGTGTCCGTCGAGGTTTGACATGAGAATTGACCAGCGGATGCGGTGTGAGATGTGGATTGGGTCGAGGGCGTGGGAAGGGGGGAGGGTTGGTGGGAGGGTGATGGAGAGTGGGCAGATGAGGTCGCTGGTGTCCTGATCTGAAGCGGGGTCTGGGTGTTCGTCGTGTGAATGTGAGGAGGAGGGATAGTGGGGAGCGGAGGAGGAGCCTGCGGTTGGGTGAGGGTGGGAGTGGGAAGATGAGGAAGAGGATGTGCTAGGGACTTGACGGAGGGTGAGATCGGGTTCGGAACCAGGGGTGTGTGGTATACTGGAAGCCCCAGGGCCGATCGGCTGTCTTATGCCATACCAACTCTCGCTGACGAGCTTCAGTTTTCCATGGGAAACCTCGTGTCTTGAAGTAACGACGGTTCTGGTGAAGCTGCTCCCCCTTGAAGGAATCTTTACGATCTCATTCAAGTTTGTGAGAATGCTGAGCACGCGTACGCCTTTGGCGAGTGGGATAAATTTACAGAGGGCAGTGAGGGTATCACCTGCAGCCCAAGCACGATGAGGGAGTACGATGGTGTACATGAGTTTTTCGGGCCATGTATTCTCGATCTCGAGCGTCTGCTGATACTCGAGCGACTCTTGTGCAAAACTGCGTATTATGGTGACGGGGTGTGATGCGGTGAGGTTATGTAAGAGGCCAGGGCGGACTGCGGTTGCGCGAAGTTTGTAGGAAATGAAAGAGGAAGGGTTGGTGGCGGGGAGGTGTATTGAGGATGGGAGTGTTCCACCGAGTGCGAGGGAGAAAGGAAAGACATGTTTTCCTGCTTTGAGGGTATGCGAATGGCGTTTCTCGCCTTCGAGGAAGGACCAATCATATGTGCAGAGACTGAAACTCTGGCTTAGGGTGATTCTAGGGAACCGAGATGAGATAAGGAGATTGAGATGAAAGAAATGACGTACGGGTCGTTAAGAGAAGGTGGTACGCGAGTTTTACCACGAAATTGGAGATTGATCTCTTTGATGGAAGTCGCCTCTGAGAGAGTGAGGATGAGGTGACCAGAAAGCAAGGCAGGCTCTACGTCTACTGCTGTGCCTTTTAGTGCGAGGACATCAGAGTCGAGTACGATATCTATGTGAGACTTCTCGTGTAGTGGGTGATGTGATTTATCTTGGTGTAGCATGTCTTCGTGTACGCGACTGAGAGCAGCGTGAAGAGCTGCGCTGAGATGGTCATCTACAGGAGTAGAAGAAGGTAGGTGAGGTGAGGATGGGCGTGCTATAGTGAATGCCATTTGGGCGAAGAGATCCTTGTTAGGACGTCCCTGTGTATGATAACTTTTTAAAGGGTCGCCTTTAAGAATCAAACATCAAACTGACCTCCTGTATAAACAACCAAGGATCCAATGATGACCGGGCCAGTTTATAATCATTCTTATAATAAAACTTGACTTGAAATGCATCGTCCGAACCTTGCCGCAGCCGTTTCTGCTAAATCCTGATCCGGCTTTCCTCTTTCCCCATTCGGACATTCATATAACGGTCTTGACCAGGTATCGGAGTTCGGTCCAGTCAACCTAGTTATCTTTCTTTTTGTTCCCGTACAAGGTGCTCCGATACTAATTTTATATCCGTTGTCCTCCGTGATAGACCTCCGAGTCAATCACACATTCTGTCAGAGTCTAACCAACTCAATTATTCTACCAATTCCATCTTCCACGGCGCCAAGACTCCTCCTCCGTCAGATCCAAGATCTCCATACTACGTTCTAGCCCATCACCATTTCGAACTCTCTACCAAGTCCAGGCCCAGACACATTCACCACTCCAACTTGGCCACGTCCCATCTACTCCTTCTTGATTTCTATCTATCCGGTAACCCAAGTACCAAGGCCGTGCATATCTGCTATCTAATTCTCTAGCCCAACCACGGCGCTTTACTTTAACCAACGCCCGGCACCTAAATCTTCACCCAAATTTAGCCCACTCGCTTCCGATGTTTCTCCTTTGTATGCCAGCTCACCGTGATAAGGTATACCTACTCCTTCCAGTGACGCCATATCACCTCTAGATCCAGCTTAATTCCGTCCAACAACTTCACACGCCCCATTTACCATCATACTATCGTAACATCGTCCCTCTTCCTCCCTTCCTCCACTTTCTTCCGTTCTTTCCTTTGCACTAGTTCGTAGTCAACTCACCGGATCATATAGCCCTTTTTATATCTCTTTTTACACACTGTAACGACCCTGGGGTGGGTTCTTGAGGCTATGCAAAATCCCGATCGTGTTCTCTATCTTGCGTGCAAGAACGGCGCCATTGCGAGCACCACGCCCGATATTCTCGCGCATTGTCGGCTCTATTTAGTATATCAAGTACTTTCCGGCTTGCGTGTGGCCCACCCCTCGCCCTCATTCATTCAGGGTTGCTCAGGACATGCACGACTACCGTCCACGGCTCATCTCACGCTTCATGTATGCCAATCTCACGCATCATCTTACTTCTGACGTACATCCGCCTTCTTTTTAAAAAGCCCACAGACAGACTCATCCCGCCGGGCGCCCGACTTCGGCTCCCCGGATTCATTTACATGGGGTTCGAGTGATCGACGCTCGAGAAGATACTGTCCTCTTTCCATGTATCGCATATGTTAAATAGTCAGTATCCACTCGAGCGTCGGTGCTACCGAAGTTTCATGGTATGTATGAAACACTGATTTTACTTTTATGTGAGTGCTATCCTCTTTCCAATCACGAAAAAGACAGACACTGACAGTTCGTAAACTCGACAGGATCACTACGGGTATGCATCTGATCACGGTCCGATACTGCGTCCCGCACATGGTGTCGAATGCTTCACCATGTGCGTGATGCATCACTCGGCTTGTAACCCGCCGGGGTAAATCGATACTGCACAAGATTTTTGCACGGTCTCGGACTAACGCGGACTTATTTTCGGACACTCCTCGGATATGAGAATGCGTCATCGGGAGAAACCGGCGACCATTTTTTCATGTGTTGTTCGGAAAGGTATGCATACTGCTAGCTTGCTCTGGACGCCGTGGACTCGTGCGCTGGGATCGGTTGTTATCGGGTTTTTATGCGCGTCTCATCATGCTCAGCTGACATGGGTGCGTGTAGATGTTTGTTGTGAATCATGGTTGCGCTTACCATGACGCGGACGAACTAGCGATCATTTAATAGTTATGCCATACGTATATCTATTCGTTGTGTTTGAACGAAACTTCTCGAGCTGCCGCAACAAACAAATTTATGTATGGTGATACCTTCTGTGTCGAGGTCTAAGCTTGTTAAAAGATGTAATCAAAGTCCTCAAGTTCAGAATCTGTGCGGCACCAGTCACATCAGACTACAACATCGTCCTGGTGCAAAGCAAATTCGATGCACATGAACTTCATGTGCATCGAATTCACTTCCAGACGTTGAACATCACCGAACGTGTAGGGACGCTCGACTGCCCCAGCCGTTCAGTAGATGAAGGAACTTGCATTGCATGATGGAATGGTGTAAGAGCGACCACGCGTCCGGGATCCAACTGGAGAAGTGTCTAGAAGTGTTTGGTACCTCCTCAGATCATACCTATCATACCTATTTTTACATCCGGTGTCCCACTAGTACTGATCAACTGATCCTGTGTCCTCAATCACACATTCTGTCAGATTCTGTCAGAACTCTAACAGGTGCCAAGACTTGATCACATCCTCCATTTCTAAGATCTCGATATCATCAATCGCAACATATCCATTCCATTACACTGATACCCCTCGAATTCTTATACCCTAGAACTTTCCGCCACTTCGATACAAGTCCAGGCCCAAACCTGTTCACCACTCAAAGTCAGCCACGTCCCATATCCGGTATTGAAAGTATCCCGAGGCCGTGCATATCTGTTATCTAGCATCCATTCCCGGCGCCTATACCTTGATTCTCGAAGCAAAATCAACGCGCTCAATTCCGAAGTTTCTCCTTTGTATGCCAGCACACCGCCCAGGCAAACTCCGTCCAAATTCACACGCCCCATTTACCATGATAAGATCGCCACTTCCAGCCACTTCCTCTCTTAACCTTCTCCTCTTCCTTTCGTTCTTTCCACTCGCCAGATCATACAACCATTTTGATATCTCTTTCAAGTTTCCACACCGTAATAACCGTTGCGGTTTTTTTTATGCTATGCAAAATCCAGATCGTGGTTTTCTCTTATCGGTATTGCGTACAAGAATTGCGTATTCGGGGACGACTGACACGACCGACATTAATATTCTCGCACGCAATGTCGATATTTGGCACATCAAGTTGGCGCGCTGATGGTAACGTCTGGTTTTCGTTTCGCCCACGCGAACGAGACGTGTACCTTCGCCGTCGTTCGCTCTAATCGCTTGAGAGAGAGTCGATGATATACATGATCGTAGCAGATCATATGCTTCATGTATGCCAATCTCACGCATTTATGCATTATCTTATTTCTGATGCATATCAGCGATCGTTTTTAAAGCCTACAGAAGACTCATGTGGCTGGATGTCCGACTTCTGCCAGTTCTCACCCGGATTGGTTCAGATTTCAGATGGGTATCGAGCGCTCGACGCTCAAGAGGATGCTGGCCACTCTGAGATCACACAATGTGTTCAGCGTCCAGGATCCATTCAGCATCGATGTCACTGAAATCCCTCATGCCATGGTTACCAAACGCACTAGTTTTAATTTTACGCAAACCATCCTCATTCCAGACATGACCCCAAAGCCACTGATGAATCATAAACTCGACAGGATCACTTCGAGCAGCGGGAGGTATACATCTGATATAGTTCGATGCTGTATCGCGCGCATGATGCAGCATCTAATGCTACATCATCCGCAGGATACACCACTCAGACCTCAGGGTTTGTATAATTCACCTGGTGCTTGCTTCATTTGACGCTATGCAAGGTTTAGGTATGTGTTTGCGTTTTCGCTCGCGCTGTTTCGGACTAATGCGGGATTCTTGTTTTTGGAGGTTGCTCGGACATTGGACAGATCAGGCTGCGTCATCGGGAGGAACCGGCGAGTGATGTTTCCTACATCATTTCGTGCGCGGTTGCATGTTCGGGATGACACGGGAAAAATCTCATGCTCGCCGTGGACTAGCTGTGTGGTGAGATCGGTTGTCATAGGGTTTTAACGACGCGCGGCGGACGTGGTGGAAGTGTGGATGTTGGTTGTAAATAACGGTTGCACTTACCACGACGAGCGAGCGATCGTTTCATGGTTTATATCGATCTCTTTGTACAAGACTTGCTGCGCTGAGAGGTCAAATATATGTACGGTAATAGCATATACGTCTGGAATCCTTCCTTGTCGAGGTCTGTGCATGTCACATGAGTGTCGGAAATAAGAACCTTGTTAGAAGATGCAGATAATATACAGTGGAATCTAGTGGCAAAGAAACAAGATAAACGTCTGTGTCGTGATCGAAGCGTATGTTTATCATAAGAAAAAACTGATCACGGTTCTAATGTTCAGAATCTGTGGCACCAGTGGTATCGGACATGAGACCACACAGTTAGGAGTCGTCGACTTTTTATTTTTCCTTGTGAAATATGTTCCAGCTTATTTGTGATCTATCAACCTTTCCTTTCCATTTCTTCCTATTCCCGTTCATTGTCTCGTGCAACTTTTTCTTGCTTAGTATCATCAACGGGCGGTATAAGTGGGAGCAGGAGCAGGCGCCTGGCACAGTTGAAGATGGCTCGTGGCATAGATGTACCAGCACCAGTTAAAGGAGCTAGACCTGCGCCATGAAAGAGTCTCTTGAACAATCCCGGGCGCTGCTGGAGTAGTAAGGAAGGAGGCTGAGGCTGAGGATGATGGAATGAATGCATATGATTGCAGTCCACCCAGTGGCAATGCCCGAATATGACGATAGATCGTCGATCCGAGGTCCGTGAGAGGTGGACCATGGCTGCTACCAGCTGCGCAGACGATGGTGCCAGCGGGGTTGATGGAGAGAGTGTGGATCACACGACAGCTACTGCCACGCAAAACATCGTGTGGCCTGACCCGCTGCCAGGTCGATGTATCCCATTCCTGTATGCTGGAATTGTGGTCAGAGCCTGGCGTGAGAAGCCGTGTGCCATCGGGCGTCCAGTAGAGTGTCGAGTTCGCTGGTCTTCCGCGTGAGCCTCGAAGGTTGCGATACAGTCTCTCGTGGTTGGATTCCAATTTTTCACCTTCATGTAGGTTGCGATTACAATCAATCCCCCAGATGGCGAATATCGAATGCAGCAAACGCCGGAATTATCACAGTCGATTGGGTTTCCTTGCAGTTGTCATGTTTCCGTGCTCCACAGCTTCAAGTTCGTTGCTGTGTCCTGTCTGTATCCCGATCCAGAAGCCAGGACCGTGCCGTCTGGAGAGAAGCCCAGGAAAGTGAGATGAATCAAGTGGGCTTTGATGGATTCGATGACAGATCCTTCGTTCCAGACCATGAGCTCTTCCGTTTCATCACCGCTTGCTATCAGTTGCCCGTTTCGTGATACCGTCACTGCCCGTACGCTGCCATGATGCCCATTTTCTTCAACACCACGTTGTCCTCCAAGTCCTACACATGAAGCAGCCCGTCCCTCGACCCCGTTACCATATGATGCCCGTCAGGAAAGACGGCGACCGCTTTTACTACGGATTCTTCATGTTGGAACACCCGAACGGCCGTTTCGAATGACACGACGCTAAAAAGTATGCGCAGAGCTGCTTTTGTCGCTATTTGATGCAGCTCGATAAAATGATGAGGTATGTTTGTTGCAAAGACTATGGATGCCTTGGTGTTGGAGTAGCAGACCCCTATCAGCCACACTTTGTCAGCGTCAGCATCCTTGATGGCTCCTGATGTGCATCAATGTTGCCCATTGTGAACTAGATGATTGGGCGCTCGCCTTATTTGTCGACAGATGTGCTATTGGAGATCATAGTCGGCATGTACAACTTGAGGTTCCAAGGCGACTCGTGAAATACAGAAATGACTGACCTGCATGACATGAATCAGAAGGTTACAATGAGAGTGATAACAGTATTATATCTGAGTAACACTTTACGCTGATACAGATCATTAATCGAGATTGATCGCTTGGCCAAACCTAGCGTACAACGTAACTTTCAGATCTTTCATATCCGGTTCTTTTCAAGTCGTTTCATCGCTTGGAGTTGAGGCAGTGAAGGAAAGATTTGCCGATCTTATATCTGATGTGTAGCCAACAAAACTGGTCCATGGCCTTGTGAGAGCATGATTTCCAGACGCACAGTACATGTTCGTCCTCGTCAGTAACTTAGCTCAAGCTCTGTAGAGAGGTCATCCAACGCTTCCTTCTCTTGCTGGAAGATACCGTGAAACCGGGTAGAACAAGTGTCTGGCTTGCTAACACACCTTGAGTTCTTCTAGTCGTTCCTCTATGCTCCTGAGACGAGTATTGAGTTTGGAGAAGGTGCTAATACGTTGCTGATCCTCTAAGAGCACTCAATGAACTTGACACCCCAAGTAACCTCAGCACCGTCGTCGTTCTCCTCTTCTTGTCCAAGCTTAAAATGCATTTCTTCAGCGATTCTCGTTTCATGTTTAAATGTCAAAGAGATGCCATTTGCATGTTCATATTGGTGGAAGCAGACGAGCGCGCAGTCAGTGGCAGCCCGGGAAATTGATCTGCCACCACCGATGTCACGGTGACGTGACAGCCTTGCTGTCTCACGGTCGTTTTGATAGACTCTTCTGCTGGCCGGAACGCGAGCTAGACCAGACTTGTTATTTCAGCTAAACAATGTCTTCCCTCGAGGCAATTGTTCTGCCGGACCCGGCGATCGTTGGAGGCAGCAAAGACATCACTTGTCGCTGCAACTCAAACCCTTGAACTCTGCAGGCATGTCCGGGCTCGAGGCATACTAACTGACTCTCTGAGAGACTCGTGGACCTGGACTTACAAAGTGCGTGGCATTCGTTGAGTCTTACTGTTCTGAAAGCTAACCAACAGATAGCAAGTATTACTGCTCGCGCTGAAGGTTCCCTCATTATAGGAGTAAGTTCAGCAGTAGATGGATATTGAGGACAAGCTCGTGCCTAAGGGAGCTGCCGTTTCGCGACATCTCGCCCTCTCAGAAGGAGGAAAATCAGTGGCGTGGATGCTATCAGAGATGACGAAGATGGATGGCGAGTTGGGTCCGAATGCTGATTGGAGATATGGCAAATTGTCAGGGGCAGTCTACCGTGCGTCTGTCACTTTGATACACAGTCATTCAGTATCTCACCCTTCTAAACAGACGGGGGAGATGATATGTCAAGAGCGATTGCCACTGCTTTCGAGCGTTACACAGTTTCCAACTAGTTGCATCCGGACGTCTTCCCTGCTATCCGCAAGATGGAAGCTGAGATCGTCTCAATGTGCGGATGTACAACAACCCGGATGGAGCTGGTACCATGACCTCGGGCGGTACTGAGTTTACGATTCCTGGTTTCGTTATTATCGCGCCTGACCTTCCGTGCGCGCTTAGACCTGGTGCCTTGATTGCAGGAACCTGGGCAGCGATTCTTAGTTGTCGTCTTAACCCCTGCCGCGAAATCGTTTCCTGCGCGCGTACGATTACCAACACCATTACGAAGTTCATTCCAGAATTGTACGTACTTCGCCCGCTTCCGTCGCATTCGTGTCCAAATGTCCCGATGTGAATGTCCATGAGGTTGGGGGCGCAATGTTTAAGAAAGGCTGGCATCTCAATGCGCTGAGCGGACCGGCTGCGGTGCAGTAGTTTATTTTCCGCAGCCATGGGAACTGATTCATCCGCTTACCCGAAAGCACCTTACGCTCCCGCTTGTTGATGCGTTCATCGCGGATCTCAAGGACTCTGCCAGACGCCAAGTCGACTTCGTCTGGCAAGGGGACGATGGTTATGTTTTACGGTACGATTCGCTTAGTGTGTGGTCGAGTTCTAGGCCTAAAATATTGCTATGGGCTATGAAATTATGTGCGACAATCATGTCCACAAGCTCACGTCTGTTGTTTGGCTCTGGAGTCCGAGTTGCCTATTTACGGCACTACACTAGCCCCACTCAATAACATTTTATTTCGCCCATTTTATTTCCTGCAAGCAATATACATCTCATTTACGAGTGACAGCCAGTGTGAACGGAACAGAAATATAGGAAATTGTAAGCATTTTATTCTCGGTAGTTTTGTAAAGCATGCTGATTGGAATGTGCCGACGCGGCACACGTATCGCAGAGACGTGAATGCACTGGCAAGTCCACTATTGGTTAGGGTACGGGAGAAAACTCGATACTTATTAGCAGCATGTTAATTAGCGTGTTGTTAGCCAGCTCTAATAAGAGGCTAATGATCCATAGCAAAAATCGGCATGGACAATCGTACTACTCGGGGCTATGCCCTGGGTTTTGGACTCCCTTGGCCGCAGAAGACGCACTTACTATTCCTGCAATCCGAAAGCAGACACGTTGGCTCACGTTGAACGGAAATTTCTCATCTTGCTTGCAGTCCGTGCCCGGTCCACCGTGCTTGATGATACAATACGTAGTTCACCATCAAATTACTCGATATGAACCCAGGGGTGACCCCGAGTTCTGACATCTCTCGCTGCCATCACCTAGGCCTAGTAACTATTCTGCCAAATTGATTGATAGACCCCACGACTGCTCTGCCGAATGTGCCAGCAGCACTATTTGCAGGACATAAAAGTAAGCTGTCTTCATATCATGTCCCCCAGCTCCCAGCCCCCACCCTCAGAGTTATTATTCCCCCTTGGCAGATCTCATATCACCTCGCACAGACAATGCGTTTCTCCTTCCTCGCCGTTGTTGCTGTTTTGACAGCATCTATGTCTGTCAGTGCATGCACTTACGAATATTACGCTTGCACCAGCAATGCAGATTGCTGTGGTACCATGGTTTGCATAATTGATGTGAGTATGAGTACTTGGCTTCACATCCAGAATCTAACCCCATGACTCGCAACGCTGATAGGAGTTCGGCGGATACTGCGATTTTCAAGACCCGACTCCTTAAGCCTGAGTAACACGTCGCGATGTGAGTCCTGTTTCTGCTTTCGCTTTGCCAGTGGTCTTGAAGCTGATGATACAATAGGTAGTTAATCATCAAATTAATTAATATGACCAACTTGTTTCAAGGCATGGCTCAAGATTTATGATTTGTTCACACCCTGTTAGCTGAGGACCGAGTACAACACGCTTCATAATCCGCCTGAGTTTGGTATTCATTAGACCCTCCCGAATGCCCTTCGTGACAGACACCTTGAATGGTGCTGATAAGCGTTGATGGGTTGAACGAACGAAAGTTTGTCGAGCCAAATCAAGTACTGCTGATCACGTCGCCAACTTCTGAATGTACATATTTCTCAAGTTAAGGGGTGGAGTGCAGACGGAGCAATTGCGCAAGCACACAACTACTGGCACAACCAAGGGCCTGGGTTTTCATGAGTACAGCTCGCGCGTTGTCATCTCATTGAAAGTTGGCGGTGAATACCGTCATGTCCCTGCAGCAAGTACGGTGTATACCTTTAAGAACTCACGGCAGAGTGAGTATCTTTCGATCCTCGCAAAGGAGTTTGTTTGCTCATGCCCAATGTGGTGATGAGATACTCCGCGAGATCGCTGGAAAGACACCCAGTGCGCAGGACACACTGAGCGGTATTCAGGGGATGTGCCTCGACCCTATTAGAGTCATATGAGTTGTTATTATGGGCGATAAAATGGTTATCAGTGATACAGGGAAAAGGACAACAGAGAACATGTTCGGTTTCTTAATACGAAGGAACAACTATTTTCCTTCGAAAGTTGGTCTGGCTAGGGGACACTACTTCGGTTTCGTGTCCGTCGAATACGTCTGGAAACGAACTCGACGCACATGAACATCACCGAGTGTGTAGATGATGGGATGGGGTTAGAGTGAACACGCGTTTGGGGTCGGTCAACTGAGTCTGGGGAAGTGTCTGGAAGTCTTCGATGCCCCCTTCAAGTTCGTTGTTGTGTCCTGTCTGGAGAAAAGTCCAGGGAAGTGAGATAAACCAAGTAGGTTTTGATGGGAAAGATATTTCTTCGTTCCAGACCATGAGCGCTCCCTCTGCATCACGGCTTGCTATCAGTTGCTCGTCTCGTGATACCGTTACTGCCTGTATACTGCCATGATGTCCCTCCATTTTCTTCAATACCACGATGTCCTCCAAGTCCCACAAATGAAACAGCCCGTCCCTCGGCCCGTCACCATATGATGCCCATCGGGGCAGACGGCGACTGCTGCTACTGCGGATTCTTCATCATTTTGAAACGCGCGAACGGGCGTTTCCAATGACACGATGCCAAAAAGCATGCGCTTACGGGTCGGAGCTACTTTTTTCGCCATTTGATGCAGCTCGGTAAAATTATGAGGTGTGTTTGTTGCAGAGACTCTGGATGTCTTGGTTCTAGGTGCGTTCCCCTTTCAGGCGACGGAACCACAGCTTTGTCAGCGTCAGCAAATTTATCCTGTGCCAGTTGTAGAGCCCTATGCGTCTGTGAGCCTTGATGGCTCCTGACGCTATGCCGCAACCGATGGGTAATACTCGTCGATTGCCATTCGTGTATGTGCTTCGAGGACGCCCACGGCACTTGGAATAGCCCGTGTTATTATTCATGGACAATGCCAGCTCAGGTGAGTGGTGCGTTTTTGTACACATTCCTGCGGTGCCAACTACCGACCAGAGTCGAGGGGAGCATTCGACGCCAAGCTGGACGATGGCTCAGGCTCAAGGATGACATAAATATGAATTCTGTCTTATAGACCTAGATTCCTTGGTACGGATCATCAGTATCGGGCATGAATGTTGCCCAGATTAGGCGCTCGCCTTACCTGTCGATAGCTGGGCTATTGGAGATCATAGTCGGCACGTACAGCCAGAAGTTCCTAGGTGACTCATGAAATATAGATATGACTGACCTGCATGAAATGAATCAGAAGATTACGAGTGATAACAGTATTATATCTGAGTAACACTTTACGCTGATACAGATCATTCATCGAGATTGATCGCGCGGCCAAACCTAGCATACAACGTAACTTTCAGCTCCTTCATCTCCTTTTCGCATTGTTCTGCATTTGCTGATAGGTCTGAAAGTTGAGCGGATATAACCGCCTGGTCCTTTTCAAGTCGTTTCATCGCTCGGGGTTGAGGCAAGGTGAAGGAAAGATTCGCCGATCTTATATCTGATGTATGGCCAAAAAAAGTCAGTCATTGTCCTTGTTAGAGCATAATCTTCAGACGCACAGTACATGTTCGTCCTCATCAGTAAGCTCAAGCTCTGTAGAGAGGTCATCCAACGCTTCCTTCTCTTGCTAGAAGATACCATGAGACCGGGTAGAACAAGTGTCTGGCTTGCTAACACACCTTAAGTTCCTCCAGTCGTTCCTCTATGCTCCTGAGACGAGTATTGAGTTTGGAGAAGGTGCTGATACGTTGCTGATCCTCTAAGAGCACTCGATGAACTTGGCACCCTGATTGTCAAAGATTCGGAACGCACCCCAAGTAACCTCAGCACCGTCGTCATTTCTCCTCTTCTTCTGCAAGCTTAAATGCATTCATTCAGTGATCCTCATCTCATGATTGAAGGTCGAAGAGGTACCATCCGCATGTTGTTCATGTTGGTTGTGGAAGCAGATCAGCGGCAGCCCGGGAAATTGATCTGCCGGCGGCAGGCACCCTGGACTGATGTGATGTGACAGCCTTGCTGTCCAACTCCAACAGTCAACGTTTCAACTCACGGTCGTGTTGACAGACTCTTCTGCTGCAGAACGCTCGCTTGACCACGCTCATCGATTTCGGCTAAACGATGCCTTGCCTCAATGTTGTTCTGCTACACTCGGCGATCGTTAGGGATTTCTTGCGAACCAAGACACCTTACGAGGCAGCAAAGACAGCACTTTTCTTCTATATCGCTGCAACTCAAACCCTTAAACTCTGCAGGCATGTCTGGGCTCGAGGCGTCACTGACTCTCTCAGAGACTCGTGGACCTGGACTTACAAAGTGCGTGGCATTCGTTGAGTCTTACTGCTCTGAAAGCTAACCAGCAGACAGCAAGTACTACTGCTTGCGCTGAAGGTACCCTCATTACAGAAGGAAGTTCAGCTGCAGATGGACAAGGCAAGACTGGATATTGAGGACAAGCTCGTGCCTAAGGGAGCTACCGTTTCGCGACATCTTGCCCTCCCAGAGGAGGGAAAGTCACTGGAGTGGATACTATCAGAGATGACGAAGATGGATGGCGAGTTAGGGTCCGAATGCTGATTGGAGACATGGAAAATTGTCAGGGGCAGTCTATCGTGCGTCCGCCACCTTAATATACCCCGTCATTCAGTATCTCACCCTTCTAAACAGACGGGGGAGAGGATATGTCAAGAGTGATTGTCGCTGCTTTCGAGCGTTACACAGTTTCAAATCCGTTGCATCCGGACATCTTCCCTGCTATCCGCAAGATGGAAGCTGAGATTGTCTCAATGTGCCTACGGATGTACAACAACCCGGATGGAGCTGGTACCATGACCTCGGGCGGTACTGAGTCTATCGTTATGGCTGTCAAAACTTACAGAGACTGGGCACGCGAGGCGAAGGGTATCACAGAACCTGAGATGTGGGTATTGAGGCCCCTATGATGCGAACTACGGTGCTGATACCCATATTACAGGATTGTTCCGGTAACCGCCCACGCCGCATTTGACAAGGGCGCAGCATACATGAAAGTAAAAGTTCACTTGGTTCCAGTAGACCCAGTGACACGAAAGGTAAACATGAAACGCGTCCGTAGAGCTATGTGAGTGTCCTTTCCTATGCCAATAATGTGTTGCTCAGATGGCTTCCAATAGAAACCGGAACACAATCCTTGTAAGCACATCCTTTGTCATAGCCGCAAGACTTGACACTGTTGTCCAGCTTGTAGGATCAGCCGTCAATTTTCCGGATGGAAATCAAGACGATATTGTTGCTTTGGGCGAACTCGCTGCAAAGCATAACATTGGTCTGCATGTTGACTGTTGCCTTGGGTCTTTCATTGTGCCATTCCTGGAGAAAGCGGGCCTTTCTGATGGCGAACATGGAGGCGTAAAGTATAAACTCACCCCATTCGACTTCAGAGTCCGCGGAGTTACTAGCATCAGTTGTGATACTCATAAGGTACGTTTCCGTCATTCAATCCATTTATGTGATTTGAGGAAGATGTTTCCTTCGCGTAACAGTATGGATTTGCGCCCAAGGTATGAGCACGCCGTAAGTGATTAACCATTCTTACTGGATCTTATAGGGGTCTTCTGTAATCATGTATCGCGACGCTGCGTTACGGCGTCATCAATACTATATCACGCCTGACTGGACAGGTTCGTAAAACCCTGGAAAGCGTTTCTGCCAACTTCAAGTTCTTTACAGGTGGCGTCTATGCTAGCCCGAGTTTGTCAGGCTCCCGGTATGTCGATTCCTAATTCCGTTGTTTTTGCGCCTGACCTTCCGTGCGCACTTAGACCTGGTGCCTTGATTGCAGGAACCTGGGCAGCGATGCAGTACATGGGAACGGAGTACGTATCTTTGTTTTTCCCTCACTCTGTTCTTATGATCCCCAAACCCATTTCTTAGCGGTTATCTCAAGTCCTGCCGCGAAATCGTTTCCTGCGCACGTACGATTGCCAACACCATTACGAATTCTATTCCAGAATTATACGTACTCGGCTCTCCGCCCGCTTCCGTCGTCGCATTTGGTTCCAAATCTCCTGAGGTGAATGTCCATGAGGTTGGAGACGCAATGTCTAAGAAAGGCTGGCATCTCAATGCGCTGAACGGACCGGCTGCGGTACATATCGCATGCACAGTAGGTTTTCTTACTTTATTTTCCGCAGCCATGGGGACTGATTCATTCGCTCACCCGAAAGCGCCTCACACTCCCGCTTGTTGATACGTTCATCGCGGATCTCAAGGACTCTGTGCAAGAAGCCAAGTCGACACCGTCTGGCAAGGGGACGATGGTTATGCTCTACGGTACGATTCATTCTATTTGTGGTCGAGTTCTAGGCCTAAGTACACCATTGCTATGGGCTGTGAAATCATGTGCGACAATCATGTCCACAAACTCATGTCTGCTATTTTGTCCCATTTTTTACTTTTCCCACCTTTGACGGCTATGATGGACATACGATTGACTCTGCTGTTCTTTTTCAGGACTTGGAAAATCTAGCGCCGTTGGCTCAGATATGGTCAGCGAACTTGCTACGATGTTCTTGGATACGTTGTACAAGGCTTGATGCAGTACTCTCGGTTTGCTGTGACATGGAGCACTCTTGTACACGTGGTTTGCATCTTTAGCATCTCGGAAGGATGTATTGTAATTAATCCTCTCGGCTAGCATGCTTCATCCAATGGCGCAACATGCATAATGCAATTCCGATGTGAAAGCATCCGATAGTGTTAAGCCCACCGAGAGAAGACCTTGTTTCCCTCGTTTATTCGGAGTTAATCAAACCGCAATTGTGGTCGATTGCAGGCTAAAGCCTAAGTCGAGACCTGCCGCATGCTACAGCATGCTACTCTGGTCGGAAGGCCAGGGCATCTGGGAATCCGAATTTGCCGGTCCCAGACTTTCTGATATATTGTACTGACAATACACTCCATGCATTAGACTAGGGGTTCCAAGGACAGGGAGTCCTCTCGGCCCTTTCCGATGTCCTCCCGTACATCGCATACAATAGCCCCACTCGATTTGCATTTTATTTCGCCCATTTTATTCCGTGCCAGCAATATACATTGGAACAGAAAGACAGGCAATGGTAAGTATCTTATTCTAGGTCTACAGTTTTGTCAAGCGTGCTGAGATTGGAATGTGCCGATGTGGCACACGCATCGCAGAGGCGTGAATTCACTGGCAAGTCCTCTACTTGTGCCGCACTGCGTCACGGCTCGCAGTGGACTCCGGCCTCTGTTCTAGTCTCTTCTTCGTAGATCTCCTCGAAAAATGTATCTCGAGCGCCTCCGAGATGTCATAGACGTGCCATGACGTATGCAAAGTCATGCAGTTGCGAGTGTGTCGCCAGGTGTCACCGCGCTTGTATTGTTGAAAGTCCGCGACGACGAGTTTAATGATATATCCAGCAGGTTCCAACATATTTAATCAGTTGCTGGTTCCAGTTGGTTCCAGTTGGTTCCACACATCAATATACGCAGTGGGGCTAAATATTCCCTCACCACTTAGGCTGTATTTGTTTATCCGTCCCACCCCTTACTATACTCTCGCTGCCATCCCTATTCTGCCTAACTGGTTGATGCGGTAGAACCCCCGTCATCTGCCAGTAGCACTATTTTAGGACATAAAAGTAAGCTGTCTTCCTACCGTGTCCCCCACCCTCAGAGTTATTATTCCCCCTTGGCAGATCTCGCACAGACAATGCGTTTCTCCTTCCTCGCCGTTATCACTGGTTTGACAGCATCTATGTCCGTCAGTGCATGCACCTACCAATACGCGCCTTGCACCGTCGACTCAGATTGTTGCAGTATCATGATTTGTGAAATTGATGTGAGTATGAGTACTTGGCTTTGCATGCAGGATCCAACCCCGTGACTCGCAACGCTGATAGGAGTTCGGTGGATTCTGCGATTTTAAACCCGAGCCCTCTAAAGCCTGAGTGACACGTCACTACATGAGTCGTGATTCTGCTTTCGCTTTGCCAGTGGTCTCAAAGTTGATTGTCAAATTGATCAATATGGCCAACTTGTCTCAAGACATAGTTCAAGATTTATGATTTGTTCACGCCCTGTTAGCTGAAGACCAAGTAATCAACACGCTTCATAATCCGCCTGAGTTCGGAATTCCTTGGACCCTCCTGACCGCCCCGTCGTGACAGACAACTTGAATGGTACTAATAAATGTTGATGGATCGAACGAAGTTTTGTCGAGCCAAGTCAAGATGGGGCTAGGGTTAGGTCTCATGTGTTCTTATCTGACAATAATATTGGAAAATAGGCCATGGGCAGGGTCCGCCGAGCCGCAGGCTCGGCGAAGCTTTCCAAGGGGTCGACTTCCGGAGAAAGAGGTCGAGTTTAATTCTGCTTTACACAAGTCTAATTGGTCGATACTTTCGAGTTCCACGTGCAGGCCTACCCAGGGTCAGTCCCTTTGTCCTTGTAACACGCACTCCGGGCGCTCTTGGCATGACTCCATGCTGAGCAATCTCCGCTCCAGGTACATAGCAGAGATTCTATTGCATGCTTAACGCAGCGGAGCAAATAGGAGGCCCTTGCCTCTTCTCACTTGCTCGTCGTCGCGTTAGGTATGTAGGCGAGTTTCATTCTCGTCTCATTTACTCGTCTTCTCGTTAGTGTTAGTTTTTTCGTCACCCACCCTCGAAATCTCCCTACCCTGCCTGGCTTCTATCGCACGTAAGTATTCACGCATTCTCTGGTTCGTTTGGGTTCCCTACCTACGGTCTGGCATTTGTTTCCTAGTCAGTTTCTCGCGCAGTATTTATCGGGTTTCCCCGGACCCTCGTTCGGGGAAATTCTTTTGCTGGCTAATCCTCACGGCCTGCCCCCTCGCGAGGCTAAGTGAGTTGCTCACCTCGGGGGTCGCCTTCTTTCTTTGGCAAGAACCTGGTGGCAAAGGCAGTAGTAACATCACGTGCACGCAGAAACGGTTGGTCGGGCGGAGTTTGAAAAACGGTCGACCAGCTGCCACAATATTCACAATGGTCACGGTGGGAACATATGGAGAGCCTGCATCATGGAGGCTCGTTAGCAGGTGACGAGGCGAGGTAAAGCTACAATAGAGCCACAAACTACTGAGGGAGAATCCTCCTAGAGGAGGGGATCTTACAGACTATAATTCCAACATAATAATAGGGTCTGAAAGGCCGTGGGAACCTCTCCAAAGTGCTGCCAATTGGGTAGAGGATCGAGAGATACTTTGCCGTGGGTTCTTAAAGCCACACATAAGTAGTACTTGCTACAGGGACATGACGACATGCACTGCCAACTTTCCGTGAGATGACAACGCGCAAGCTGTACCGTGAAGCCTTGGAGACCCAAGCATTTGTTTGCGCCAGTAGTTGTGCGCTTGCTCCGTCTGCACTCTACCTCCCACCTTGACTTGAGAAATCTGTACACTTGCAAGTCGACGACGTGATCGACAGTACTTGACTTAACTTGACAAACTTCAATCTATCGTCATTTATTAGTACCATTCAAGTTGTCTGTCACGACGGGGCGGTCGGGAGGGTCTAAGGAATCCCGAACTCAGGCGGATTATGAAGCGTGTTGATTACTTGGTCTTCAGCGAACGGAGCGTGAACAAATCATAAATCTTGAATCATGTCTTGAAACAAGTTGGCCATATTGATTAATTCGATGATCAACTACGTATTGCATCATCAACTTCAAGAAGCACAGCACCACCAAATCCGAGTCATTACTCACATCGCGACTCGTTATTCAGGCTTCCAGCTCATCAAGATTTCTTTGATTCGCAATATGGACCGAATACCTATTAGCGTTGCGAGTCATGAGGTTGGATCCTGGATGCAAAGCAAGCTACTCATACTCACATAACTGAGATTACAAACCATGTGACTGCAACAATCGCGGTCGCTGGTGCAGAAGTCGAATTCGACACTGCATGCACTGACAGACATAGATGCCGTCAAAACAGCAACAACGGCGAGGAAGGAGAAGCGCATTGTTTGTGCGAGGTGATATGAGATCTGCAAAGGGGGATCCTCGAGGATCTCAAATAGTAACTCTGAGGGCGGGGAGATACGTATGACACGATAGGAAGACAACTTACTTTTATGTCCTGCAAACAGTGTTGCTGGCAGATTCGGCAGAAGTCTGTCAATTAGTAATTTGGCAAAAATATTAGGCCTGGCGGATGGCGGCAAGAGTACAAGCAGAACTCGGGGTGACCCCAGGGTTCATATTGCATGATTCGACGATGAATTACGGCAGGCACCAAAGCGAAAGCAGAAACACGACACACATCGCGACCTATCACTCCAAGATACCAGTGCTGCTTCTGATCATGAATTAATAAGAGTGCACAAGCAAAACTTGAGGCATGTATGTGCTCATACGTACTTACGGCCAGAATACTAACCCTCCTGTCATGTCGACACACTTCATGGAACCGCGGAAGAAGTGAAGGTTCCCCGAACAAGATTTGAAAACCACTGCCAGCAAGATGTGGAATTTCCGTCTAACGGGTCTGCGCTTTGGGACCGCAGAAATAGTAAGTACCGTCTTCTGCGGCCGGTGTTGGCCAGGGGAGTCCAGAATCCAATGCGTAGCCCCAAGTGGTGCGGTTATCGATTATCTACGTCATTCGTCTTAAAAGCTTAACCCGTCATGACACGTTTGATAATACCTTGGTGAAACCCAATAATAAGGTGAAGATTTAGATTCAAGAGTCAACAGCACGGTTCTGGGACAGAAAAATAAAGAGCAGAGAGGAATAGCCGTTTCCTATACAAAGAACCGTACAGCACATGCTACAAAGTTTGTCTTGTGTATGTATGTTGATGGCGCTTGAAGGGGACACTACATTATAATGAACACCTGAAACAAAGGATAGAAAAAAGGGGGGATCTGAAAAACGTATAGAAAGGAAAACAAAAATGGGATAAAACAAAAACAATACGACGGCAGCACCAACAAACGAACAAACTTTGACATGAAAAGAATACCATGAATATGTGATGTGTGCACCCCGTTATGTAGAACCAATGTACCGCCAAATACTACATGTGCGTACAAGAAATGACACGATAAATGATGTGAGGATCCTAGCTTCTTTAAGGCGGCGCTGGTAGCAAGGCTGGGGGTCTTGGAGGCTTCACGCGGAACTCGCTGATGATGCATATGTGACTGTCAAGCATGTCAGTAAGGGCGTCAACATTCCCTAAAAAGACAGGGAACTTACTCAGACGGGAAATGGGCGTTCGGGAACCCTACCACTTTTTCCAAGTACCCCCTGTCCACTTCTCCCAGCACCGCATTCAGCGCCAGATTTGCGGTCGAATACCATATATAGTCGATCTCGCCCTGGAAGCTCGGCGTATAATTCGTCAGCGGTAGCTCACCCGCGGCCGCGTTTGCGCTCTTGAGTCCCAAACGATGCCGCAGCCCATCCGTTGTGTACCGCCCATACAAATGACTCATAAAGTCCGGGTGGTCATGCGGCACACTCCCGTTCGAGAGGAACTCGTACACGCCCGAAGACGGGACGCTGTTAAAGTCTCCGCAAATGATCAGCGGGATCTTGCTTCCATCGATATAGACGGGTGCACGGGGCGTATCCAGCCGCGGGGGTAATCGTGCAAAGTTCGCAGCGATCTTCTCGATCTCGTCGACGAGGAGCGCGACCTGGACGAGCTTGACGTCGCGATAGGCGGGATCCCAGTGGATGTGGGCGTTAGCAAGAATGATGCGAGTGCCAGTTTCTTTCATTTCAAAGAGACAGATGACGGCGATGTGGTCTTTGCCTAACACACGATTGAACATGTCGTCTGTTTTCTTGAAATCGGGGCGCTGCATTGCGACGGTACTGAACTCGATGAGCTGACGTTCGACGAGGGAATACCTGATAGAATAAACATGGTGAACGGGTCAACATAAAAAGGACACTCACTTGTCCGCCTTGTAAAACGTCGCACACCCATCGACCTGCCGGCGATCTGCATCACTCATCGTTTTATACCTGCTCTTCGGCCAATAAACCCCTTCATACCCCTGCCCCTGCAAATGCTTCACAAAGTAATCCTCGTACTGTGCGATATCCACTTCCTGAAGGCACAAAAAATCGGCATCGTAATTCATTATTTCCGTCAGTATCAACTCCTTTCTGTAATCCCAGCTGAGTGCCCACGATGGCGTGTATCCGTACAGCCGCTCCGTCGCGTACTTCTCGCAGAGAATGTTGTAGCAGAGGGCACTGAACGTCTCTGTAGCAGGATCTGCGGCAAAGGCTTCGCGCTCTTGAGGTGAGATGAGGGACTTCCAAAGACGCTCTGGTGGAGGAGATGGGACGGGGCAGCTATCGCGCAGGAAGGAAATAAGCGCGGGGGTACCGTCCTTCTGCACGATTGCCTTGAGAGACGCGTCGATCGGATTTCCTTCAACACCGATGGTCTGCAGCTGGTGCAAGCTGCCCAGTTCAGGCGGAAGGGTCCCAATGTGGTTGTCAAACAAGTATAACTCCTTCAGCTGCGTCAACATGCCGAGCTCAGGGGGAACTGTTGAGAGATTGTTTCCACTGAGATCGAGGAGCTCGAGATGGCGGAGCTTCGCGATCCCGGAGGGTATAGAGGTGAGAGCGTTGTGATTCAGATAGAGGTTAATGAGGAAGGTGAAAGAGAAGAGGCCAGAGGAAGGTGGGATAGTTTTAATGTTAATGCCACCCATGTCAAGGGAGTTCCAGGTGTTCTGTGGCGGTTTTGCAGTAGGCCGCGGGGCCTCGGCAATTGGGGCAACAGTGGATGAGGGATGATTGGCAATAGCGCTTGTCATACCTGGTGAGCTCTCGCCGGCACTCAAGGCGGGGGTGGAGGAGAGAGCTGGTGTCGGTGGGTCTTTGGAGGCAGATTCCGCGACGTCGGTGTTTGAGCTGGTACTCGGTTTAACAAGGTTAGGATTTGTGATTGGGATGGCGGATTTGATGACGGTGCGTGAGGCCATGGCACTGGCACGAGCACGGTGATGTGAAGACCGAGAGGACCTGATCATCTTTTATGACGTATTAAGAGATTAAATTAAGCGGAGGACTGGTTGACGTACCTCACACTTGAGAAGCTGCTGCTGCCAATGGGGCGTTATGATCTGGCTGCCTACGCTTCCTGGTGATCCCTGGCCCATATGCTGTGGGTGGATATGGCCATTGGGTGGGGAGGGGTAGTGGGACAATGAATTCTGGTGCTGGTGGTGAGGAAGCGGTGGATGTGAAAGGGGATGATGCGGGTGATGCTGAATAGGATTTACAGCACCATTTGTATAGAGCGGGTAGCCTGGAGATGGTGGAGGTGGCCCTATACTCTGCTGGGGGTGATGCGTATGTGTGTGATTTCGAGACCAAGGAGATTGGTCTTGAACACCGACATGGTGGGGGTGGTTTGCGAGCTTGTGCGAAATTGCGGGCGACTGCGAAGGGTAGAACATCGCATCTGGGCCAGCGCAATATTACACTTAAGAAATATGCACTGCAAGGAGACTTCTACACGTCAGATGTCAGAATATTCACAGAGTATAAACAAAAGAAGATAAACAGTTTGAATATCTGCGACGAACGTGTTGCGTACGCTGCCGTCGTCGTCGTGCTCGCTGGTGTCGTCAGTGGTAGTGGTAGTGGAGTCGGTGTAATAGACTCAGTCAAAAGCTCGACAACCAAGTCCCAGTCCGACACTGCCACCGTGACGCCGGCGATGGGCGGCGTGACCGGGTCACATATGTCTTAACACAGCCACTGTTAATCGCTAACGTCTATGATCGCGAATAAGGATCTCGTACGATGCAAGCAATATTGAATTCTGCTTAAAAGACGCCATTCTACTCGATTAATTTCTAAACTCATTCCACCATGTCCATCTTCCAAGCAACCACCTCTGCGCCAGTTAACATCGCCTGTATAAAGTGATTATTTATTCTATACACTACTAGATTAGATCTAACAGTATCATTTATAGATACTGGGGCAAGCGCAATGAGCAGCTCATCCTCCCCACCAACTCTTCCCTATCCGTCACTCTAAGCCAGGACAACCTCCGCAGCACAACCACTGCACGCGCCGATCCCTCCTTCACCGCCGATTGCCTCTGGCTCAATGGCAAGGTAGACCCGATCAAGGCCGGAGGTCGTCTCCACACGTGCATCACCGAAATGAAGCGTCTCCGCGCAGCCTTTGAAGCAGCAAATCCTGATCAGCCAAAGGTACGTACTTCCTCATACAGCCTCGTACCACATCACTAACGCACATCAAGATCGCCGTCTTCAATGTGCACATCTGCTCCTTTAACAACTTCCCCACTGCAGCAGGCCTGGCTTCATCGGCTTCAGGCTTCGCAGCTCTTGTATACGCCCTCGCTAAACTCTACGCGCTCCCACAAACCCCTGAGGAACTCAGCCTCATTGCCCGTCGTGGCTCCGGTAGCGCATGCCGTTCCCTCTTCGGCGGTTTCGTCGCCTGGGACATGGGTAGCGACGATGCAACCGGCTCAGACAGTAAAGCCCGCCAAGTCGCCCCAGAGTCCCACTGGCCCGAGATGGAAGCCCTCATCTGCGTCGTCAATGACGCCAAGAAAGGTACAAGCAGCACCAGCGGCATGCAGCGCACCGTCGTCACATCCGCACTCCTCCAGCACCGTATCGGTTTCGTCGTTCCCTCCCGCATGGCCGAAATCGAGAGCGCTATCGCAGACAAGCGTTTCGGTGACTTTGCGGAGATCACCATGAGGGACTCGAACCAGTTCCATGCTGTTGCTCTGGACACTTACCCCCCCATTTTCTACATGAACGACGTCAGTCGTGCCATCATCGCCATCATCACCGAGTACAACCGTCTCTCCGAGCAGCCCAAGGCTGCTTACACGTACGATGCCGGCCCAAACGCCGTCATCTACGCGCTCACACCCAACGTTCGTGAGATAGCACAGCTTGTTTTGTACTACTTCCCCCAAGCAGAGAAGGTCGTCATCGGAGGGCAGGAAGTACAGGCTGCATTGCCAGAGGGATTCAATGAGGCTGTTGCCAAGCGCTGGGAGGTGGGCGCTGTCAAGGGGCTTATTCATACCCGTGTGGGTGACGGCCCCCGGGTTTTGAGCGACAGTGAGGCGTTGTTGAACGCCCAGGGCATCCCTAAAACGCTTGCTTGAGCAAAAATAGAATAGCCATATTTGCATGATCTTTTGTATCTTAGGGTGGAACTTGTTGCAACTATAAATGTACCGCATATCAGTCATTCATGAGATTGTCTGACCAGTGACTGACCAGTGCGACCTGGCGACTGAAGCCACTTACCTGGTACCAGCATCAATCGACGCTCAGTGGACAATGATCAGATCTAGAACGCATTTTCAGCAAATACATAGTGATCGATGAGCTTTCCTCGAAAGCAAAATTTGTACAAGCTACCACCTAATATTTTATTTTTCGCGTTTACGCTGAGGACGTGCTCTCCGAAGAGTGGTGACGAATGCCTTCCAGTCGAATAATTAATTATGTTTGGTCTGCCTGAGCACTTAGACCTGAGGTTTAATTTCAGTGCTTGCCTCGATGTATCAGGAAGGTCCTTTCAAACAATCTTGATACATGCTAAGCGGAGGCGGACAAAACTACCTACTCGTGCCAACAAGAAAAACAAATTCAAAACACAATAACAAAACAAAAAAGCGCCATCACACACCCAAACCTAGCCCCCTCATATCCCATCCTCCGCATCAACCATATCCAAAAGTGACCCCATCGGCTGCTTCCCATCTTCACCAACAAACTGCAACAAACTCTCAAACACCTCCGTGCGCTGCCTGAACCGCTCAAGAGACAGCGGCTTCGTCGGAGCGTCACGTAATGCAGTCTCCTCAGGATCCTCTTCCAGAGAAAGCACCGCGTGCCGCCGCTTCTGTCCACTGGAGGTGATAGTAGCTGAAGTGCTCGCATCGGGTATCTCATCGTCATCTTCATCGTCCAATCGACTCGTCCAGGCCTCATCAGGCGTGTTTGAGCGCGGACGCTTTTTGGGTGGTTCTTCGAGGAGATATGTAGTGGTCCCTTTGGGTGTGCTTGCAGACTCGGTGGAGCCATCATCTGTGGTAATTGGAGTCGAAAAGAGATGTCCCAGGAGTGCCCTGAAAATGCTCGTCTCCTCAGGGTTTGAGTGATCCACCACAGCAGACACTTCTGTCTGTAGAAAACGCAGCGCCTTCACAGGAGGTTGTTCTTCGCACATCTCTCGGAATCTATACACAATTAACAATCCATGCCTTGGGGGAAGCTCGTAGACTCACTGTTGTTGTCGGATTTGGTACTTTGCTCGCCTGATAATTTCTTCAGGTGCAGCTCTGGAGAAAAAACGCATACGGCATCAATATCACAGAGCAAAGCACAGAAGCCCTTCTCACCTCAATAGCTTCATAGTCCAAAAATCATCCAGCCTCGTCTCCTTCAATACCTTCCTCGGACGATCCTCATCACCACTTCCCTCTCCCTCCGTCTCAATCTCCTCCGCGAGTGCACTCACCTCCCCCGCATTTCCACCATGCATAAACACATGTTTCGTTCCCTCATCATATACCACTTGATGTGCATATCGCGGAAGGGGGACTTCCACAGGTTCTCCTCCCTCTTGTATCGTTTCGGGCAATATTTTTGTCCACTTTCCAGGCCTGGAAGGATGCGTGTACTGATATATCCAATTTGGCGTGTCGGCGCGTAAGCTAGTAAGCGCACAAGTGGGCTGCGAGCGAGTCAATCCACAGAATCTAGATAAGGTGATTTGTTTAGAGCAGCCAAAATACGAATCGGATCGTCCACATACACATAAATCTCCTTCAACCGTCCGTCGATGATCGCTCGTTGAGTGAAACATGCGTCCGGACCTCCACTTGCGCTGAAATTGCTGAACAATTCCGTTACGGTATTGGTTGCGATGTCGTAGGCGTACATATCGGACAGAAACTTATCCTCGCGCTGCCCAGCAAAAATAAAAAGGGTGTGCGTCATTTGGTCGAGAACCATCGAATGTCCTACCGTTCTCTTCAGTATGCTTGACATAGTAACGCGAACGACGGGGCTTACCAAAGCGGGGTGAGATGAGCGGCTGTACCGACGATGTCATTGACAATATGGACTGAGGTCTGCAGATACAATGAGAACACCAGGAAAACTACCAACAATGATGATGCTTACTGTAGGAGTTTCCATTTACTCGTGCGGACGTTGTAGCTGTACAGACCAGAGTACTTTGGGGAATCCCAATCACCATCAACCACTCGTCCCCCGAAAACATACAATATTTGCGCCTCGCAGTCCATCACCATTTGGTGGTCGAATATGAGTGGTGGGCCACCACAAGACTAGCATTGTTGGTTAAAACATCTATACATAATGTTAGTTCGAGCTACTACTCACCGCTGTATCAAAAGTCAACAGATCCCATTTCCCACCATCCAGTCGTCGCGTATGATAGCGGTAAAACTCCGAGCAGTACGGAGTAGGCCTAGACCCATCCGGTATCTCACCCGCTCTCCTTAACAGCTCTTGATGGTCATCCGGTTTGAGGATATCCCCATCGCCAAGTCGACCCAGGAGATAGATGCAGCTCGACTTCGTGTCATAAACCATTTTGTGACACGACCTAGCGACAGGCCCATTCTTCTCGAGAGAAGTACTGTGACTTATCACACGCCATCGCTCAGCATTCACGTCGTACACCCAGAAATCGTCCAGGCTTTTCTGCCCATCCCAGCCTCCGAGAAGGTAGATTAGACCATTTTCAGAATCGAGTGCCATTGCGTGACCACCGCGTTTGCTCGGTGCATCACCGTCCGCGTCTACGCCGTGAAGACGTTTCCATTGGGAGTGTGGTTGACAGTATTGGATATAAGCGTCAAAAAGGCCAGCTGAAGACGCTTCGGAGAGGAGTGCCTCGGAATCAGTCCAATTCCCTTGGAGAACAAAGCTCGAGTGCAGGGCTGTCACAACCGGATGTTCTACCTGGATGTTCGAGCGCGTCAATATGTTTTGATATGGTGTTAGCAACCTCCGCTGCCTCAGATGCTTGAGCACGTGGCGGAGCACCACCGTTTCTCGGTACTATGGTTATTTTTTCAGCGAATATACTCATGGCAAAAGATCGTGGCAAACCTCCTCGTATCGCGAGCGGATATTGTCGACGTATGAAGGATCGGTGATGCCTGAAACAGAGACATACCAGATCGAGATGTGGAAGCTCAGCCCATGGGCTCTGAAAGCCCGGCGCACAATTAAACAAACCAACAGCTGCAGCAAGCCCACTCACGAAACAGGTACGATCTTGATGAACTGCGTCGGAAAGCACATGCCCTCGCTATTCACATGCTTCAAGGGAAATGTTTCATATATGGTATCGTCCTTGAGTTGAGTATGTAGCGCCTGCACCATATGGTGTGGATTCAGGCCTACGTAGACCCTAAACTCCCTCATGTTGCATGGATGTTCTGTAGGATCTGTTCAGAACCTGAATGTTGGAGGAGCGTGCTCGCATACTCCTGTGAAACTTTATCCAACAGACTCAGTTTTTGCATTGATGAATGACAAGGTTGGTCGGCGTCACCTTTCCAAATGTTATGCTCTCTTCGTGTTGTCAAGAGCGGGGTATGTCAACGTGGGCGAGATAATAGAACGCAGCAGTTACTCAACTGACAACACTGAGGGTTTCTAACTTCAACAGAATCCATTGCTTCGCTGTGGGTAATTGCTGCGCGCCGCTCCATCTACTTGATGGGTCCTGAGGCACGTCCACCAGTATGTTTTCCGGAATGTAGTTCCCGCTGTGTTCCGAGCATCCAGCGATGGCGTAAGTCATGACCTGTGCAGGAGGCATAGTTGGTTGGCTTGAGGTCGCCCAAGCAGACATGTTGATCTTCGTGAAGGTGACCAGCTGAGGTTGAATTGAGGGTTATGTGAAGAGTGTGGTTCGACGTTGCAGCGTTCGACGTTCGACACGTCGAGAACCGTATTAAGTCAAGTTTGTCAACAGACGCGTACACAACTCATATACCACTAGTGCTGCCGTGCTCACGATGAAAAGATCAACAGTAACATCGATATCTGTAATTATCTATGAACAAAGAACGTAAAAGCCAATCCGCTAGACGTTAGTACGTATGAAGTACTGTACTTATACATAAGCTCAAGATATGACGTGTTCCTAAATCTACTGGTAAGATGAAGCAGGGTGATCAAGTCTACCTTTTGAATCCAAGACAAATCACTCCATACACAACTCAGGACTTTTGATCGTCAACAGTCTGCATAATCCAGGCCTCCGAGGCAACAAACTGCTGGGTTGGGACACCTAGCTCGAGGAGCTTGGAGTAAGCCGCAGAGAAACTAAAAATATATTAGCGCATGAATAGGCCGATAACTAAGGGACGCACTCCTTGAAGAACAGGTCAACATCGTCAGCGTAGGACTTCGCGTACTTCTTGAAGCTCTTGTCCTGGGTAAGAACGTAGTCGGTTCTAAAAAAAATTTCAGCTAATGTTAACGAAGAATACCCGAAGCGACATACGGGAGCATCATGAGCGACTTGGTCTTCTTGTCCTCGAGCTGCTTAGGCCCACTCCACTTCTTCCACACCCACCTGTTCAAACGATGTGTCAGCACTCCTTCTGAAAAAAAGGGCTGAATGTTTACTTCTCGTCAAACAAGAGCTTGTAGTAGTCATTGGTGAAAGTGGTAGGAGAGAAAGTCCAAGGTCCATCGAAACCAGAGCTAGATAGAATAAAATCAGCAAAAGAAAAGGAACCACGGCGAAGGCATATACCGGTCAGTGTGGCAACGGCCGAGAGCATGGGCACCGCAGAGAGCAACAATCTCTTGGTCGTCGAAGCTGCAGGCATTGTGTCAGTCTCTCAATTTTTTCACGTGAATCCCAACTCACCCCATGCGGTAGAAAATCTGGCGTAATGTGTCAGCCCGGATTTGATTTAAAAATGAAATTACATACATCGCGAATATGCGGAGCCCCTTGTGAGGCATCAGGAAGACGGCCGTCAGGAGGTGAATGTGATTCAAAACCATCAACGCGACCAGGCCTCCAAGGAACCTTCGGGCCAGCCATCTCTTGTACAGCAGCGACACCAGCAAGGGTCCACAAGTCACCGTAGGTGATCCAACTAAACTCTTGCTTGACCTTCTCCATCACCTCGCGGGCAACATGAAGACCCGCGTTAGCTCCATGGAGAGATTCGGGTTGGAAACGCATAGTCGCGTAGTTGCTGCGTTTCATTAAATACGTTACGTCAATGATAAGGCAACTTCTAATCGGCCGACAACACAAAAAGACTGACCTTCCACCAGTGCCGGTAGTCTTGTCGTATGTGCCAGAGGCATGCCATGCCAGGCGGACAAGCACAGGGCCAAAAGAGCCGTCTACGAAAACACAATGAGGAAGAACCAAGCCACCGGTATAAATATCATACAGTCGTAATCATCAGCATCATTCCATTATTTCGGCGATGCGGTTATAGACCTAAAATATAATCAGCTCAGCTACCTTCACAGAAAGGGTAGAAACGAACTTTCTGGTAGTCTCCCTTGGTTGGGACAAAATTTGTGGCAACCTTTGCTGACTGAGCCACAGACTTCAGCGCGGTCGAAGTCGCCTTAGCGGTCTCCGAAGACGAGCTGTACAAGTAGTATGCAACACCACCGCCCAGGATGGCGGCACCCAGGCCAACATAGAGACCAGTGTTGGATTTGGCTGCTGGAGGCGCCTCCGTTGAATACTTGCGGAAGGAAGACGTGCGCAACTCCGCCCTCCTGAAGGAGGCAGATAAAGCCTGTCTGCGAAGTGGAGCACGGAACGCAGCGAAAGACATGGTGGGGGATAGAGAAAAAGTTGGAAGATGAGGCGAAGAGAGGGACGCACTGAATATTAATATTAATCACGCCCCGAACCGCCTGGCTGAATCAATAAGACGAATTTCTTTGTAGTGAGTTTACATAATCCGTTATCGGTCCCCTGCTAGCCAATCGTGTTCTGCCATTTAGACAACGCCATCAGCCCCATTGGGATATGAAGTTTCTGTCGACGGAGGGCTCATCGATGCTTCGTTTAATGCAAGTTTAGACGTTTGCGATGGACGAGCACTATTAATGAGCTTCTCGAACACGCCTTCGCACGCTTTGGACGCGTGTTTCTCTCACATGACACTTCAGTACGAGAGGCAAGTCTTAAACGCATCTATAAGTAGCCAATAAAGTTCACAGGCCTTCCTTGTCATCGTTCACTGACAACCACCCTCGACCCGGCTTCACGCGGTCCCCACGTTCAATTGTCGTGGAAAGCATGACAAACCGCTCTCTTGTATGAATATCATCACTCCGTGCCCACTGGCAACGGTCAAACAGTTTCAGAGGTATTTGTAGTGCAGAAATTTGGTTTATGCTGTGGATCCGTGGTGCGCAGAACAGTCGCGAAGTTTCTGTCCATTGGGAAATCTAACTCGACCTCCTGATGCTGACAGGGTCGAAGATTCTCGAAGGACCGGGTTCCAATACAACGGCACTTTCAGCTACCCGAATTCCATGTACTGCCAGACAACGATGCGTGTCGGTGTTCAGCTACATTTCCATTGCCTGTGCCCTTCCTTTCAAATGACTGAGATATGGGCAGTGTACACTGTTAGTCGAAGCGGTGTCCTAGGCGGTAGGCCTGGTAAGTAGTTTTACCCCTTGCAGTGCAGTTTGGCTGTGAGTTCAGCCATAATGCATAAGCGCCGGCCCTCGTCATCACGTGGAGTCATGCCTTAAGGCACTGCCTCGCGAACCGCAGAGCTCAGCTTTCTTGATTCGCTTCGCCGATGACCTGATGGCGCAGCGACGTCCAAGTCTAATTTCCGTTTGACATCACACGTCATCACGCAATGCCTTGATCAAAGTGCTATAGAGGACTCGCGGAATCCTACGCTTCCGGGCGTCTCGGTTACAGTTCTGACTACTTGTCCGACAAATTGACGCCCTTATGTGCTTATAAAGACCGCAAAATATCCCAGACATCCCAATTATATACCACGCATTTCATTATGAATCCCTACGCAGGTCGTTGGCCTACCGACTGGCAACAAGGACAATACAACCCTCATGTATACATCCCCCCATCGTATTACAACCAGCCATATTATAATGATCAACCGGCAGGATGGCACACCGTCTGTATGTGCCCTTCAATCTCACTCACCTATATGATGATCTTACTATGATTTCTGCTCTTTCACAGTCGATCGCTCACGACCAACATCCAAATGGACCGCTCTAAACCCTATTCTTGCATCAGATATGACCCACGTGCGCTACGATATCCGCAAGCCTCCGCGTGAAGGGATCATGATATCTACATGGCAGCAAATTAGCCATGTTCCAGCACTCGCGTCGCCCACACACGAGGTCCACATCATCTCGAAGGCATTCCCTTGGTCAATCAACATCCGTGCGCCTGCTGGGTCTGTAGTCACGTGTGGTGCGGTCTTTGATGCATTGCATGCAATGCTACAGGAGCCTATCGCAGACTCGGAGTGGGGAATCGTGGCTCTTGATAAAACGCGGAGAGAAGCGATTGAGAAAGCGGCGAAGGCGAGACAAGATAAAGATAAAGACAAGGAAAAACGGCTGAAGAGAGTTGACTGGCTGGGGGACACGCCAATGTTTAAGGGGTTAGAGAAGGACGAGGACTTTGAGAAGAAGAGGCTGTTACCCGGAAGTGCGGGTGTCGCGGAGACATGGGTGGTGAGATTTGGAAAACCGTGATGGTAACCTATATTCGACGATGATTATCATGGGAGTTTTATGGTATCTTTCTCGTCTTTGTTCTCGGGACCCGTGTAACGACTTATCCTCATGCCTATACTTCTAAATGCAATATACACTACGGCTGTACATCACTTATAATTGGTATCATCTACGATGCATTTCTAGGGAAGTCATCCGAATATAACTTTGCAGTGATTATCATCGAGAGCGCATCATAATATTGATCTTTGAGGCGTCCAAACGCCATTGATTTTATATATCTTCATCAACAGTATCACGGCGTATCACCAGGCCCCAGGGTCAGCTTGATCAACTCGTTAGATGTATCATGCACCTATTGACATACACACATACTCACAGTTGAAGATGATATCATGCGGCGCCATTGATCAAAGGTCCTGCATGTTGATCATAATCTGCACGATCAGGGTCGCAATTGATTGAGTCTAGGGTTAGGGTTACGTACATACTGATGTTTTTTTACTCCTTCGTCTAGACGCTTACTTGGCACATATCACGACCGTAGATTGCCTACGAGGACAGACAGAAGTCGGTCGGTGTAACACTACAAGAGAGACTGCTATCTCAATGGTATCATTCCAGTAAGCCATCCATTCCTTTCTGCGCAATCCATATGTATCATTTTAACACGCGATGCACAGATGTCACAGTTCGTATCTGCTATCGCTCATTTTTCGAAACCCTTGATAACTCTAACACACCCACAATCACCAGGCTGCAGTGACGTCGTAAAAAAACCAAAACTCAACCAACATCACGGTTTCTGTCATGCAGCATTCGACTGCATAGACTGCTCGACCACCTTCCACAGCCCTGCCGAGTTTCAGGGACACACGTCGTGCATGACCGAAGCGGAGAAGTACCAGAAAAGTTTGTACAAGGGTCCTAAAACGGTGAGTTGGCTGTCTCTGCGTGTTTAATTGTTTTTCATGGGAGTAGGTTGGGAGCTGGGGGACAGCGCCTCGAGGGAATGGATATGGACGCGGTGGGTTCCAGGGCCGTGGGGGATATCAAGCGCAACCAACTCGTTATCAGGCTACTGGTGCAAACGGGACTCCACTAGGCACGCCTCAGCGCATGTCACCTATAACTACCACACCTCCAGAGCCGTCAGTCGTACCACCGAATCCAGTGACACATCAGCCTTCAAAAGTCTCAGTCTCAGCACCGGAAACAGCTGAGATCACATCTAAGACAAAATCAAAGTCCGAATCAAAACCGAAGGACAAAAAGGTGAGTACGTAGATTGTTCGTTATCTACTGCCGTATTTAAACTCGTACAGACATCGGAAGATACCACTACTGCAGAGTCATTACCTGCGCCTTCATCTCCATCGCCTCAAAAGCCGGAGAAGAAGAAAAAGGACAAGAAACACAAAAAGTCCAGTGACGATCGGCCAGACGCTATAGAGTCTATTGTCGACAATACCCCGGCACCGGCCGAGATATCAGGAGAAAAGGAAAAGAAATCCAAGAAAAAGGAAAAACGGAGAGCTGCTGTTGAGGGCGAGAATTCGGAGAGCCAAGGGATCAAGGACGAAGAAGGCGACGAGAGTGGGTCAAAATCAAAGAAGCGGAAGAGGGACGATGGAACTGTAGATTCCGGCGCGGGCAAGAGTGATAAGAAGGAAAAAAAAAGCAAGAAGAAGGATAAGGTTGATGAAACACTAACTAATGACGCGTCGACGGATACGTCTACGCTAGTCGAGACGGAGGGGGATGCGAAAACGAAGAAGCGGAAAAGGGACAAGTCAGAAAAGGTTCCAAAGGATGGCATAGACGTCGACGTAACGCCTACAGACGCTCCATCTGTTGCGCCTGTGGAAAAGAAGAAGAAGAAGAAGCACGAGAGTGCGCCCACGGAACCAGTTGCTGATGTTGAAGCGTTGGCAATGGATGTTGATGCAGCTTCGCCGACTCACGATGAGAAGAGGGAGAGGAAAAAAGAGAAGAAGGCAAAGAAGGAGAAGGAGAGGAGCTCCAAAAAATCCGACAAGGCTTCGGTATAATGAACTATTTTGTGGAGTAAATCTACTTATGAGATTTGGTTTTGAGTTTGGTGATGCCTACCTTCCTCGGCGTTGGTGCTAGCCATTAGAGGAACGTTGGCAATATACCATGGTACACGTCAACGCGGGAAGCTTTGAAAGCAGTCTTACTTTTAGTTGCCGCAGTGCCCCCTCGTAATCACTGGTTTCCGGATTGGGTGAGGTCGTTGTGGTACTGATTCAGTGATTGTGGTCAAGGGTTCGTCCTTTGCTCTTCCTCTCATCTCCGCTCATCAGACGAAGCATACCAAGAACCACCATGCACGCTATCCAGGTTCGTCGTCCTACAAGATGATTCTCGGATTTACTCAAGATCATTTCTAGCAACAATATTGGGCCGTTCGAGACTATCTCAGCCCAGTGCGTACCATCCCACTAGCCATCGCTAACTCTAAACAATCCCTAGGTCCTGAAAGAAAGCAAATTCAAAGAACACGGACGCATAACCCCCGGTACGTATCCCATCCCATCCCCACCAACCACGTCATCCCATCCCAATTTCTTTCAGAGGAATTCGTCGCAGCAGGAGACTTCCTATCATACAAATTCCCAGTATGGACATGGTGCGTGCGGCAGCCTTCTCAATCCCAGTATAGATACTCAAATCTCACCCCCATACGCCAGGGAAAAAGGCGACGCGTCCAAAGCCCGCGATTACCTCCCAGCTGACAGACAATACCTCGTCACCCGCGGCGTCCCCTGCCTCCGACGAGCCACATCACTCGCATACACAGACGCAGATGAAGACGCTGAACGACTCCTCTCCTTCGGGGACTCTTCGGGCGCAGCCGATGAATGGGTAGAAACGCATGCAGGGCGAGGAGCTACGGTGGACTCTGCAGCTAACCCAGGCGAGATCGATGATATCCCGGATTTGGACGGTGATGGATTGGCTGGGGCAATGGCGAATGTGTCGATTGTGTCGGAGACGGGTGCTACGGTGGGAGAGACACCAGATCTAGATGATATCCCTGATATGGAGGAGGAGGGGTTGGAGGATGGTGAGGATGAGGCTACGGCTGCGCCAGTTGTGCCCAAGGCTGGTGGCGTTCTTGACGCATCGTGAGTCATTCTACCGGATCTTTTGTTTGAGCGTGATGCTAGAAGAGATTTGCAGGCAGGTGGGAGTTGCTAATGGAAATCTCCTGCAAGTACGAACGTACGACGTGATGATCACTTATGACAAGTATTACCAAACTCCGCGGATCTGGCTGCTCGGTTATGATGAGGTTTGTCTCTGTCTCACATCAAAGACTTCCGTCCATGCTCATCTCTCATCACTTAGAATCGCACGCCTTTGACACCGTCTCAGATCTTCCAAGACGTCTCAGCAGACCACGCTCTCAAGACCGTCACAATCGAAGCATTCCCACACTCCTCAACGCTCCAAGCAGCCTCCGTACACCCCTGCAAACACGCAAGCGTGATGAAAAAAGTCATCGAGCGCATGAACGCAGGCGTAGTTGAAGAGCAGCTCGCTGCACGAAAGAACACCAGCAAACACCAAGACAAGGACGGGAAGAAGAAATGGGGTTTCGGGCGCAAGGGAAGCAAAGAAGATGGTGCTAAGGCTGCGGGCGTAGGGGAGGAAGAGGAAGTCGAGGGCATGCGCGTGGACTTTTACCTTGTGGTATTTTTGAAGTTCATCGCGTCTATCGTGCCTACGATCGAGGTGGATTCGACGACTGCGTTTTGAGGTGGTTTTGGTGGAGGATATACCTGCTGGATTTTTTGTGGTAATTGTGGTGGTGTAGGCTGTGCTATATGACGGGGAGGTTTGTGTATGTACCATAGAGATTATGTAGAGTTGGAATGTATGCTGGAAGCAACGGTAGGGCACATAATTCACTCGGATGTGCTTTTTCGATGACAGATTTGGACGGTGTGAAACTCGGACTCCGGGCTCATAGTAATACTAAAGAGTTACATACACTCATACTTACCTCAAAGTGAAGCAACACCAGTAACTTCGGACGAGTAACAGGAAACGGTACACTCTTATTAGGCCATCCAGTATACACATGTGATAGGTACCCACTGGACCTTTTGGTGAGTACTTGTTTGAATTGGTGGTGTCATTTACTAAAGCAGCTGTTCAAGCTTGCAAGCGATTTTGCCCTCATACGTTGCAGCCTGCAGCTGGCGCCTCATGTCGTCGGTGCCCATTCTAAGTACGGACAACATTTGATTGGATCGAGAACGGTGGAGCACAATACCAAGTATCATGACGCTACGTGCAGAGACTTCTCGTAACTCTGCACTTACTCGGATCCTAGCCCTGATGTCCTAACCTAACCTTATCATACTTGAGTACAGAACCGTATGTAAGAAACGAGGATTTTTTTGTTGTGTACGGACACCCATCTTTTCATCGTTTACCATGCTGCTGCTGCTGCTTACGGCCTGCATTACACTCCTGACTTCCGCTCAGGCGTCTTCTAACATTGCTGGTGCATGGTATTATGGCTGGCATGCTACTCAAGGAGCCCCGGTATCCAATATCAGTTGGGACAAGTACAACACGATGTACTATTCCTTTGCGTAGGTGGAAACTACTATGCAGATTTAGCGATAGTGTTGATCGACGATTCTTAGAATAACGACTTCATGTGTGAACAATATTTCACTAGCAGGATCAGATGGCTGGTTACTTCCTGCCTTCGTGTCAGAAGCACATGCGCATGTAAGAATAAGGGCTCATTTGCATGTTTGATCGTTGAACCAATGGCATGTTACATAGGGTGTTGAAGCTCACATTTCCATCGGAGGTTGGGATGGTGGCATCTACTTCTCTTCCGACGTCGCGACGGCGGAGAATCGCACTGCATTCGTCAAGACAGTGGTAGACTTTGTTGAAATGTATGATCTAAACGGTGTCAACTTCGAGTATGTATGTCAGTCACTACATAGATATGTCTGACCGAATTTTGATTCAGCTGGGAGTTTCCAAACGACCAAGGCATTGGCTGTAATACTTTCAACTCTGATGACACTGCGAACTTTCTCTCCTTCCTCCAAGAACTTCGTGAAGACTATACGGGCTCTCGTATCACCATATCGGCAGCGGTGTTAAGGACACCATTCCGTGATTCCGATGGTAATCCTTCGACCGATGTCTCCGGTTTTGCGAAGGTTCTTGACTACATTGCTATCATGAACTATGATGTTTGGAGTTCATGGTCCCCTGTTGTTGGCCCTAATGCCCCACTCAATGATTCTTGTGTAAATTCGTCGGAGCAGCGAGGCTCAGCCGTTTCAGCAGTGAAGGCCTGGACCAGTGCAGGCATGCCCATAGATAAGATTGTACTGGGTGTTCCATCGTACGGACATTCTTATAGTGTCAAACCCTCTGATGCATTCGTGTCGGGCACGAAGACACTAGCCGCTTACCCTTCTTTTAATGCATCTAATCAGCCCGCAGGTGATGCGTGGGATGACACTGGGAGCGCGGATTCCTGTGGTATTTACCATGGACCAGGAGGTAGCTTTAACTTCAGGGGACTGATCGATGGTGGATTCCTCAACTCGAAAGGCACGACTGCCCAGGGTATCTATTACCGATTTGATTCATGCAGCCAAACGGTGCGTACGCCCTTGACGATGGAGGTGCTACTTCTGTTTTCTTATGGACTTGCCGTTAGCCCTACGTTTACAATGAAACATCCGAGGTCATGATTTCTTATGACAATGCAGAGTCGTTCACAGCCAAGGGCACATTCATAAAAAATACTGGGCTGCTGGGGTATGCTATGTGGGAGGCAGGTGGGGATTACAATCATATCCTCATCGATGCCATCAATAGCGCTATGTAAACTCGTCCACTGTGTTGTATAATACTTATACCTATACTCACCTCATAGATCATCCTCTTGTAGTCTTCTTCCGCCATGTTATAGTTACTCCGGAAGTACAGCGTCGATTGCGGGCGCAAAACTGAAATACTTTGCTGTAAAGTGGGTCAAATGATTTGATTTCAGCATTTTGCGGATCTTGTTACCGAGCACAACGTCCCGGACTCCTACAGATTTGGTTCAAGCCGCAAAAAAAAGAGTACTTACATGATTAGTAGATAGTTTGGCTAGCTGATTGTTATACCAAGGAGCAGATGTCACCGCGACGCACAATGATCTGCCCCGTCAAAAATTCCGTGGCCCACCCTGGTATGTCTATGTAGTCTTTAAAATCAAGCACCCAAGACGGCATTTCGAACGAACAACATCGTATGCAACGACAATGTATATTACCACCTTGGCGCCATACAGGAAGCACACCACCAATCCTCACTGCTGCACCACCTCCCACACCACCTTTCCCTTCCCACCCTCTGCCTTCTCGTCCTCAACCTTAGCATCCCCAATCGCAATCCGCATCCCCGCCCAACACACATCTACAAGCCCCGCACCACCCGCCATACCCATCACAAGACTCGCAGCATAGTAAAAATTAGCATTCCCACGGCCCTCACTCACCCAGAGGACGTGTTGAAGTGGAAGGAGGAGCGCGGCGTGTAGGTGGAGGAGTGTGGTAATGATTGGGTGGCGGAGGTCTGTGGGGTGGGTGTTAGTGCCAGTGTGAGGTAGGTAGTATAAGTACGAGGGGTGGGAAAGGCGAAAGAGAAATGGGAACTTACAGCCGTGTACTTCAGGGAAGAGGGAAATCATGCTTAGGAATAGACCTGGATCTGCGAGAGTGAGGTACGCTTTAAACGTCCCTAGCACGCCTACGAGGAGGAATGCGGCGTAGAGGGGATCGTGTCTGAGATGGCGGGAGTATCAGAACCCATCAGAACCAGGACGTGTAATATTGATATTCAGAATGCCTTACTGGAATTTTATGCAGATCGGTAATATATATATAACGAGATGGACCTAGTTGTGTGGTTAGAGGCGTAGGCTTGGATGAATAGCACGAGAACGCACGGAGAAGACCATGAGGAAGAATGGCCTGAAATGATCGAACATTTCAGTGAAGAAGTACCACCAGAGACCCGGATTAGGTGTGAGGTCTGGAAGTGTGAGGCTGTGATGGTGTTTGTGGACGATCTGCCATAATTTAAGGGGAATCTTACCTTGCGCCCCATGATCCCATGACCCAACTCCAGCCTCCGCCCGTCATGGTGCATGCTGCACCAACAAGGACGAGCCAGTATAGTATAAACTCACCAAAGAGGGACGGTATGTGCTTGAAGCTGCCTTGGAACGGGCGTGGGGAGGCAAGGTGAGACGCGGGGGAGCTGACGAGGAGCAGGAGGATTGGGAGGAGCAAGAGGATGGAGGAGGGTGAGAGGTGCATTGCGAATGCGATGGCGAGGAGTGCTGGGGATGGTTTACCTGGAATCGAGGAATGCGTGGAAGCCAACTGGATGGAGGCGTAAGGGCGTACCTTCAGATGCAAACATGAGAGCAAGGAGGGTAAGGGTATTTTCGAATGTGGAGGTTGATAGCGCGAGTGATGGAAGAAGTAGGTACGGATTCAGTAAGTAGCTAGGCGGTGCGTTAGGCGCGTACTTGAAGTCTGCTGATAGAACGTACACGCTTACGATGAGGTTCTCTGCATTGGACCTCGTTCCCTTATGAGGTGATAAACCCTGGCGTGCGCGCCAAACGCGGAGAAGGGCCCATGCTCCCACTGCATCAGACACAGCCCATATTATTGGGAGTGGAGGTACGATGGTTGAAAATAAGGAAAGTAGGAGAGGAGACTATTGCGCAGATGATCAGCCCATGGCATCTGGTAAGCTGTAGTGACATACATGGTGAAAGGCTCCTCCCATGTATGGGTCGATGTCATTGTCGAGGAGCCAAAGCCCTTCATTTACTGTTGGTGGGATAGATTAGCAGTAGAGTCACTTGGTAAGCAGTACTTACAGCGAAGGTAGGAAGTCAGTGGAGAGCTGAGTTGGTGGTCATGCTTGAGTAGATGTTGACCTGGAAGTGGCAGGGCGGCGAGCAGAAAACGAAGACATACCAACACTGGAAGTGCTGGTGCTGTGTACATCACGTTTTGCTGCAAGGTGTTGTAGAGTTTCAATTTGCCGCCGTGACTGAGCAAATAAGGAAAGTGTTGATATCAATATGAGTTAGATCTTCATTGGCAGTGCTTCGAAGTTCTTTTGGCGGCAGGACAAGGTAGGTCCTACTACGTTCGCTGGGTTGTGCAGGCAGGTAATTTTCCAAGTTTATATCTTCAGTACTAATGCAAGTTAACTTCTTCCACAGCATGGTAGGTCAACTTGATACTAGCACCTCGGTCCAATCGAAGTTCTTTTGGCGGCAGGACAAGGTAGGTCCTACGTTCGCTGGGTTGTTCAGGCAGGTAATTTTCCAGGTTTATATCTTCAGTACCAATGCAAGTTAACTTCTTCCACAGCATGGTAGGTCAACTTGATACTAGCACCTCGGTCCAATCGAAGTTCTTTTGGCGGCAGGACAAGGTAGGTCCTACGTTTGCTGGGTTGTTCAGGCAGGTAATTTTCCAGGTTTATATCTTCAGTACCAATGCAAGTTAACTTCTTCCACAGCATGGTAGGTCAACTTGATACTAGCACCTCGGTCCAATTGGACATCGCGTCCATTTACTGGTACGCACACGTAGGCAACGCTTTGCCCTGCTTTGCCATCCTTCCATCCGTATATAATCCCCTTCTCACCACGATGCCACCTCCATCATACAAATCATTCAAACAACAACGCTACCTCCCCCATGAATTATGCAGCCCGTTATTCCAGGGACAACCCTCCTAATCCCTTCGCCTTGCTTCCGGTGTTGCATCATGCTCGCTACGATGGGTGGCTAAGGCCCGCACTACAGTTCCCCGGTCTCGCTGCACCTTCGTCCAAGAAGCCTGCTGAACGGCGCGTTTCTTTTGCAATCGATGCCCCCTCGCACCGTTCGCGTGACGGTAATGCCACGCATAATATTGGTGAGCGGTAGTTCTTGTTATGTGCTTCTCTGTGCCAAACTGTAATCAGAACTTCTTCCTGTTAATTTTGGGGCGCAAGGCAGTCGCCCCTCCTTTGTTTTACCATCCAGCTCAATTCGTTCTGTAGATATAACGCGTCCCGTCAAGTCTCGACGCCACGACGTTCCTAACTCATGGAAATGGAACAGTAAGTTTGTCATTGTGTGCGGTTATTATACAACCTGACTGGACGATTTCACACTCCTAGATGACCCTGCACGACGAACAAAGAAATCAACACCATTGAGTGCCAACGAATCACAAATCAGTACGGCTCACCCTTGCTAACACCACGATTGATTCTTATGCCTCCCACTAGCCCACCTTCTCGCGGCACCAGACGTCCCACTAATATACGACCTGCGTCGCCCACCCACCTCTCTCCAATTTCCAATGTCACCTACATACGCAGGCCGTGGATACGAGCTCCTCCGCGTCCCACTCACGCAAGCACGGCCCAAACAAATACGGCTCATCAGCCCCGACTTTCCCTGGGCATTTGACATCGGCCCCGACCCCAATACCGGAGTCGACGGCATAACGTGTCTTGAAGTACTCACCGCACTGCACGCTGCATTACAGCGCCCACTCACAGATACAGAGTGGAACATTGCTGGAGAAGAAAAACATGGGAGTCTTGTCTTCGCGCGCGATCGTCGGCTAAAGATGCGTCCTGCGTTGTGCAGGAGCGGGCATAGAGTGAGATTTGCATCTGATGCGGATGTACAGCCCGCGCGAAGAGAGCCTGTGTTACTGCGTGTGGACTGGCTTGAGTCGCATGTCGTGTTTGGGGGACTTTACAAGGACGATTCCTTTGCGAGGAGGCGACTGATTCCGGGTGCGAGGGAACCACCCGAGACCTTGGTGGTGAAGTTCTACAGACTCTAATGAAAAGAATAGTAATATAGCTGTAATAAGATGTACAACAACTTCAAAGCACAAGCAAGGACACTAAATAAATCGTACACCAGGTGTCAACAGAGCGATATGTAGCAGGAAGCAGAAGGCACGATGAAAACGAGAGCACGACAGCGGACACAACGGAGTGTATAATAACAGATCATGGTCATGAATATGTAAAAATGTATGTGATCTAGTGAGTGATCCAAGTCATCAAGAAGGGCGCTGAGAGCGAGACTTGTCCCCGCAATGCATCTCTCGGATGTGCCGGAGGATCGTGTCTCGCCTCATGGTCTTTGAGCAGCCCTCAAATAGACATTGTACCTGACTGGCGGGTGGCTGATGAGGCTCAAGATGGCATATCGATAGGTGCTTCAGCATGCTCTTAACCGTACTCGCGGTAATGTTGCACCGGCCTTGACTGTTAGTCCATAAACAATGCACCTGTGATAAACCACTATTGAATGGAAGTTCCTGAGGTAGGGTATCGTGCTGCGGCACCCAGTGGTGATGCAAGGGCGCAGTGGGGAATTGGCTAGTCCCGTGCGATGTTGTGTTGGTATGCAGTTGCGGATCGTTTGTGTGCAAATAGTCGGGTAAACCACTGAGACTGTTGCGCCAAGTTCGCCCAGCCGCACTGCTACAACGTCCGCTATGTTAGGAACAAGAGTACCAAACGTCATGTAAAATGACCGTACCTTCGAACATCATGCTGAGTCACAGCTGTTCTGAGAGAACTCGACGGTGACAAGACGCTGCTTAACGATGAGTCGTCATCACGCAGGTCACCGCTAGACGATGGCCAGAAACTAGTCTTCGGCTGAGCGTGACACTGCATCACAGAGGATACAGTATCATTGTTGTGCGGATTCCCAGATTCCGGATGCGTGGCGTTCTGTTGAGGCTGCATGAAAAGAAAAGAAGAAGAAAAAAGAAGAAAAGGACTATCTTGCATGCTCCCAGCCGAACATACCTCGTTGATCGTACATCTTGGATACCCAGACACCTCAACGTGTGCATATAGTTCTGAATGTTGCTTCCTGCCAAACGAATAATAGGCATGGGGGAGCTTAGGGAGATAGAGGAAACCCACCAAAAATTATCAGGCATGTTGTCCATTAGAAAATAAGACGATGATAGGCATCTGATCAGCCCAGGGAGTCATTATGTAGTCTCTGGCGAGAGACAGACGCGCTAGCCTGCCCCAATGGCCACGGAAATGAATGACCAACTGACGAAATTCAGTAGATTTAGAGGCCAAGAAAACCATCAAAGGTATTTCCCACTAGCAGGCACCCTGAGTAAATGGGCAGTATCATACATAGAACATTTATTGCCTCCGCATCACGGAGGAGAATGAGGCCGAATATGAGGGAGGACTATTACCTCCGAATCATGAGGTAGACGCTTGCGTTTTTAACGAACATCACGTGACAATCGTGACAGAAAAGTGACAATAGCAGTAAAATCGATAGCAATTCAGTGACCTAGCTTCCTGCAAATCCGTACTGCGATCCAGTAGAAACAATGTGAATGATAATTATCGCGTGTTCAGAATAGAATTATGTGCAGAAATGAGAGAGCTAATAGTTAAATACCATTCTGCACACAAAATCAAGCCAAAGAAAAAACTCCGCCACCGTAAGAGTGAAGCGGAGCTGCTCGGCAACGGAAGGCATCATGGCACCACGGAAACGTCTCCACAGTGTATGGGCTTCAAACCTTCGGTCAAAGAAGGTCAGGACTCAGGTGGAAAGCTTAGAAAAGGAAAAAGTGAGTCAAATCACAAGAAACATGAAGGTTTGACTCAGTTTTGAGCAGGTACCTCTCGAGACAGTACCTGTAGAAGTGGGCTGTCAGTCCCTGTCATACCATGGAAAAATCACAGTCCACCATGTATTGAGTGAACTTGAGAGGTGCCAATCCCAATTTTAGCTTTTCTATCAGATCTGTCAGATTTATAGATGCTTACATGAAGGGACTCGATGGAACACTGCAGGCCGCATGGGCAATCAATTAATCAACAAGTATCGCGGACACCGTGTCCTTCCAGAGACGATAATGAGGGAGTTTGACCAATCCCTTGCAGCTTAGAACTTCTCTTTTTGCACTTATCAATATCTTAATCTTAATCAAATCTTAATCACTCTATTTCACTTGCATCTGTTATTCCCTCTGCAATCACTCTACATACACAATATTTAAGTACTCCATGCTTTATACGCTCCAACTTGCCGGTGTGCCGTTCAGCAATATGTTCAGCTTGACTTATCCTCACAGCGTCACACATCTGTCACATCATGTGATATTCGTTGAAATCGCATTGCGTCTACCTTATCCGGGAGGAGAACAAGGCATTGTCAACTGGCACCGAACTTTCATCTAGGAGAACAGGCATTGACACCGATTCCCGAATCACCCAGGGGCACACGGATTGCCTCCGAACTAGTCTTTTATCCTTGTGCTTCACCTTGCGAGGCAAGGTGTATTCCTCTCCGGGAACGAATAACGACAACCTTTCCTTTCATAGTTTTTCACGTGCATCTGCATGATACGATGGCTTTCGACCAACCGTTCAAACTTCAAAGCTTCAAGCTCAAGTAAATGTTCAAAAGAGCATAGTAATACATACAATGATTACGTAAATGAAGCATGGAGTATGGGTGGATGAAGCGTACTGATATAGATGCTAAAAGTTCCGGTAAAGAATCATGCATTATATTGCCACTGAGTACTCACTACTGATGCCGGACCAGGGTACTACTTTCTGATTGTAATACCTCGATGGCTTTTTTCACTGGCCTTTGCCTCCACCTCTACTGAATTTCGTCAGCTGGTCCTTCATTTCCGTGGCCATTGTTACAGGCTGTCCGCCAGCGTGTCTACAATTTGCGTAATGGTCTCTCTCGCCGGAGACTACCGTGACATAAACGCGTCCTCCTGGGCTGATCAGATGCCTATGCACCGTCTTATTCTCTAATGGACACAGACTCATAACTGATAAGTTTTGGTGGGTTTTCTGGATATCCAGGATGTATAATCAATGAGGTATGTTCGGTCTGGGAGTATGCAAGACAGTGCTTCCATGTAGCCTCAGCAGAACGATGTGCGTCCGGAATCCTGGAATCTGCACAACAATGATACTGCATCCTCTGGCGCAGTGTCATTCTCAGTCGCCGAAGACTAGTTGCTGGCCATCGTTTGGTGGTGGCCTGCGTAGTGACAACTCGTCATTAAGCAGCATCTTGTCATCGTCGAGTTCTCTCGGAACAGCTGTGGCTCAGCATGATGTTCGAAGGTACGATCCATTTACGTGATGTCGATACTTTTGTTCCTAACAGAGTGGACGTTGTCGCAGTGCGACGAGGCCTACTAACACAACATCGCACGAAAAAAAGGCCACCGGAATATTGCCACTGTACCCTGCATAGACAGAATCACACTACACCAGATCTGTGGTTCGAGCGGGTCGAGCATGCGTTTTTTGCGGTGCTGGGTCTAGATCTGTCCAGTTGATCGGTCTAGTAACAACACTACTTGGATATATGTGGGTTGTAGTTTAATGTAGTTCTATCAGACCCCCCGTGTTCACCTGTTAAAAACTAAGGTATCCCGTTCGTCTCCAGAACGAAACTACCAGCACCCCCAAACAGATACGGCTCATCAGCCCCGACTTTCCGTGGGCATTTGACACTGACCCCGACCCCAGTACCGGAACCGAAGGTATAACGTGCCTCGAAGTCCTCGGCGTGCTGCACAATACATTACAGCGCCCACCCACAGACACGAAGTGCCACTACTGGAGAAGATAAGCACGCGAGTCTTCTCAGCGTGCGCGATCGTCGGCTAAAGTGGGTAATGTGTTGCGCGGAAACCGTACCAGGTAGACAGTGAGATTTGCATCTGACGCCTGCGCGGAGAGAGTCGGTGCTGCTGCGTGTGGACCGGCTTGGGTCTCGTGTCACGTTTAGGGGACTGACATGATGTGTTTGTGAGGGAGCGACTGATTCCGGGTGCGAGGGAACCGCCCGATATGTGGGTTGTGATGTTTCGGAGGTTATCCTAAGTACGACTACGATCGGAGGAAATACACTATAAGCAAACCTTTTTTAGTTATCTATCGAGAACGCAGGTTTGAATGCCAGGGGCTATTGCTCTCGATATGGTAACTTAAAATTTGGACCTCGAGGCTGCCGCTCGCCGAGCAAGTATTATCGCGAAATATCGCGAAAGTTTAACACGGGCTAGATAATCTAGCAGCTGGTCTCCACTGACGAAGAGCTTTGCTACAGTGAGTCGCGGACATTCACGATGGTCGTAGAAACCCAGCACCATCACAGATCAACGCTCAAACAGGTCGGTCCATCTAATTGTTTCATTCAACATCAGTTACATCTACTTAATCCTACCACAGAAAAACAAACCCTTCAAGTCCCACCATGCCACCAAATCCGCCCTCAAAGAGATCGCAAAAGGTGCGCTTGTTCATTCATCACTCGCTGATCTCGATCTCAAGGTACTTCTGTACTCGTTTCTTCTTCTGATAGGCCGTACCGCCCGCCCGAGCGCAAAATCGCCAGCAGTAAGCACTGTTGCGCAAGCCCGCCTCAACAGGCGCAACACACAAAAGCAAGCGCAAGCCGCCAAACGCGCCTCCCTCGTCGCTGCAACCCGCATCTTTAACGGCATCGACGGCGCCCCACGCATCATCGCCATCATCCCACTCTCCGAGGACATCGATACCCGAGCATGCATCCAGGCCCTCGCAAAATGCGTAGATGAAGAAATACACGGCATCGGTGAGAACGCAAAAATCTGGACTATGAAGTGCGTTATCTCATTCCTTCATCTCACGCTAAGCTAACATACACAATACAGAACCTCCCGCTTCAAAACATCCCTCCAGTTCCTCCCGGTACCTTTCGCTCGCCCTTATGCCGCCCTCGATGCCGCCCGCGCTGCAGACTACACACTCCTTCTCCTCTCACCAACCATCGAAGTCTCCCCCCCAGGCGATACCCTCCTCCGCATGCTCCAAGCGCAAGGACTCCCTACAGTCGTCACTGCCATCCCACCAACTCTCCCCGAGAACCTCGACGCCAAGTCCAGGCCATCAGTACTCAAGAGCCTCCTCTCCTTCATACAGTACTTCGATCCCGCCCAACGCCGCGTTTTCGATCTCAGCGCACCAGCCGAATCACTCAACACCCTGCGAGCGCTCGCGGAGGGGTGTCCCGGCGAAGTGAGGTGGCGTGCAGGGCGGCCGTGGGTTGTGGGCGAGAGCGTGGAGCGGGAGGAAGGTGGAATGTTGAAAGTAACGGGTATCGTGCGTGGGGGGAGGCTGAGCCCCAATCGACTCGTGCACATCCCTAGCCAAGGGGACTATCAAATCTCTAAGGTGAGTCATGCGTGCATACGTGGATCGGTCGAGTGTGCTTACGATCGCTCTAGATCATGTCTGCCCCTCTCCCCCGCATGAAGCATGCAAAACCTGGAGCCATGGATGTGGAGACTGAATCTGTGCTTTTGGCGGAACGAGTTCCATCCTCCGCAGATTCACTGGTGAGCACGAATGTTGCTGACGACATGGCGAACGAGCAGACGTGGCCCACGGAAGAGGAGATGGCGGGTGCTCCGCATGGCATGGTGGAGGGGGAGGTACCAAACGCGAAGAAGGGCACGACGCCGAAGCGCATCAAGCGCATTCCTAAAGGCATGACCGAGTACCAGGCGTCTTGGATCGTCGAGGAGAGCGACGACGAAGACAAAGACGAAGAATGTGAAGATCGAGACGGGGAAAGGGGAGCACAGGTGGATGAAGACGAGGAGATGGTCCCCCTCGACGATGCCTTGGACTTAGAAAGCGAGCGCAAGAGCGTCGTCGCATTCCAAGAACTCGACATCGAAGAGGAGCAAAATCAGTAAGTCTCCTTCTCTTCCAACCTATTATTCTACGAAACTAACCTTCGCGGGGCCGATGCAGACTGACATCTTGGCGCAAGCGTACCCAAGAAGAACAAGATGCCCAGGCATTCCCCGACGAAACCGATACCCCACAGGACATCCCCGCACACACACGTTTTGCGCGGTACCGCGGGCTTCGTTCCCTCCGCACGAGTCCTTGGGACCCGTACGAAAACCTACCTCGCGAGTACTCGCGGATATTTGAGTTCGAGGACTTTAAACGTACCGAGAGAGACATGTGGCGTGAGCTGGAGGATGATGGTATCGAGGTTTGATTTGCTGCTCATTGTCCTACTGAACACTAAAACTTTTACTGCAGCCCGGTACGCGGGTGACTATCTTTATCGAGGGTGTCCCGCAGGAAGCTAGCATCCCCTCCGAGTCACCGTTTGTACTATACGGATTACTGAAACATGAGCACAAGAAAACAGTCCTCCACTTCACCGTGCAGCGGAACACCGAGTGCGAAGGTTCTGTTAAATCGAAGGTTCGTCCATCATTCCTTTCTATACTTGATCGCAACTGATAATTATCCAAAGGACCCCTTGGTCTTATGCTACGGGCCCCGTAGACTGCGCGTCAACCCCGTATACTCCCAACACACCCGTGGAGGCGGAAAAGGCGCTAACAACGTGCACAAATTCGAGAGGTTCTTATGGCACGGCACCACGACCGTTGCGAGCGTCTACGCACCGATTGCGTTTGGGAAGCAGCCGTGCATGCTCATACGTGAGACAGAAAATCTACAGGGTGCGTTCATTTTTCTTCCAGTGCAGAGGCGATAGGTGATTGACTTATCGATCGAATCGAGTAGCACCAGAGCTCGTGGCGATGGGCACGTTCATGAACCCTGATACGACGCGTATCATCGCAAAGCGAATCATCCTCACAGGCCACCCATTCAAAGTACACAAAAAAACTGCTACTGTTCGGTATATGTTCTTCAACCCAGGTTCGTCCTATTCCTGGCCCTATACTTATCTCCCTCGCGCTCATAAATTTTCGCTGGGACAGACGACATCCAGTACTTCAAGCCTATTCAGTTATACACAAAACACGGGCGGACGGGACATATCCGAGAATCACTTGGGACGCATGGGTATTTCAAGGCGCATTTCGATGGGCCGATCAACCAGATGGATACGGTGTGCATGTCGTTGTACAAGCGCGTGTACCCGCGGTGGAGCGAGAATTGGGCATCTGGTGCGGGCAGGGGGAAGGGTGATGAGATGGAGGAGTAAATGGTCATTTTTGATTTTGTGGGCAGGGTGGCTTTCGAGGTGGAGCTGCGCTTGAGATGATTCAAAACTTGTAGAAGCTTGAAAAATATTTCAGCAATTGTACGAAGGGCTCATGTAGCTGATTGAAGCTTGCCCGGAGCATTTTTCGTCGGAATTATCAAATGGAGTCTTCATAGGCAGACAACTGCATTAAACATGAGAAAAAAATACATTTCACCCCGACTAAGAATTCCATACTCCACTTCCATTACGCACTGCCAAGTCGAGTAGTGTCAAGTATAATGAAACTTGAATGAGATCTGCTATGGGTGACAAGAATGACTAGCCACGGTCTGCTATGCGACGTGATACCCTGTTGCGTCACTCAATCCTTCCTCAATCCGCTGGCCACGCCACCCGTGAGGATGCTAGGCAGCTCATCATCCCCAATAGAGTAAAGCAGCGATACCGACCCTCCCATCAAAAGTATCAGCGTAATTACCGTCCCTGCGATCAATACAAAGGTGCTGATAGAAACCCAGTCAGCGCACGAAACCAAAGAAATATGATACGTCAACTGACCTACTGATGTCCTTGCGCTGACACATCTCACCTGCCCAGCTCTCCGTTTTCCCTGAAGCAGACTTGGTGTCCGAGCAAGCACAGACGAAACACTCCTGTCCGGCGTTGATGGTGCTCACGCACTGCCCGTGACCAAAACAGGCACTGGTAGCGTTGGAGCAGGCATCAGCGGAAGGGAGGCAAGAGGCCAGACGACGTGCTGGCGGTCCTGTGGGTGGATGGGGTGCTGGAAGGGGTGACTGCTGCGGTGGCTGCGGTTGGCGTTTGTCAATTATAGTAGATGGGGTGTAGCTCAAGACAGCAACCCGAGCCTTGGCGTCAGCAGTGGTGGCTTCGAGAACAGCTCGGACGGTTCGTACAGCAAGCTGGTACTGTTCGCTTGAACGACCGTACGTGGATGCAAGCTGGGACAGTCCAGTCAACTCCAAGGAGGCGAACTTGTCATCAGACGATGACTCAAAGAACTTGGTAAGCGTTGAGATTTCGGCGAGGAAAGCTTCGTTTGCGGGTGTTGGCGCAGAAAAAATGTCAAGAGTACGAGGTATGCCTTCTGGAGGAATAGCGAGATCAGAGTAGATGAGGGAATATGCGTGAGTTGCGCGATGCAGATACGAAGAGACAAGGGAAGTGAGGGAACTAGCGGGTGCCCCTGCAATGGAGAACGAGCGGCTCATGGAAGGGGGGATAATATCTGAAGCGCAGCGTGTCAATTGTCATCGCGCTTGATGCTGAAGTTGGCGGAAACAAACCCTGTATACTGGCATCGTCTACCAGCAGAAATAATGCGTCTGAAGCTCCCTGTGCGACAAACTCATGCTCTCCTAGCAGGTCGCTATAGTGCTGGAAATTCTCGAGTGGCTCGAGACCCAGATGTTGGGACAAAACGAAACCAGCATGCTGGAGGGAAAGCCGGGAGGGGAATGTTTGGGGTGGGCTGAGATATACGTCGGCTGCCTGCGAGAAACCGACTAATAGGAGACAAGACACGACGCTACACAATCGACCCATGTTCAAGCCTTCAAGGATACTTTGACCTAAGGAATGAGTTCCATTTGTGGTGCTTATGTCATGGCACCTTATTCAAGCGCCATTGGCTTACAGTAGGTTCCCGACCGTCGCATCGCTCATCAAGCGTATACGTATAGGTTATGTCTTTTTTATGTCCTGCAGCAACACTCCAATGACAGTTTTTTTATGTTTTTTTATGTACTTGGCCATAATGAACAGCATAAACTGTTGTTGGCCCGTGCGTGAGAACACCGGAGATGAACTCCAGCTGAGTTTGAATTTGCCTGCCTCTCTCGCAGGTCACTGAAGTATAAAAGGACTCCTTCATTCCACCACCACGACGTCTCCTGCGCCCGCTGTGTCAATCGTCGCCGGCGACATTCACAATGTCAAATAAGATAGTGGTGAGCTGCTCACCCGAACTTGGCTGTAGTAGTTCAGTCCGGTAATAGAGACATTTTTTGAGCCTGGCATATACCGCGCGGTCATAGACGAAGTTATTTCCGCCATTAAGCCCGAGTTCGACGAGTACGGCGTCGGCGAAGAAGTTCTCGCAGAGTTGCAGCATGTGAGTATATATCTTATCATTCTCAGTCATATAATACGTTAGGATCTTGGTGATACCAATAATTCTGCAGAAATGGGAAAGCAAAGTGATCGCATCGCATGTTGCAGAGTTTGAGCCACAGCCGCCTCCGCCTCCACAGCACCATCATATGTATCCTCCTCATCCTATGATGGTCCCTCATCACCCGCACTACCCTCCTCCGCATGCATATGCCCCGCCTCCTCCCGCGCAATCTCAAGGTCCGCAAGTCAAAACAGAACCTGTGGATAGTCGCTACGTCTTGAGTGCTCCTCCGGGCATGCCATACGCTCTACCACCACTGCCTGGACCTCAACTGAACGGTATCAAGACACCAGGTTTCCCTGGAGGACAGCAAGGCGTCCTGTCGTTCCCGCCTCACCCAGGGCACTTGCAACGCCCACCCGTCATGTCTAGGCCATACGCGCCTCCAGTCCCACAGCCAGCTGCACCCCCTCAGCCTTCGAACGCACCTGCGGCTGCGTCCGCCGTTGCTACTCCGCCGGCACCTCAAGCTAGAACAACAGGGCAGAAGATCCCTCAGGTTGATGGTCCTTCATCATCTGAATCAGAGTCACCTTCTCCTCCGCCCAGCCAGTCATTCGCGCCCCGCGCATCTCACCCGTCGCTTCCTCAACCGTCGCAGTCGTCATCAATGACCCACACAGAGGACGCCGAGGCGATCAACAGCGATCTCGACGACTCGGACACCGAAGCTGAAGAAGATGCCGAAGAGGGCGGACAAGGCGAGACTGACATTGTGTTCTGCACATACGACAAGGTTTGTGGCCAGGATATCCAAGATTTCTGGGGCTGATCATGTATCACTCAGGTCGGCCGTGTCAAAAATAAATGGAAATGCCTTCTCAAGGACGGTATGATCCATATCAATGGAAAGGACTATCTATTTGCCAAGTGCACAGGGTGCGTGGGTCTTTTCTTCAATTCAAGCTTTGACATTGACACCGTGCAGCGAATTCGAGTGGTAGTCACGAGCTTTGCCACTGCACCTGTCAAATGTCATCCGTCATTGCTCTCCACTCAGCAGTCATATAGGGCATAAGCTTCGTCCTCCTGTCATAACCCCAGTGTATTCTATCAGTATCATCATAAATCCCATCGTTTTGACCAAAGCAGTCTGAACCTGAGCGATGCCATGGGAACTTACTGGTAAGTTCGAGGACCAGGAACTCGGAACTTGAAGGACATAGTTCATGGCAAGGGCTGGCAAGGGGTTCCGCCAACCGCAGGAAACTTTCCGCTCCCTCGGTTCGCTTTCAACCTTTCCATGACAAAACCAATTTGCCGGTGAGCCGACGGATTAGGATTCCGACATAAGACGCCGTTCACGACATTATCAGACAGATAAGTTTACCCCGTTTGCCCTGATATGAACAAAGAGCTTGATTTCATTTCCCCGAGACTCATCCGTACATTCGTTGGCGCCTGCCTGCCAGCTGGAGGATGAGGCGGCCATTCTATATCCGTTTGCATATCAGCTGCAGGCTCGTCCCTTGGTCCCTATATATCACGATGGCGCACTTCGTATATTATCATACGATCTTACGGCTTGACGTCAGTTTTACACACACGCAGGATATTAATATGACTGAACAAGGTCAGATATGCACACTAACTGTAACAAAGCAGGAGATCGAAAAAAGCATCCGCGACGCCGTGCTCAATAGCGGAAGTACAGTGTATGTATGTATGTCATGTCATGTATGTATCGTACTCGCTGCGAAATTGTATTTGACAGCGCGATGTGAGCGCAGGGTCAAGTATGTACTGACGAATGGTTATGGATATATGAGGCCCTCGTAAGCGAAGAAGGGGGGGGAACATTTAATTCAATTGGTAGGGACCGCATAAGAAAAGGACGCTTGCTCGGTAAAAAGCCAAGCACGCCTAATCAGAGGTAGAAACTCTTCCCGCGGGTCCGCAGTGTGCTAAACTTACGCAAGAAAGATGTTGTTCTTACGCAAGCAGGTGGCACGCTCGTATGGTCATCGATCATCCGATGGAAGACAACCTGCGAATAGTCACCCGGAACGTGGACCTAGAAGTCGAAGGGCTCTGTCGTCCATAGGGTCGCGCTTGTATGGGTGACTGCGTTGCAAAGAATGCAAGGGTGCCAGACCAACGCGCTGCGGTCCAATGCTACTAATTGAATCCGCAGTAGATGAAACTTCATATTGTGGGGGAGGATCTGAGCGGAAGAGCTGTGTGGGAGGGGGAAGCGAGATATGTGATGTGCTATGAGGGGACGGGAAGGTGGCTGAGTGATCAAGAGAGAATGCGTTGTGGCTTGGTTCCCTGCAATCATCATCTGTCGCTCGAGAGATAGGTTGGAAATTGCCAACAGTGGATGGCGGTCGGATGCGACACGAAGGAGAGGGCGGCGGTGAGCGTGATGGGCGGGTATTATATGAACACGAGAAAGAAGGCCGGGAGGAGTAAATGTCCTCAGACCCTCGATGTGCACCACCTGTACTGCTCGAAGCAGGAGGGTGGTTTGTCAAGCTCATATTGGCAAATGCGGGGGAAGACCCATGGTCATTGGAAGTATGATAATCAGCAATGGGCTTCAATGATGTATCTATGCGCGTCCTGGCCAAGGAAGGAACGCTTCCAGGCGAGTAGTCAGCAGAGCTTCGACGGCCATAAAATCCTGAGCTATGCTCTGACTGCGGTATGGTAGGGAGGGAAGGACGACGGTATTTGTAGTCATCTTCGTATGAAGCGCGAAGAGGAGGGAGAGAAGGTGGGGGAGGAGGGGGAGGTACCGAATACTGAGGGATATCAGATATCGGCTGACGAAACTGCTGGGAAGGCTGACCCAAACCTGAACGATATGGGTCATCTGACTGAGAATATGATGATTGTGGCGAATTAGGGTAGTGGGAAGGCTGACTGGAATAAGCGGTAGGGAATGGAGCATAGGTCCGGGTTACGGTGGAATTTGTTGTCTTCAAAACATCGGATCTCGAACGGCCATCCTCTCCTTTGCGGGTTTTTCCAACTCGCGTGCTTTGGAAGGTTCCCTCCGGCACCACGAGGTCAGCGACACCCGGTATGTTATCTATTGTGCCTAGCTCATCGACTGTAGCCTGAGTGAAGTATGCGGCTACAAAAAGTTATAGTGAGGTCGATATTTTAGGTGTCACATGTCCTTACTTAAATGCCACTTGCGGCGACCCTTGTCCGTTTCAACCCAAACGGAATAAGTTTGCTTTACCAGGGGATCCCAATCGCGAGGGGGTTGCTTATCAGAGGGCCTAGGAAAACGTTGAAGTTTACTACTGATTTTGGAGGGCGGTAACATACCCTGAATGACCAGCGTCCGCTGGGGGCGTATATTTCTCATAGTAGAAGAGAAACTCCTTGAAGGGGAATTAGTAGAGAAACTAGACATATTTTTTGGGAGAACAAACATCTCTGACGCGCGAGGGACTCCATCTACGTCCCTCAGTGAAACGCTCTATACCCAAACCAGTGATTTCAGTATGTGGACCTCTTTCTTCCCATGCATAGATACAACCAGAACATAGCGCGAGACGTTCGTCGGCGTCAAGGCGCCTTGTTATCATTGGAAGCATACGGAGCTGCACTGCATAGAATATTTTATGAGCATCACGAGTAGAACGGATGCGAACGTTAGTGCAGGTGGGACGTTGCTGCATGTCTGATGTGAAACGGGGACAAAAAACAGACGAAGAAGAGAGGTAAATAGACAGGGTATGGTATATATTCGCTCCAAGATCTGGGGAGCAGAAGATGGTTTGGTAATTAATTAAACTATTTTCTTACCAGGGGTATCCGCTGACTTCCGTTCATAGTCAGTTGCTCTAATTTGGGCCAATTCGGGAAACTCCCTGATGAATCTTATTGGTGGCTACGACCCAAAAGGCTTGTCGCCAATCTCGATTACAGCGCGAAACTCTATCACTTTACAACTCAATTTCTTCAAGTCCCCCATATTCCAAACTGCGATCAAAACGCACTACTACCATCTCGGAAAATTCCGTGCATTCTTAGAACCCAACTTGTCCGATATCCCATTCAATTGCATAAATCAGTCCCCCGCGGTTCTGACTCAGATTTAAACAGTTCAAAATCCGTGAAAAAGGGACAATATAAACTCTCATCTTACATAATTATCAGATAACATTCCCTTGGCAGAAGGGTTGCTTCAATCTCTGAAAAGCGCTCAACCAACGCACCGCTCCAGCTCCTCACACTCGTTGAACAAGACGTCAAGCTTTCAAGCTTCTAGGGGAACCTCCGGACCCTTGGCTGTTGAGCCCCATAACGCCTCTTGACCACGTGAATCTCATTTTAAATTAAATCTTCTACCTCAGGTGTTTTATGGGCGGCCTACATTTGTTCAACAAGATACCGGTTCCGCCTCGAGTTCGCAACTGGCAAAACGTCTAATCATACTAAATTTCAATCATTATTATTTCCCTCTTAACAAACTGACATTCACTGCTGTTCTATTCGCCCACCTTCCACTTATCGCGCCCAAATTTAAATAATTCCATCTCACACAAACTTATCGCGACCATCAGTAGTTAACGACGATACACAGATCCTTAAGATGCGCTCACACGGCGCGGTCAACTATCGAACGTGTCCAGACCAGATCATCTTGATTGGGTGTCTTGCGAACCTGCCAGAACCTATAGTCTGTCGTATGTAATACGGATGTCATATCATCAAGATCCACGTTGAATAGCCTCTGAAGCATTTTCCAAAGTTCGTCCCCTTCATCGCCAATTTACGGATGATTCTTAGACCGAGGCTTGTAATAGGCCTCTAGTTCTCATGATCTTCCGATCTATCGCAGGGCATCATGGCCACACCGCTTTTCTCCAAGAATCCCGTCTTACCCAATACTATTCGTCGCTTTCGAATTTCGTTCTTCTTTCACGAAGCGTGTTTCGTTGTTATCTTCGTATGCCATTCTTGTTGACACTCTTCAATAATTTGCTTGCCTCCTAACATTCTGGGCTCATATCGCCACGTCAGAGTTCCTGGATCTATTGAGATCTGTTTTTTTTGTGATAGGACAGAACGAACGCGACAACAACCGATCGGCGGAACCGGAAAGGGCCAATCGATGAGATGCGTGCAGTTTGCGACATGTTCCCTTGAACTCTGACGCCACATGGAAGATTTGCCAGCTCTCCCTACAGAATGGTATCACAGCTCCACCGACCATTAAGTTTTGGGCGTCAAGTCCACACTCTAGCCATTCTCGCCAGTTGCACTCACTTGTGACTTTCTAGAATTTAACGAAGCCCACGATTAACGCAGGGTATGTAAGATAATGCGGGGACAGTGGCGTTGTGGAGCAGTCTCATAATGCGGTCTTTGCAATGTAGTCCCGACACGTTGCTCAGTGTTCAACATTCGGAAAGTGGCATTGATACTCAGGGAACGCAACGGCATTTTCGTAAGAGCAAGATGGTTCAGTTAAGTACTTAGCTGTGCATATTTGGGTGGGATATCCTAGTTTTCTCGTCCGGGCGGCCCACTGAAAGCCGTGCGCCGCGTCACGCAAAGTCCAGTTTGCCCAATTCGTGTTGTTGTCAAGCTCAACTGGGGATGAATTCAGGGGTGCGATAGGGTGCAGAAAGCAAATTATGTTGTCAGAACCCGATGTGGGCAACCCGGTAAGGATAAGTACAGAAAACACGGAGATCTGTCTGATAGGCTGCAGATTGCAAATCAAGAAATAACGTATGCTCAAGCGACGCGGATATCGCCATATTTGTTAGTCCGGAAGTCGTTAATCCTACAAAGTCCACAGAAAGTAATGCATTTCAACACAAGCCAGGGTAAAATGCCATGAGCGCCTCCTCATCCAGCGGATGTCTTCGCGGCGGAGCTAAGTTTTGGAGGTATATGAGGGGTGCGAGTGCTTGTCCGTCTCGAGGCGGTGCACGTCCTGGACGATCCATCAACTGTAGGCCATCACTGGCATATAAGCCAGAATGCGTACTCTGGACCGTTGCCCGGGGAGGGGAGGGGTACGGAATATATTGATGGGTGAAGGGGTGAGGCCGCTCTTCTCGTTGAGCACGGTTGTGCTTGCTCGTGTTGTGCCGAGCACTTCTATAATTCCCTAGTGGTACAACAATGCGAGCTAGGTCAGGGAGGTCAGACACGGTTCGGAGGTAATCGAGGGTGTCGTGAGTGAAATAAGCGACTGGATGAGCACAAAAGTTAAGTTTCGGCAAGAACTTCGAATAACGCCACGTACTGAGATGCCATTTCTTGCGCCCTCTTGCGGTTTCCACGAAAACAGAATAAGTCTGTTTCACCAGGCTGGGACGCACATATTCACGGTGCGCCCCAGACTGTGCCAAGGGGCTTGATCCGATCCTATCGCTGATATGTCAGACGGATTGGAGCAATGGGAAAGCGAACGAACGTGGTATCAGAATCTGAGTTTGGGTCGGTGTCGACTGGTTCAGGGTCTTTTTCTTGGTAGAAAAGGAATTCCTAAACACCCTTCAATCATGACGAAACGACGTAAAGTAAGAACAAAACTTACGTCGCGAACTCGGCTCGGCCCCCATCTTTGAGAACCAGTGTTAGCCCATACGATAAACATGTCCATCATAAATCTCTCACCGTTTGCCATCGGTCCATCGCTCGATACCAAGCTATGTTGTTGTATTAGTGCATGATATGGAAGGCAGGGATCAATAGAATCTCACTCCAGTAGCTTCCGGGCTCGGACCTCGCTCCTCCCAGACGAAAACACAACCGGAAGATATGGAGCGTCGTTCCTCAGTGTCGAGTCGTCTGGTGACCATGGGCAAGACGTTAAGCGCCACAGCATGAAAGATAATTTGAGCATCATGGGGAGATCTTCCTAGGAATGAGCTATGACATCGCAAGGGACTTGGTATGGAGACTCACCTGACACGTAGGCTAGTGCAAGTCGGCTGTTGCATGTTGGGAGAGGAAATTCGGTGAGAAAAGTGGGTCGTCACACAGCTAATGATGGCTTGCGCTGGGGATGATAAATGGTGTGGTTTGCACAGCACCTGATAGGATCAGAGAAGCTAAGTTCGAAAGGGCGAAGACTAAATATTTAATGGAATGGGAAAGCTCCTTAAATAACGAGAGACAAGAGCTTTTGACGGGAACATGGTACTTAACCTTAACTTTCATTCTGATGTACATAAAACGGCTGATGTGACTGACGGGTGCTTGAGCGCTTACTGCCCGATGGGAACCCGCCTAGCAAATGCGGATGCACTTTGTCTTTTCATTGACAAATTGAAAGGAGGTGGGTATAAGTAGTAAATAGAGTTTTAGCATCTCTAACCATCTCCGGGGCGCTGTATGGAGACGAACAGAAAATAGGAACGACTACTAATTATCCTTCGACACCCGGGACTCATGCTTCGCGGCCAATTAAAATATTATAGGTATGCACTTTGTACAAGCATCCAAATCGTACATTATGTGGAAAGAAGGCGCAAACCCAATTCTTCAAAGTGAGTACGCATCCAAATTGAAAGGTACATTATCGGCGGCAGGGTGGAAAGAAAGCGCAAGCGCAATCAGAATGATATCGTGCCTCGACAATGCAAACTAAAGATTCTCATGCGCTGTGTATTCCCCGCGGCCGCCAGCAATATTATAATGTCTGCGTCATCTTTACTGCCCTCGTGGACATTGTTTGTTGCATACTGCGCAAGGATGGTAAGTAAGGCCATCGCAATATTTCAAGAATAGTCTTAATGGCTTATTATCTGATATGATGATCTTCCTGTGCTAAAGTGCCGCTAGACCAAAAGTCTAAGACTAAACCCCGATTGTCCGCAGAACCATTCTCAGACTAAACCCGGGAAAAGCAGAAGAATTGCAACGGACCCTTCTTTAGCGAAGTAGTGAGAATGTGGTGGGTTCATTCAAGAATAGTTAATCACAGACCAGTTGAGGTTACATCTAGAACTGATGGTCCTGCAAAGGTCCGCAGTCCTTTCGACAGCTTCGATCCATAGCGAAATATTCATCTGTCTAGTAAACCTTGAGCTTGAAATAACGCGAACATCGCATTTTTACTCGATCGAGCCTAAAAACGTGTCGAGGTATGGGAGTGGTGTACCGAAACTCTCATTTATGAGAGCGCGAATGATTCACCTGTCTAGCTAGCAAACCTTAAGCTTGAGCCAATGCGCGTTTGGAATTTTTACATGATCACAACGACATCCTGAGTAACGGGGAGCAATCCGTACGGAACTATAATTTCCGACAGAGCGATTCAATGATTACCACTAAAAGACTAAAGTTAAGTCAACTTCATTGAATTTGCAAAAAAAATTATCTGCGTTCGCCCAAGCTGGAGATGGTATTTGCCGCTCAGCGAACTCGCGCGAGCTTCGCTGCTTCGATCCGCTAGCACGATGCCGAGAGCTTCGTGCTTCCACGCATCTAGATGAGGATGAATATGTCCCGAGCGACTAGACCTGGTAGGACCACTGCATCTCCACATCGGCAGAGCGTGTGGAGTTTCATGTGAAATGCAATGATGCTGTGAGAACAATGCCGGATTGCACCGGTAGACGAATACGAAGGTACTAAGACCTGTCATCATGCAGCCGAGTTTAGGAGTCAGAATGTTGTTTATAGGGATCGCCGCTGCGTGAGAGTCCGCTCGCCCTTTTCTCTCGTAGCTTAGCCAGCTAGAGGGTTTCATAGTTTCCTTCAGTAGACAATGTTCTATCAGTTGGCGAGTCAGATGAAAAGAAATCAGCACTCAACGTCACATTAGGTATCTCCGATCGGCAACCACGTCCTACGCTAGCGAAGAAAACGGGGCATTCTGTAGAGCATCAAGGGTCCAGTTCATCGATGATAACGCGGTGAAAGATTGAGAGGTGGTAAAAATGTTGAAAGAGCGGCGTGTGGGCACGAGAGAGTAACGAAACCTAGCCGTCAAGTGGAACAGAACCAACTTCAAGTTAGTACTAGCTGCAACGCTGGCGCTTATTACATAATCACATTGTCAGTGACTCCCAACGTTGTAGCAGTCATGATATGATCAGAACATCAGTCAATATCATTGTTCGTTCTTGCTATCGAGCATCTGCGCCCCGCAACAGGTCACTGAATACAACGAACGCAGTAATGGCTGTTCAACAACCGGCATGGCACCTACCTCCTCGTCAACTTGACCAACCTGTTCTGAAGATCTTCAATTCGTTAACCAAGACCAAAGTGCGTATCTGAACCAGAGTTTTTAGGCTGATCTCCTCACTGCTGATAGACGGAATTTATACCCAGCGATGGGTCCCATGTCAAATGGTATAACTGTGGTCCAACAGTCTACGATGCCTCTCACATGGGCCACGCAAGGTCAGGGTTTCTCTCTGGTAAATGTACTACAATTTTGAACATTGTTCTAGAAATTATGTTACACAAGACATTTTGCGAAGGATCATGACAGACTACTTTGGTTATGACGTGCACTTTGTCATGAACGTCACTGACATAGACGATAAGGTGCGTCATCGTCTACCCTTATGATCGAAACAATGTCTCATAGATCCTGAAGATCATCGTTAGAGCGCGTCAAAATTATCTATTTTCGCAATTTAGAAACTCCGCAACTACGCTTTCTGCCACTCTACTCTCGCAAGTCAGTGAAGCATGGGGAAGTTATGTCAGGGAGAAGGTCTCCAAGGGTCTGCCGGATGAAGAGAAACCTTCACAAGGGGAAGAAGAGACCCAATGGCCAATAATTGCTGAGCTCACACAAGACAAAAACCGCAAACTCGAATGCCTAAAGAGAGACGAGAAGTTTGACATGCATTTCACAGCCGCTGTAGGTGATCTCTCGCATTTTCCCTAGCGTATATCAAGATTTGGAAATGTAGAACCGGACCCTGACCGCTCTTGAAGCTGCAAGACACGCACTATCCGCCAATCAGAGCAGCGGTGACACAGCGCTCAGACTCATTGACGAGTCTCGTGATATTCTCGCCTCCGCCCTGGACAAGAAAGTCAGTTTTTCTTGGCGTCATGTATAATTTCTGGTTGTCAAGTTGTCCATGTGTATAGCTCAAAGATACTGTCACGGACCCGTCTGTATTCCGGTCTCTTGCGGCATACTGGGAGGGTCAATTTTTCAAAGACATGGAGCGGCTTCGTGTCCGTTACCCAGATACCGTTACTCGTGTCACAGAATACGTTCCGGAAGTGGTCGAATTCGTTCAGGGTATCATCAAGAACGGTTATGGCTACGAATTCGAAGGCAGTGTCTACTTCGATACAGGTGCATTCGATTCGTCTGATCGGCACGACTACGCAAAGTTGGAACCCTGGAGTAAAGGAAACAGAGAATTATTGGCTGAAGGCGAAGGTTTGTTGCTTTTGTCCTGGTCGTTCAATCAGTAACTTTTGGTCGTTGTGGGCATCAGGCGTGCTCTCGTCCACATCCGGACAACGATCTGCCTCCGATTTCGCTCTCTGGAAGGCGTCAAAGCCTGGAGAACCTTCATGGCCATCAGCCTTGGGGTCCGGGTCGCCCAGGCTGGCATATTGAGTGCTCTGTGATGGCGAGTGCTATTTTTGGGGATAGCATGGACATCCATTCTGGTGGCATAGACCTTGCATTTCCACACCATGACAACGAAATAGCTCAATCTGAGGTCAGTTCACTGCAGCATTCTCCAGGGATGTTTCTGATCAAAGATGGTGAAAGGCTTACCATGAATGCGGTGCATGGGTCAACTACTTTATCCATACCGGTCACCTTCACATCGAAGGGCTCAAAATGAGCAAGTCGCTGAAAAACTTTATCACGATTGACGTGGGTATTTTGGTGGTCCGATCGATTCCGCATCACTCATGCGGCCGGTCACACAGGAGATACTTCAGAGGTTCACGGCTCGGCAACTGCGACTTGCATTCCTGTCGCAGCGATGGAATGCCAAGATCGATTTTTCTGATTCGATGATGACGGGCGAAGTCAAGTCCCTCGAGGCAACGTTCAACGCAAGTACTCCGCATTTCAATATCCGTTAAATTTTTGAACGATCATGCAGAATTTCTTCACAAATGTAAGAGCGATCGTAAGTCAAGCACACGCGCATGAGGACCAGTCGGATGGAGAGCACTGCTACAACGAAGCTGAGCGAGAATTAATGAAAAGGTCAAACAGACGATATTTCTCGAGTGTCACATCCTGACACCCTGCCAGTTTGTACGACAGCAAGTCAGCCTTCCGCGCAGCTCTCTGTGATTCCTTTAATACACCTGAAGCGCTCAAAGTCGTGCGTGACCTAGTTTCGCGCATTAACATCTACATCAACAGCCCGGGGAGGAAGACCAATGTCAGTCTAGTGGAGCAATCCGCAAGGTGGATCGGTGAGATGCTCCGCATGTTTGGACTAGGTGAAGGGCAGACATCAGAGATCGGCTGGGGGCAGGAAGACGAGGGCGCCGGTGGCGTGAACGTGAGATTTCTTCGCACCTTTCTGTGCTATTTGATATTGATCATACAACTTAGCGAGAAGAAACGCTGATGCCATACCTCCGAGTCCTGTCATCATTCAGAGACGGTGTTCGGCAAATGGCTGTTGCTAAAAATGACAATGCTTTGAAGGAAATACTCAAGCTCTGTGATAAGCTGCGCGATGACGATCTTGTGTCTTTGGGCGTTGCGCTCGATGACCAAGAAGGTGAATTGGAGCATATATGCCTCATTTCCCTCCAAACTGATATTTGTTTGCTATAGATGGCAAAGCTCTTGTCAAGCTTGTATCCCCGGCGGAGCTCATCAAGGCACGGGAAGAAAAGCGGCTGAAGTTGGACGCCCAAGCTGCAAAAAAGGCGGCTGCAGACGAAGAGGCACGACAGAAGCGTATCGCAAAAATTGAGAAGGGGCGAGTTCCTCCCGAAGAGATGTTCCGGCCTCCAAACGTACCCGAGGGGACATATAGCCAATGGGATGAACACGGGCTTCCTACCGCCACCGGAAGTGGGGAAGAGCTTAGCAAAAACAAACAAAAGAACGTGCGGAAGGATTGGGATGCACAGAGGAAATTGCATGAGGTGTTTCTTGTGTGGTCGAAAGAGCAGGAATCTGGTTCAGGGTCATAGTCATCGCAATCGTCACTTCACTTGCTATATTACTACCAGTCGCAAGATCTGATGATGAGCGCTGCAATTCTTTCTAGTCCGACCTGATCGTCTTCATCGAACCCCCCAATCGCAAGGCAATCAAGATCTAGAACACCCAGCACAATATCTTCACCCCCTTTCCGAAGAATGAGGGGACACACGATCTCGCTTTTCGTATCGCCGTCACAGGCAATATGCCCAGGGTAGGTCTGGACGTCCGGAACAAGAATGGTACTGCGCTTTACAAATGCACCTCCACACACGCCTCGAGGTCGAGGGGAGACCTCGATCCATTGACAGGCAGGCTTGCCGGAAAAGGGTCCCAAAAGCATATTTGTAGAAGCATGTGTTTGAGATCTGGGGTCCATCGAGGCGTCATCAGTGAATCGGGGCTGAGGGAAAAGGGAAGAGATGAGGTAGAAACCTGTGAGAAGTAGATTTCAGAGTCAGCAATACATGTCATCACAAGAAGGAGGGGCCGGGCGATCTTCACTGAAATTTGTTGACCGGGATCCTGTCAGGACCGGCGGTGGAAAACAGGCGACTCACCACACCAGTTGACCGAACGTTCCCCATCCCCGAAATTGCTGGGAAAAGCCTGCAAGGAGTTGTAAATAAGCGAAGCGGCATTGGACAGGTTCGAGACCTGTATGTAAATGAATTGATTTAATGGCCTGGCCTGACTACAATATGGTATCGAGGCTCACCCAATGTCGTTGGCCTGCCATCAAGATTTCTAGCTGATCATGCACATGAGTCCAGAATTCAGATTTGGTCTCAATGGAGTCTGGAACCAAAGATGCATCGGCGTGTGGCATCTGCAGAAGAGGAGTTAATCAGCCATATATCAATATTATTTTGCAAGAGGGCTAGATACTTTGTGAAGATCTTGTCTTCAGTTCTGAATCAACGGGAGAAAATTCGAATTCACCGATTCACCGATGAAGTGTCCTGTTCAGGTCACGGGTGGGGTTAGGGTTGGATTGCAAGCGATGTGTTCCCATCCACGCTGGAACTTGAGGAGTGAGATAAATTTCTAATGAATAATTCAGCTATTGACTTCGCGAAAAAAAATTACAGCCGCTATACCGTTCAAGAATGAGACGGTATAATGATGGTTTGTGGGTTTTTCTAAGGTTTTGGAAACAATATGTAGTCCTCCTGAATCCTCTATCGATAGAATATCTCCCGTGTATCATCTATTAGGACTTCGATCAGCGAGCCATATCGCTTGATCCGCTGTACTCAATGATGCAAGTAAGGGGAATGAGCCACAATACAAGTTAAATCGTCCTGGTCAAGGGAGTCCAGAATACAACTTGCACGCCTATGACAATGGCGAGATGACGAGCAGCGGCAACAAAACATAGGCATTTCTCGTCTGCCCGGGTTGTATAAAAAGTTTGCGACGGACCTGAATCTGAAAGACTCTCTTGGATGATCGTCTCCTCGAATGCGTGATGTGAGCGACACTCGTCGGTGGAATTCACTTTATATAACTCATCAGAGCTACTTCATGTTTCGAACGAGGTATACCAAGTAAACCCAATCCAGACCCCTTAACAATACGGAGTACATGTCGGCATTTATTGCAGGACGATGTTACCTGGACTCGGGATTTAGAAACATGCTAGTGTCAGTGTTGAGGAATCGAAACAATAGTTCGAAATACCAAAGAATACCGTATGGTCCGCATACAAAGCAACAACTGAACCGGTGATTGTGCAGGCAAGGGCCTGGAATGTGCAGTCGTACAGTCTGCATTTCCTTTCAAAGGAGCTTCTGCTAGTCCGTCTTTCACCTGTGCTAGGGAATTGATGGTGAGATACAGATACTCCCCGTTACCTCACAACGGAACCAATCTGCCAATTGATACGACAAGAAAGCGTCCCGGACTTCTCTGCGTCGACAGCGTAATCCGGAGCCAATGTCCCAATAGCAAAATTGTGAATATATAGGTAATAACCCGCAGTTACATCATGAGACGGAGTTCATAGGAGCACTTACTAAGTTACGATCATCAAAGACACGGCACGCATGAGCAAATGATGCTAATCAAACAAATGCAGGAAAGGCAGTCACATTTCTGTTGGAAACGTGATGAGGTGGGGGTGTGCGGGAAAAAGATGAGAAGGTCATAAGATAATAATACTAGGTCGAAAATGCATACTAGGTAAGGCCTCGCCGCCTCGGTAGATTTCAATATTCCAACATTCAACCTGCAGGAGTAATCGCTGCAGGGGATCTGCGGTTAAATAGTACATATGAATTGTTTTTGAAAAAATAAATGTTATACAACAATAATGTATAAGGTTAGGGTTAGCAATCCCACCGCCTCCTCCGCAAAAGCCCAACTCGTATGCTTGAGCTCGATGAATGGGATGAGCTCCTCACCAACGGCTTCGCTACTTTGCCCCACCGTGAAGGACACCACAGCAATGATCCTACCCATGGTCACGATAATGTGGATGATGCCGGTTATTTAGAGGTACCGAGCTCTCACCCGTTGCGCAGTCCTTCTGCAGCTGTGTCATACGCTGCGAAAGATCTTGGTGAAATACAAACCGGAATGGATGCAACAAGACCACGACTAACGCATTTAACAAGAACACTGTCGGAGAATGATCTTGACTGCCCTGCTACCGTTGAGGCGGCTAATACCCCGGATAACCCAGATACTCTCAACCGTCATGACAGCGATGACATTCTGCACACAGTCTGTTCTTCTCCCGCCTTGAGCATGTAATATGTCACAAACTTCCACACGTAGGTCTTTCCCAGTGACTCGCTTGCCGCAGTCGCTCTACGATATGGCGTATCGCTTGCAGCGCTCAGGCATGCAAATCAGCTATGGCCATCGGACCCAATCCATCTCCGTTCCCAACTAATCATACCACGCCATCGTGCGCGTCCCGCCAAGCGAAGGGTCGTTTCGCAACCTACAACTTCATCTATTAATCCAGAGACTCCCATTGTCTCGTCTTCGCCATCGACATCTACTGGATCACTCTCGTCAACACTTTTCGCTGCAAGAGATACTGTTCTCTCTGCGTTGCCAGCGCGTATCTCCATAGACTCCGTCAGCTCTCGCGTCAGTGCAAATGAGGAACTTGAGCTCGAGAATTTCCTCAAGCCTCGTCTGCAATCCCGCACCTCAGATATGGATTATCTGGACACCTCTGTCCCGCTTGGTGTTGAGCTTGACACCTTATCGCGTTCACAACGTAACTATATACCAGCGCATAATATCACCTCGCTACTTGACCATGACGCCCCACCAATATCATGTCAACAACTTCGCAATCTCACATCGGATCCCACTATCAGACCATCCACATCTGCCGGTGTTCAAACGTCCAGGCACAGTACTCCCGCACCTGTGTTTGTTCCCGTGCGCATATCCCAGCTAGAACCGGAACCTGCCATGGAACTACCAGCGCTTATCAAGCATGGGTGAGGGGTGGACCGCTTCGTCCACGTTCCCGATTTTAGGTTTAGGCCGCGGTAATTTAGCTCAAAATCTCAATTCGGGACTTGTGCGCCTGTGATATACAGGCGCTGTGAGTATTTATGGGTATCGGGTGAGTCAAGATCACTTCTAGTGTCCATGACTTTATGTCCTAACTTGTTCCGTTAGGACCGTCCACGGGTCCACTCGTGGTACGGACTTCATCCTATTTGCCATAGCACGATGTCCTTCCGCGAGCGCAGACTTTCCTATATTCGGTTTCTTTCAACTTGCTACATTTTGCGCGTCTCATAAATTTCAGTGCCCTTCCGTTGTCGTGTCCTCCTTATTCCGCGAACGCTTTTCTCCAGAACCCTCCAATTTTTGCCAGAACTGTAGCTGTCAGCATTTGCCATGCATTACTTGACTGTTCATCACATAGAGCAAGAATAGACTAAATTTAGTGCGTTACACTTACATGTCCTCTTAGTTAAATATCGTCACCAGAATTGCCTGCGTACTCACTACGTATGCTTATAGAGAACGTGTACGTTAACCTACCGGTCATTCGCCAATCACCAGCGGCTCTGAGTCTAAGTACGTCAATTCGTTAGTGATGTCAGTCCCCTATTTGATCAGTCCTTACCTACTAGTATTTATATACATATCGAACGACATCTTCCAATGCGGCAACCGAGTGTCCAGGAGCCGCAGCCATGAAGACCCGTCATTCTTCTCTGCTTCCCCGTTTAGATCTCACCCCAGATTTTGCGATCATGCTGGAAGTGGGTGAACCGACCAAGAGTCGTGTATCTGTCGTCACGTTTCAAATGCAATCATATCTCTCCGATAACACAATCATCATATCTGCGTGTTTTCTCCTCCTCAATCTCCAACGGGGAGAGCCGCGCGAATCGCAGGGTTCGCAACCTTCAGCAGCACCCCGCCGCTGCCAACGTCCCGGACGAAATTAGGTCGCGGATATTTGGTAACTTATGCCTTATCTCGTATGCGCTTTCGGTTAAATTGATTGCGTATTCAGGATAATTTGATGCTTGTAGGGCCACAGCCGGCGGACATCAATCATGCAGGGTTACTTACAGGAAAGAAGTTGATTCTTGTTATGTTTCAACAAGTCACAGTAGGTTTGTCTCCATAGGGCCTCGCCCCGACAGGCAATAAACCCTGACTCAAAAATAAAAGAAAAGAAAAAATTATTTAACAAGTTCAACGGACATCGGTTGGGCATCCCTTTGCTCACCAAATGCTAACAGACCGTGTACACTTGCCGTTTTCAGAAATCTCGTCGGACTTTGGCTGCACCTCTTGACAGGACATCGCGTCAACAGTCCAGGAGTTGGGGCCCTTAATGCGGATGGGTGCGCGCACGGAGCCTTCAGGACTGTCTTCTTGGCCATTGGAAATAGTTCACGAAACCTTGAAATTATTACGCGTGGAACCTTCCGCGGAGAGCTGAGATCGAGGGATGAATACCTAGTGCACGCATACCCTGGGATTCCATACCGAGATACCAGGCAACTAGTGCAATGTGCACCGTTGCGCCAGGAGGACCAAGTTTCTCAGCTACAATCCACTCCTCCGTCAACTGGTCGGTTCATGGCGTCGGCTGGGTTCGGATAAATATTTGCCGAAGACATCAATGTGAGGACCATAGTTGAGGGAGGCTGCGAACGTGCCAAGTTGTATGTCATGCATATCATCGAGCGCTAAGATATTCCGAAGAATTCTTCGACGATGACCAACCGTGCTCGAGCTCGGGCGGGGTTTTGTTGGCTGGAAGCAACAAAATACCAGTCAATCATGTTGCATTTTGATCGTCATCCACTTACACGCCGGCATCGTCACAGGAAATCCTAGTCATTCGGGGTGTAGTTGAGAATTACAACTACCTTGGCGACCACTGGTACAGTAACAAAGGCAGTCCAAACCCAAAGCCTCAAAGCCTCTGCGGTTGTTTAGGGAATCGCGATAGTCGCTCGTGGCCTTACAGTAGGCATTAAGTAGTAAATCAGCAAGCACTCAAGCTCATCGATCTCTCATATTTTACATACATTCCACGTAAGTTCGAGGTACGGGAACACATCTAAGCGGCTGCTAAGTTTTGTACCTCATCTTTTTTGCCTTGCCTCAATGCTTCCTCCAGCGCTAAGCGTCTCCTATCATCGGAATGCAGTCAACCAGATGCCAATCATCGTTCCAAACCTCACTCGACAGCAGAATGGTGTCAATGCGCGGCGTACTAAGCTGCTGACGGTTGTACAATGTGGTCCCACCCGCGCTCACAACTTACCATGACTCTTCTCTGCACAGGTTCGGGGAAACGTACAAGATGTCATTTGATGCATACGATTTTCTTTCTGGACAACATTGGCTATGACAGTATCTTTGACTTCCTTGTCGCGTTTGGTAGCATATTTTCTGTTCGTAACTGCCTCGGATCGTTTCATTGTGGATGCCTAGATCTACATTAAGTAAATATTTACATGGATTGCTTTTAGGCCTCACTTCAATTTGGGAGGACCAGCATGTTCTTGAGCTCGACCCCACCGTATTCATCCACATTTATCGACTGATACAAGGACAGGGAAGTATGCGAGAGTACATAGGTCTATTAAGACAGTGAGTAGAAAAACCCATGGCAGCCTCACCGACGTATTAAACGTCGATACCACTCCATGGAAGTTTCCGCAATCCCTACTGCCCAGTTCCACATAACATCAAGAATACCTTCCAGTTCACCCGCATCCCAATTCCGGTCTCCAATAGGCTGCTCGGTTGCGTTGAACCGCAGGACATCTTTAACGGTTACCAGGCCTTTCAACAACCCGTGTTCCTCGACAAGTATCACCCGAGGACTGTACCAATGAGGATCAGGGCTCTACACTATATGGACAGGTCAAGTGGGACGTACCCCATTCTCTTGAACAATTGCGTTACTATCTCCAATGGTAGCCGTGGAGATACGGTAAGGGGTGTCTTGAGGACAAGTTCAATGAATGTCAAGGAGCTGGCGCGAAGTGCATTACCTGGTTCACCCAAGGCCAGAGTTTAAGCACGTCGATAGTCGCACTCGTCTCTATAAGTTCTGTTGCCACCTCTTCCTCTACACCAAGAGCTGATCCAGAAGTCATGTCTGATAAAACAAAGTCCTCTTGGTCGGATGCTTGTCTAGTAAAAGCGCAGGACGTGTTCGGAGATATGCCCCCAACGCCTTGGGCCTTGTCTAGGCTGTGTTATGCCACATGGGAGTCAAACGCCAGCGGACACATACCTAGTACATATCGCAACTCGGTTCTGCCCATGTACCCGGCAAGCGTTCGAGATGATTCCGAAGCAACTATCGGAAAACCTTTCACATTGGTAGATCCTAGCAATCGCTCTGTGGAGTACCGATCAATAATGTCCCCTAGCCAGTGCTGATCAGTCAATCCTTACCAACGTCAGAGACAAGCATCCCAGATGCAAACAGAATATCCAGATCCTTCTTCATGACCTCCGAAACTTTGTGAACATGAGAATGTCACAAATGTAGGGAACAATCGGAGCGCTAACCTGAGACGTCGAACCCATGTTCCTCCTTCTCAAGGATCGGATAATCGTTGAATCGAATTGCCTCGTCCGCAATGCCACGAGTCCCAAGGAAGTCGCCGACAGCCTTCGTTACCAGGATGACAATCTGAAGAGAATCGGTATCAAGAACGTATGTTTCGTAGGGGCCGACGTCACCGGTCATAAAATTGGATAACCAGGCTCACCATGGTCGGTAAGATGTACGTCAATGCCCCGGTGAGCTCGAACATGATAACGACAACAGTCACAGTTATCCTCATGACTCCGCTAAGGGCTGCCGCGGCACCAAGAAAGGCGTAAGTACCCGGTGTAATACACGGTGCATCCGGGTCGCACACCGCAAAGATCCCTGAGTGAGGATAAGCACTGGAGAGAGTTCATTTACTTCTGCAATGAGAGCCAGTAATGTCCACCTACCGATACATTGCCTTTACCATGATGCCAACCATCCGTCCAAAAGTTGCTCCAACAGCCATTGAAGGTACGAAGATACCTGCGGGAACCTTCGCCCCGTAGGAAATCACGACTAAACCCATGCGTATGAAAGTAGCGAGAAGGAGAGAGTTTGCCATGGGCCACTGAACAGCCATTCTTGCGGCAGAGAACAGATGAGAAAAATGCAGATTGGATGATGTAATGTACTTACTGGCATAGATTATCGTGATCTCCGCCTCCTTCACACTCACGAAAGAGAATTGACATCATTTCTGTCATGTCAATGCGCATGAAACGATTGAAGTAACCGATAATCGCAGTCAGAGTCGCAAGAATAACAGCTTCTGCAACGCCATGTGTGGCGAGATGTTTTCGACGAAATGCAGCTACCTGCATGTTAAATTTGACTACAAATGCGCCGTAGAGTCCCTGGAACGACAGGCGACTTTGTGAACAAAGGGTGAAATTGAGGAAAGGTAAAAATTCTTACACCGAATATTCCAAGTATGATAAAGAAGATAATCTCAAAGAAATGCCAGTCTCGGCTATAGGTTACTTGGAACAGTACAAGTTTTCCCGTTCTGAACGGATTCATGACCTGAAATGAGACAGTCAAAGTTGTAGGATGAGGCGAGGGAATCCACTGACAGATAGCGTAAACGTCGCCACTAATGCACACACGAAACTTCTCCACATAGTTTTGATGCGAAACATCTGGCTCATCTCCTGTGGAAATACGCGTTTGAGATCGCATAAACCGCGGAGATGGGGGCGGTACCTCAATCGAAAACAGAACGCCGCCAATTGGTGACCCGAAAGCAACTGCAACTCCTGCAGCACTGGCGGCAGTGATGATTTCTCGCATTTTCCCTTAATTATTGAGAATGAAAAGATAAATATAGCAAAAAGTGTTGGCCCAAACCTTGACTTCGAGAAAACCGCTGGAACCAACTTGCAACGATAGCTCCAATGCAGCACGCGACGTGCACCGAAGGGCCTTCCTTACCGACAGACAACCCAGAAGCAATCACTAAAGGCTATTTCCGGTCGTTGACATCGTTTACGAAAATGGTAAGGCAACTCACAAGTGTAAGGCTCTTTATGAAGAAGGTTGCATACCCGAGGAACCCTTGCATGACGAAGCCGGCTAGAATGCATTTTATTTCTGAAATGCCAGATCCAGCAGCATATTTTGCCATGCTGCGAACAAGGTGAGCCGCCACAAATGAGAATATAGCCTGCAGATAGATATGTACTCTCATCATCAAAGTCGAAAATGTTAAGATGGAGAGGACTTACCGCGAAAATGACATATATTATCCATCGTGCTGGAGTCGCCGTACTCCATAGATGCCATGAGGGGCAAAACTCCTCATCACTTTCAACTTCCCAGCAGCAAAATTGCTGGTTTAACCACCAGCCGTCCGTACAGTATCCCATTTTGATATCCGAAAGCCATTCCGTGATGATTGATATGAGAGCAGCATTCACGCCGATGAAAATGCCTGGCACGTTATTGGTCAAGCGATTATGACAATGCGCAATCCTTACCAACTAGACTTATTACAAGCCAAGGTTCCCCAGCGCTCAGAAACCTCCAGAACTGAGCCCAAACCCATACAGGTGTTATTTCGCCGCGAGGACCGCGGTGGGCTGCCTGTGCTTCCTTTGCATTGCGTATGCGTCGGTTTCGTTCTACTATCGAGTCTTGAATCCAATCTGGCAGTGTGACACGTTTAATTTAGTCAAGAGATAGTGTTTCAGACATATGTACCAATGGTCGTGAAATCTTCATAGCGTCTCTCTAGTTCTCAGCGAAAGCTATGGAGTGGGTCAATGACAGTGACTCACCTAATCTGCTCTATCTCTTCCTCGTAATCTCTGTTATCGAGCCTTCCATACTGTACGCCAGTTCGCGTCATGTGCATGAAATCTGACGGTGGTCCGGCGGGAAACGTGTAAGAAAGTGACGATTATGTCAGCACTCTTTGACCGGACGGTGCATTTGTGCCGTAAGGATTGCCAAGCGGCTGTACGTCTCCGTACGTTGGGTGGTCTATGTAAGTGTCGCCTGCAGGGCTGACGGGTGGTTCAAGTCGGAAGCCCAGGTTAACGTTGATACCCCTGGGCAGTATAATTTACTTAGCAGCAGCAGCCGCGTACACATTCGGTTCTTTTAGTTAAGGTACTTTCGGTAGCAATATTGGGTGACCGCTAACAAGTGATTATATTGACTTACCAGTTAAGGACACTTGCATCTCAGATCTCAGTACTCGCATGTCAAGTTATCCTGTAACGCTACTTATTATCGACTGATGAATCTTTGAACTTTGAACTTTGAACGTCGAACTTAGAACTTTGAACTTTGAATTTTGAACAACAAAGGAGAATGTAATTACATAATTAATCGAGGATTACTACTAAATAAAAATATTAATGGTTAGCAAACCCTATTATTAATAAAGGCATGACTAAGCGAAGACCGTATGTAGTTCAGTTGAACCTTGTGGGGGTGCACAGTGCACACCGCACGTACCTTCACTGAGAACCATGTCCAAGACGGGTGAAGTCAAAGTACCCTTTTTCAAGAAGGGAAAATCTCGACCAACAACCTCCCGAAAAAGATCGGCTTCTCCCTCTCCCCGTGTGTCAGCGCCGATACCATCTTCATCCAAGTCTGAGGTTGTTCACCCTTCTCGCAAAGCGACTGGCAATCTTCTGAGCGCTGGCACGAAACGCACGGCTGCACAACGAAGGGAAGATGAACTAGATGATTCAGACATTGCAGAACGCGACGGTCCTGCTGTGAAGTGGACCGCAGCCGGATCGCACACAAACGCAGCACTTGAGATACTAGCTGGCGACGAAGCTGCAGAGCTACTTGCTAAACGGCAGAAGAAGGAGAAGGCGGACAGAGGCGAAGACGAGGAGGAAATACCTGATGATGGACTGTATAGAGGTCAGAACGCTTATCGAAGCCACTTGAAGAAAAACCAGGAAGTACCTAAAGCCATGCGTGTTGGTCCTCAGCGAGGGACCAGCACCATTCGTACGGTTACCATTGTCGATTATCAACCCGATGTTTGCAAAGACTACAAAGGTTTGTAAGTTTCTCCTCCGAGTGATACGGATGCTAAAATAATCATTCCGATCAGAAACGGGGTACTGCGGCTTTGGTGACACTTGCAAATTCTTGCACGACCGTGGCACGTGTATGTTCGCATAGCCTTGACTCTTAAAGCAACTGAAGACATTTACTTCGGACAGACCTTGCTGGCTGGCAATTGGATAAACTCGCCGAGACCCCGCGAAAACAGGTCGAGGATGTGTCAGACTCCGATTCCGACAATGAGGACATACCCTTTGCTTGTCTCATCTGTCGAAAACCTTATACGGATCCGGTGGTTACGCGGTGCGGGCATTATTATTGTTCGGCTTGCGCAATCAAGCGCTATGCCAAAACTCCCAAGTGCTTAGCATGCGGCACCCCGACGGGTGGGATATTCAATCGTGCCGACAAAATTATAGACAAAATGAACAAGAAACGCGCAGAAAAAGACGACGAGCACGTCGAGGATGACAATCCCGGGGTCGAAATCGAGGGCCTGGCTGATAACGGTAGCAGAGACAGCGACTCAGGTGATAATGATAATGATTGAGATCTATATCATTGTATCGCTTATCAATACGCGCGTGACACGTTCTTTGTGAGCTTACCATTAGAAGTGTCATCCATATTTTCTCTTCCACCAACGTGGGCCCGCTATCACTTTTGATCCCCTTCTAGGTGAACTTCTGAGCAAATGTCTCCTGTGTAGCTCGTCTACAAGAGTCCTTTGCTGAGATAATTGGTTTGATGTCCGATTCGGAAGCGTTCGAACACGACCGCTTACTGATAGCGTTGTAAGTACGAAACACAGGGTGGTACTGTTCTGACCGTAGAGCTTGTCTGAGCAGACGCCGAGTTTATTGTCATTGAACTTATTTGTTCGTCTCAGGTCGTGAAAGCGAACCCACAATATCGCGAGACGGGCTTTCTAAAAAAAAATGGCATGTGATCATCATGTCAATCTCTCTTACCCGGTTCTTCAAGCAGATCTGTATGTGTGCGCGGTCCCTCTATTCCGCCCGCGGACCGCCAGGTGGTCCTGATCGCAGACCATTTATTTCAATCCCGTTGCAGATGCACCATGCAGTGCGATCGTTTCTGGTTCCTGGATGAAATCTCGTCCTATCCGATAGGCACAGCAAAGGCTCCCTCGGCGCCTGCGCGAAAACGGTAGCCTCTCTCCGGAATCTAGGCGAGATGGCCAAGACTCGCCGGCTCCCGCATCCAAGACAGTCAAGAAGGGAAAAGTGCTTCTCATCAGTACCTTTGAGATACTTTACATCACTGATGCACGAGATGAAAACCAGTGTGATCGATTGATCCACGGTGATCAGCAGATCGTCAGCGTTCGTTTGGATATCACTGACAAAACCTATCTCTTAAACGAGTACCTAGTCGGTCGGAGAAGCAGCCGGATTGGAAATGCGACGTGCATACTTTAGGATTCCAAGCCAACTTGAGCTTGGACCTGTTAGATATCGGTTACCCAACTTCGCCGTGGGCGCTTTGGTCAGGAATATCATGCTCTCATTAAGTACCACGGGATCAACTTGAGAGTGAGGGAATACAATGTGTGTTGCGTCGTATTTAGCAACTGCGTGCCAGGTACCGTAGGGGGTACTGGATGATCCTTCCGAGTCTAGTGCAGTAGTAGAAATACACATAAGTACAAGCATGCTCCAAACATTGAAGTGAAGAAAATTATGTGACAGCGTACAGTTAACGTAGCGCAGGTAATGCTCAAATGAAGAATGAGGACAATGGGATGTTGAAAGAAGATAACCAAAAAGTCATTTTCTAGATCTATTTCGACAACATCTCGTCGCACCCGTTATCAACGTGGCGTTTAAGTGAGTCCGCGCGCGACTGAAATCCTTCCCGCAGTAACGGCATCGGTGTAGGACTGGTGTTGTAGCATGCACGGTTTCATAATGTCTCCGTCTGTCGTGCGAGCGAGTAAATGACCTATCACAGAGCTCACAGGGAAAGCGATCTGCAAGAAGCGCCGGGTTGCTGGGGGGAGAGGTGTGCGCAGAACGTGGCGCAGCAGGGGGTGAGCTGCTCTGGGTGGTGTGCTGGGGATTTGGGGACATATGGTAATATGGTTCGACGGTGGGGCGGGAGCGCGGGTTTGATGTCACAGTGTTTGAATACACCTGATACGTCTGTGATGGTGTCGGGATGAACTGTTGTGGATGCGCGTGGAGAGCCTGGGGGTCAATATGCGGGTGGGAGTTTATCGCATACTGAGGACCTGGCCCGGATGAGTGATGATGTGACGGGAAGTAAGTATTGGGCTGATTCGCTGGAGGAGCATAGTACGGCCTGCGCGTTTCCGTAGCAGGTGGTGTCCCGTGTTGCGAGTGGTTGGAAAAAGGAAGGGGTTGCAATGCGTGGTTCCCTGCTTCAAGAATGTTAACGGCCATAAAAGCGCCATTGAAGGGTATTATAATACCTATGGTTCCATTGGGCAAAGTACTGTTATGTTGGTAACTCGATAATACCTGCGATTGCTGGGGGGGATATCCAGAGGTGTGGTTGTTCGAGTTCGAAGCGGATTGTCGATGATGGTGGGCAGAAACATGTGGTTGCTGGACCTGATGACCGTTGTTGGAGTACACATTTGAGTACTGCATAGTGCAAGGAGGTTTTGGTGAATGATAAAGACTTCCCAGCTCTTCGACTTGTCGAGCCCTTATATACATTTTTGCAGTGAAAGTGCTTGGGTGTTGCCTGTCATATCAGGGTTGCAACGTACCTTAATGAATAGATCGGTTACTAAATCATTACTTCTCAGAGCGTAATCCCGGTATGAACGAAACGCTGTATGACTCCGGCACCAAGAGATATTCTGCGGAAGGCGCCAGATCAATTATTGAAAAGAAGATAGTGCACACGGGCGCGGAATGCACCAATCATGATTTTCGCTACAGACCTGGACGTTGACTATCCGGGAGGCTAAATTCCGTCAGTTAGAAGGCTCCGTACCACCTCGGGAGCGGGTGGAGCAATGGAAGGAACAATGGAAAAAATTAGAACAGATAGGATTGGATAATAGATACGGGGTCTCACCGAGGAAAGCTGTGTACTCTCAGAGCTCAGAATGAGAACCCCTCCATTTGTGGTGAACGGCAGGTTTTCAGAAGATCACTGAAAACAGATCACGAGGCTAGAGAGTTTGCGGAGTGTGAGTTCCTGGACAGTTGACTTTAGATCGAGTCGGATCGGCCCTACTCTCGTAAAGGCATATATCAGTGGCAGCCCTTGTGCAGCAGACATGCTGCTTTCATCTAACGCTAAGCGGAAAGATCCATTACATATGGGAGATGCGACCCTTGGATTCAATGTTACTGATGTCACTTTTCAAGGGGCTGTACATGGAAACAAGAGGAACTGAGGAATTGACAAGTTACTTATGGTACGGGTTGCCAGATAGCCCAGAAGCGAGTTGGCTCAGCCCTACCATACCTTTTGTTGTTTATTAGACCCTGTACTGGTTGGTCAATCACGGGAAATTCCAGCCAATTGAGAATGCCTCGTGAAATAGGTATCCAATCACAGAGCGTTCGCCAGGATCTTGGATTGGTTAGAGCTGGAATGATTACGCCTAGACATCCCGAACAATGTCTTAAAGTTAACACGCGCCGAGAGAGATCGAGATTAACACACGAGACATATATTGCACATTGACAAAACGCCGGGACAAGAGTTTGCGGATTTCCACAACGTCCAAAATGACGTTTACGACCAGCTAGACGATGTCAGGAAGATAGATGACAAAATCGGAGAACTTAGTACTCGCAACGATGTGAAACTCACGTCAGGTCACTATATAAAGGTGATAGAGTTCCCCACTACATATGCGTTCGAACACCATGGGCGCCCGATGCCAATCTTGAGCGCGATGTTGCCATGAAAAGAAGAGCGACGATGGTGACAGGGAAAGACGGTTGAGCAGACTACGACATTCTGATACCCTCTCCCTGCAAATGAAGAATCGCATTTTCCACGTGTTCTTGTCCTCGGGAAGGCGCCTTCCGTTTCGGCACCGACAACAGCCAAAAATCTTGCGAGCCAACTGTTAAAGCGATTCGTCAACTGCATCGGCGTGATTTACTCGGAGCCAGAAGCTTGTAGATCAATCTTCAACAAGTCATATTGCACCAGCGTGTGTCTATCTCCTCGGATAGAACAAAAATTGGTGAATCACCATTCAGTTTCAGCAATGAGACAGTCGCAAAGTTGTACAACTCGCCCATGGCGAGAGATGGTATATCCCATTCACATGTACACGGAGAAGTCAGAACAAAAATAAATCTGCGCAAGTTCGAGAAGCATGATTTGGCAGTGGAGCTACTAGTAGTCTCCGCAGCGTGCCTCCCCGAAAGCGCCAGATTATCGCCAATATACTGGAACGGCAAGTATTTATTAGACACGCGAAAACCTCGAGGACGGGATCAGGAGCAACGGCATCTGAAGTTTGAACCTGGTGAGACAGTTGCTAGCGTTTTTGGTACAGTCCAAAGGAACATGCCGTTTCTGATTACAACTCAAGTCTTTTCCACCAATCAAAGCGCTCGCTTCAGTGGTCAGGATCACCCAAGCTTGAAGCGCGCAACGTAAAAATGGGTTTGTGGTTTGTGGATATGGAGCCAGGCACGATAGTAGAGAAAATTCCCGTCCTTTCAGGTCCAACATGCAAACTTAACCTTGCCATAATCCACTGCTGAGGTCTCGACTTCCTAAGAGCGCCAAGAATCCATGCGGCCGTCTGCGTGATCGGTAGTCAGAACCTTGTTTGGACTGCATGGAGTGCTTGCCTTTTAAATATTATGTCCTTTGAGATACACCAACTAAAGTGATGAGCTCGAGACCTAGTACTAGCTACCTGCGGGAAATGTGTAATACCCCAACCCAAACAGGGACAAAGGATTCGTGACTTGTGACTCCTTCCTGCAAATTCCAAATCACTCGAAGCACGAGACCGCAGGACAGGCGAGAATATGGCCCCCTTTGACCTCGACGCGTGTATACAGCAACTACTCCGCAAACAGCTCTTACATGAGGCCCTTTTACGCGAAATCTGTGCAAAAACGAAAGAAGTTCTCATGAGGGAATCTAATGTGGTGCATGTCAGTGCCCCAGTGACTGTCGTTGGAGATATACACGGGTGAGCGGCTCGCAGTTTTAATCCATTTATGCCATTTCATCATGGAACTCAAGTCAGTTCTACGACCTCATCGAGATATTCCGTATAGGTGGCTACGCTCCTCACACCAATTATCTTTTCCTGGGTGAGTTCGTGTCTCGTTCTCAGAACAAAGATCCCTTTTCTCATAGTATGCAAGGGGACTATGTTGATCGTGGCCTGTTCAGTGTCGAGACCATATCGCTCCTTACGTGTCTTAAACTGCGTTACCCCGACAGAGTTCAGTTAATTCGTGGCAATCATGAATCAAGGGCTGTAACACAAGTCAGCCACCAATTCATGATGTTTGGGAGCATTCTTATCGCTCAATGTTCAACTTAGACTTATGGGTTTTATACGGAGTGTGTGCGGAAATACGGCTCGTCACATGTATGGACGTATTTCACGGACATGTTCGACTTCTTGACCCTGTCTGTGGTAATCGACGATCGGATATTCTGTGTTCACGGAGGTCATCAGCGATTCATTGTTTCACAATGTCACGATCTGATGAATTTGGTTGTCTCAGGTCTTTCTCCATCTATCCACTCAGTGGATCAAATCAAAGTTGTAGATCGATTTCGCGGTATGTCCTCTCAAATTATCCTTGCTCCGCAACCTCATTTCATTCCAGAAATTCCACACGAGGGTCCAATGGCCGATTTGGTGTGGTCGGATCCAGATGCAGAGAAAGAAGACTTTGCAATATCCCCAAGGTCCGTGTCTACTTCATCATATCACCAGCGTCATTGACTAATGAGGCTTATTCTTGCTCCGCTTGTGCTGTGTCTGATGTGTCAATCTGAAACAAATCATGTAGAGGAGCTGGCTACACGTTCGGATCAGGCGTCGTGCACAAGTTCTTGGAAACGAACAATATGTCGCATATTCTACGTGCTCACCAACTCTGCATGGAAGGATATTCGTCACTATTTGACAAGCATCTTTCTACTGTCTGGTCAGCGCCCAACTATTGTTATCGTTGTGGTAATTCCGCGAGTATACTCGAGGTGGGTCCTGGCGAGAGCATGTATTTCAATGTGTTCGAAGCTGCCCCGGAAAACGAACGCGATGGTCCAAGTCAACAGGCTCCCCAGAATGTTGGTGGAAAAGTACGTTGCTGTTCCTGTGGTCATCTCCCGCGCCGTGTTTTCTTTGAATAGACCAACTTGCTCACACGAGTGTTTGTTTCACCTAGCTACCCGAGTACTTCCTCTAGTATCTCAACAGTCTACGTCGGGGCTTTTGAACATTTTGATAGAACTGAATACTGTTGGCGGCGATTGTGGTGCCGAAGTGTAGCAAGTAAATGTAAACCTGTATTGTGCGGACGATATTAGTACTAGTACGATGATACTTTACTATACCCCACATGATGTATCCTTCTGTATCACGCTATTAATTTTGCGGATGCTCTTCTAATTGCCAGAATGTGGATTCATTAGCTAGTACGATGTCCATGTTAGCCGGAGAAAAAATAGGTCACTCCGCCAAGTTGAGAACCATGATTCGATAATTAATCAATAGTGATTGCATGCGGACTAGGTGTGCAAATCACAAGGTAAGTTATGTAACACCTCGGCATTTCTTGACTGCGCGGGCATCAGAACCGCTGACATGATATCCCGGTTCATCATCGATTTCATCATACAGGCTAAGTCATTGCAAGGTGTTGCCAGAAGATAGAGGTACCCCCAGCATCCATCGGTTTACTCCCCTGACTCTCTTCCGAGTGAGACTGACTGCGATAAGAAAGAACAATATAATGACACGTGCACCCCATCGTCTCCACCAGAGAACTGAAAGGGTCAACAGTAGATCACGCTTCCGCCGGCGACCTTGTTTCACCACGTGCGGTCTTGAAAGAGAAGCGACTGAAGGATAACCAAAAAACGGGTTGAGGGAGGATCGAGGGGGTATGAACACGGACGAAGCCTGCCAGGTGTATGGTTTCAGGAAGCCGAATGTTGGGCGCCGGCATGCACCATTCACGTGAACTAACAGAAGTCTGGTCGTCCGAATTCAGTGGATCTTCAACAAGGTGAAGTGGCGAAAGTGCACCGCCATAATCTGACAAATGCGCGGCTGCTAAGCGGGTAAGGCAACAAGATAGGGTGACTGACTAGATGGTAGCGCTGAAGGAGAACAATATTGAAGAAGCTCCTCTCTAGATGGAAAGAAGACTCGGGCAACTGCGGAATTAGGAAGTAGGCACCTAAGATCCGGTCAAGCAGACCAAAAACGTGTCTGGAGTAAACGCACTTCACAATGGACCATGTCATTGCATACGTCCAAGAGTAATTGAGGAGGAATACTGGCACAAAACAAAGTTGAGTTTGATCAACATCGCATATAATTATAGAGACGCATTGTTACCTGCAGCAAACATTCCAGGGTATCGGGGAACTACTTCCTTCATGAACCACGTCAAAATTTTAAGGTTCTGTCATGAAGGTGAATAAAAGTTTAGCTTTGATGGAGCAGTTGACATACAAACGACTGGATTGATAGACCTTCAAGGTCGACGACGAAAACACATTGAAGAATTATTTCATGGTTTGCGTACTTATCATTGAGCGAGCGCATATGAATACGCAGGCGTTCGAGGGAGATCAGAAATCCATCCATCATTGTTTGCTCACAAGTCAGCAATTCTGACAAGTGGAGAAACACGAGGGGACGGCCAAGTGGATCGCAAATCGGCGGCGGAAGGCAATGGAACAGTGCGGAAGGAAGAGTGGAGAGTCGCAGTGCATTTAGACGCCAAACGAGCGTGGTGTGTATGGCCTCCAATGCGAATGAACGAATGAACTTATGGTACTACACGCCAAGCTTTAGCGGAAGAACCGGCTACAAGTAATTAGCATTTCACTCACCCGTAAGAAACGGAAAATTGTTGCTGCGGTTAACCATAGTTAACTTACGGTTTCATGAATCTGATGCTGCAACATTTACCTGTATCCGAGATCCATTCTTTTGCCCATGTATGGTCCGCATCACTGAGCGCCAATTCTTGGGCCACATGGGACAAGACCTCATCATTCAAGGTTGACTGGAGGGCCCATACGTCCGCAAGGCTTGCTTCATACTGATTAATGAGCGTTTCGTGATTATCCTGTAGTACGGAGCGCATAATACCGTTGTTCATGGGTGCAGAGCGTAAAGCTACAGTGAGTGTCACCTCATGTGTACACTTGCTTATACGTTACATATTTGGCCCAATTCTGGCCAGAAAGCTAAGCAACAATTTCAGCGACGAACAAATTTTTTCCTCACTGCAGGTTCTTCCAATAAATCTTATAACACTCTATCCTCTACCTGCCTGGATACAGGAGGATACTTGGAACGAGACCCAGAGGTCAAATTGCATCTACTATTACTAACAGGATCTCTACAACTCTCCAGCGTTTGTGCGTAGCACGCTAATCAAGTAGGTTTCTTCAATATTTTTCCTGTTCCTTGACAGACCATTGCAGAATCTCGTGGTCTATCATCACACCCATATATCGACTGTCACAAGGACTGCCTCATGTTTGTATCATTTTGTATCAGGTGCTGATCGAGCTCAAGGAGACGGCATTTTGTGTTTCGAGCGCAATCGGATTCGGGAGTCATCAGGATGTCAAAAAGTCAGGAATGGATGCTGCAGCTCGATTCTCGAACTCGTAATAGCAGGTAATACCATCCTTCAATGTGGAAGTCTCCACAGATTCAGATCTACTCGGATGTGACAGCTTTCGTTCTGCTGGTCGCAAGTCCGGTCTCAGCAATCGCTTTCCCCCACTGACTGTATGGCGTCTCAAGTAGCACAAGTTCAATCTTACCCTGCATGACAAATTGCAATCGTCAACTGTCGCTTCTACCTCATCTGCTGTTGTCCAGGCTACGCAGCTGAACTGGCCACACAACGGGCGGGGGCACTGGGAGAAGACCAAAGAGATACCTTTTGAGAACTATGAGCCTGTCCCACTTAATGCTGGCGAGCGCGTCACTATCTCAGTTTGATTTTTGTTGCACTAGATTGATGCAGAAACTCCATCAGCGTGTGGAGAAGATTTATCTCCTAAGATACGTGTTGCTATGGATGTGCATCCCACACAAGCCTATCTGCACTTCCGTATGAGCGTGTCCTCTCGTCCAGCGAAGAAACGTGCACTATTTGTCGAATCCAACTCTCCTGAACTCCCGGTGGAAGTTCTCCACTGGTTTAGGCAGGATAGATTACATTCGACGTGGCAAAGGAAGAGGACTACTATCTCCGGACCATTAGTTCGATGATCGGTCGTCCAGTGAAGCCGATTTGATTGAACATGCCAGATAATACATCTACAAAATGAAGGACGGAACGTTCAGTTCTGCGGATGTTACTTTTTGTGGTTTCCAGTCGCTGTCCTAATGATAATCGATTTGTTATAACGACATACTATCCCTACTTATTATCTTGGTTGCACACGCCAATAGTAATACTATACGCTTATTTGCAAATAAAATAAAACGAGCGAAATAAAATGTAATTGGGTGGGGCTATTATGTAAATAGCTTAACCACTTCATAGCAACTCGAGGTGGAGCGTGACACGTTGCCACATTCGCTGAGTTAGCAACCTGGGGTACGAAGCGTGACACCTCCCGAAAACTAGCAACTCCCTGCAACTCCCTGTCTGGCGGACGCAAAATTTTACTCCGTCTATTGAATGGGATCAGGAACGCGGGTATGTCGCGGCCAAAGAAGATTAGCTACTGTGATTGGCTGGATACTCACCGTAAGACTATGGTCAATTTGACGCTGCTGAAAAGGTAGGTAGACCTCTGCTGGTACATACTTTCATGAACTCACTTGCTAGTTTTTTTTATAGTTTTGAAAGGACAAGTTTCTGTGTAGTCCAACTCTCGTCCATGTCATCTTTGGCAAGAACAAGTTCTTAATGTTTGCACCCACATGATCAGACCTCTACTTACGCGTGGAATACCTTTGTAGTCATTCGCGCGTCGCTGGCAACCAACTGGCAGTGGCAACACTATGTGCTGTAAAGGTAGTCGTATCATTCCAGGTGACAGGGGCCAGTAGGGGTCACCCGGAGTACTTAGAATGAGTGTTTTGCTTTCTGCTTCCCCGACTGATTCTTATTTGACATCCGCGTTTGTCTTGGCTCAACACATCGCCGACGCTACGCTTTACTATTTCATTTTTCTACGCGCCGAAGTCCGAGGTGCAGCTTTAAATCATAGGAAGTATTCAAGGACGTGTCACACCCGCAGAAACATTTACCAGGCCTCACCTGCTCGTATTAAATGTCACCTTGAGATAGGTATGTGGCTTTCAGTCCCGCCTCCTTCTCTTGCATTACACCAATGGTATGTATTCTGTTGCCATTGCTGCGAAATCATTCGAAGGCTCACATGAGTAACAAGAGCATAATGGGCAACAGGTCTCAAACGGCAACAGGTACAAGTGAACCGATTGAAAATGTATGTGCCCAGTGGGATGCCAGTCACAAAGCTGACTTGCATTTCGCTGACAAGCTCTATCAGGGACGACGAGCTTCTCTTTCTCTAAATATTGTCGTCGTAGGATGTGGGCTTGGCGGTCTCACTGCTGCGTACTGCCTCGCCCAGGCTGGCCATAAGGTAACCATCCTCGAGGCCGCTCCTACGATTGGAGATATTGGTGCTGGTATCCAGCTCAGCCCGAATCTGACCCGCCTTCTTATCCGCTGGGGTCTAGGCAAGCGCCTCAAGGAAGTTGCTGTCAAGCCCGAAGCATTGACCTTCAGGCGCTGTGAGTCATTAAATATATTTTCGTAGACACTACTTATCCCTCTCACCTCGTAGGGTGTACCGGCGAGACCGTTGCATGGACACAGTGGGGAGGCGCTATAGAGGAGAAGTACGGGGCGCCTTACTATCACATCCATGTTGAGTGTGAGCTTTACGTAATGGCCAGTGAAGTTGATCAAATTTAAAGCGTGCTGATTTCCTTCGTATGGTGTATGAATTGGCGGAGCCTAATTGTACCATTCGCACCAATTGTCGGGTTCTTTCCATGAACACGTCAAAACCTACCCTCACTCTCGAATCTGGCGAAGTCGTACATGCTGATTTAGTCATTGGTGCCGATGGGGTGAAGAGTACTTTGCGGCAGTATGTCGTGGGTGGGGTGGATCAACCCAGACCCACAGGGGATGCTGCGTACAGAGCTATCATCTCGACAGAAAAGCTTTTACGAAACCCGGACCTGCGGCCCTTGGTTGAGACCCCTGAAATGGTCGGTTGGATGGGTCCACGATGTCATATTATGGGGTATAACATCGTATGAAGCCAACCTTTTCCCAAATATGAGAATCTTCCTCATTTCACCTTCGTAGCGCGCTAAAAGAGAATACAATCTCGTGATGGTACATCCCGACAACAACGGCGACGAATCATGGACTGCCGAGGGCAGCACACAAAGGATGAGGGCTGAGTTTGCTGGTTGGGAACCCCGGTAAGTATCTTTCATTAGCCTTCCGCTACGTTCTCATTTTCGTGAATCGAAACAGCATTCAGAAGCTCCTGGCTATGATTCCTTCTACGCTGAACTGGAAATTAATGGACCGCGATCCTCTTGAAACCTGGATACACAAGGATGGAAAACTGGTTCTATTGGGAGATTCTTGTCACCCCATGCTCGTATGTCTCCTTGTTTCCGTGTAGTGTCATTTGACTCATCCGACTGTTAAGCCATATCGTGCTCAAGGATCTGCAATGGCCGTGAGTGCTTTTTGTTAAAGGGTTCTTACGACCATGGGCCACTATATATTTTTCAGGTCGAAGATGCTGCTGTTTTGGGCAACCTTTTCTCTCATCTTGCGCACCGCTCTCAGATTGTTCCCCTGCTTCACGCCTACCAATCCATTCGCTATGATCGTGCAACCGCTACACAGGACGCATCTCGTTTGAATCAGCACTCATTTCATCTTCCCGATGGTCCACAGCAGGAGGAACGAGACCAGCAAATGCGTGCCGCGATGGAAGACGCGCTTCGCATAGCACGCGGTGAGAGGAGCACATTTAATTCGGCAGGTAACTCAAACCAGTGGGCCGACGAGGAAAAGAATACAATCCAGTTTGGCTACGACGCTGACGAAGAAGCAGAAAAATGGTGGCGGAAACATGGGCATACCCTTATGGGTCCTCGCTCCCGCATGTAAACAGAGGTAGAACGGCGTTCTACTGATGCCATTCTTTATAAGTACGACCATATGATTCTCAGGGTAGTGGAGCTTTCAAATCGTATTATCACTTAAAGATGGTCTGGCAAGGCGCGACGTGGATGAACGTGTGGATTAAGCGGTAAGGTAAGAGATAAGATACATCCATATTCGATGTGAATATATATATACATATATGAGCAAGCGATCAATAGACCGAATACTAATACACAGACAATATATCATGATAGGGGTGTCTGTCCAATCAGCGTCGGCACGTACCACAAGGTCTGTGATGTAGATAGATTTCCGTAGTCACTTGACTTTGCAATACACCTCGTGTACTTAACTGCCTCATCATTAAGTTCCCGTTGACGGAGCTAATTCACATCAGACATGGGGAATGACATCACTGAGCATAACCAGTGGGCGTCAGAGCTGCACCGTCAAGCCGCTAACTTGAGACTAGTGAGACTGATCGATGATCGGTATTAAGACACTGCACAAAATCATGCCATGGAAGCATCTGCCACGATCATCCGAAACTCGGTCAATGGCATTGGAAGACATATATATAGAATCGATCCACATCCTGAATGGAACCATTGAAAGGCTGAGCTGCTGAACGTTAAACCTTACTAAAAGTTCTTCTCTTGAACGTTATCTGAACAATTCCATGAGACGTTCTGATCTGGGAAAGAACTGTATTGTGGGGTTTGCTGCCAAGTGCCGTTTAGGTTGCTGACCGTGTATAGGTTAGAGTGTTCATCAGTCCTCATTTTAGGCCAGCTACATCCCGATGTGATAGGCAGAAGTCACTGTCGGAGGGCACCGAATTAATCGGTAGTGGCTAGTCGGTAGAGCTACTTGATTAATCTCCAATTCTTCTATGCCTCATGTCAATAACAACCAGGAGGTTGATGACAGAAGACGTAGATGGGTCAGTCCACAAGTGGCCCCATCGTAAGGTCAATGCCTGGCCTTTTTTGATTTTCCTCCACCTGCCAAACCCCCGCTCACAATACGTCTCTTGCCTTTAGATCCAACACTCCCGGCGTCACTCAAGGCCGCATCCATGATGCACAGCGTCTCAAGTGCACCAGCCAGAATCCGTTTCTCCCCAAGCCGTACGATAACGGCGTGTCTTTTGTTGAGTGTGAGCGATTCAGCCGCAAGGAGCTTTTCGTCAATCTGAAGCGGAGAATAATTATGTCATCGATGCTCGAAGTAGAAAGATGACTTGGACGGACGTACTTCAAGATCTGGTGATCGATAAGTGCTCAAGCGCATCTCTAATATGCGTCGCAATAACCGAGAGACCTGACGATCAAACTTGGCTTTCGGGGGACGCCCTTTCTCCCGTGCCTTTTCCCACTCTTCTTGGGAGAGAAGAAGTCTTATCAAAGATATCAACGCTGCAGGTAGAATTGGCTCGGTGTCGACGATGAAAACGCTAGATGTGGTGCGTGAGCCTAAAAGAAAGGAGTAAGTGAAAAGTCATACTCATCCCCTCCCTCGTCGAGCCACCAGTCGATCCGTTGTTGATGTGTCTCATCATTAGGATCATCATCACAAACAAGTTTGAGAATCAGGTCTGCTCGGATCTCTACGACATCTTGTGGATTTCCAAGCGCACCCTTGAGATCGGGACAAGGGACAAGATCGACATATCCGTAACGCCTGAGCAGGTCTGAGTTAGGCAGGTCGCCATATGTATTGAACTTGAATGGACGTGAACCGGTAGAATCACTGTTGTGATAACTAACTTACTATTTGTTCCCCAGCCTTGATGGGCTTCGTGGTGACCATGTGGAGATGGTGTTTCTCGTAGAAAAGTTTAGCCTGTGAAGACCTGCATAAACCTCATGCAAGCGCAACAACGAAGAAGAACAAGACTGGAACATAGAGATTCCATGTTCATGAAACTCACATTGACCGAGTCATATCGAGCGTTCAGAAGGTCAGCCATAGGCACCATTGCAATGTTTGATGTATCCTCTGTGTCCTCATCATCGCTATCACTATCGTTGCCCGCTTCGTCGACGCCTTTATCGTCGACTCCTGAATCGTCAACATCCATTGCGCTCCCAATACTTGTGTTGGCATGGGCGTCCTCGTTATTATCTTCTTCGGGAACAAGTTCGCTATCCTGCTCCACTTCGCCCTCCCACCTCTCTACATGGAAGCTTCGAGATAGAATTCGGCTGCCTGTAATATGGTACCGATGAAGTGTGTACCATGTATCGATTTTGTTCGAGGGAAACAGGTCTGGCCGAGTCTAGAAAGATCCCAGTGAGAAAACAGGGGGGAAAGTTAGAAGATAGATGTACCTTGATCGCTGGAACCAGCTTCTCGTGATAGTCACGCTCAGCCTCAACCCGACCTATCTTGTCTAGATTTCAGATTATGGTGAGCCACGAACGTCCGCGTTCACAAACGAAAATGTGATGAAAACTATGTAGCAACGATGAAAAAGAAATTGGCGACAGACCTACCACAGCCGTCCCCTGGAGCTCTTGGAGTTCTTCGTCACTCCAGAACATTGGTGTGTCAAATTGTGTCGGGAGGGATGCTGAGTTGAAATTCAGAGACTGACGAGTGGTCATTTGGAAAAGACTCGCCCAGATATGTAATCCACTTTCCTTGGTTGCCTTGAGCTTCCTCCCACATCATGCAAAGAATCAGCCCAACCCAACCCTTGTGTAATTTGTACTTTCTCCATGCTTCAATCCCGAATGTAGAAGGAAGGGTCGAGGTCCGGGTGGAAAGTGTCAAAAAACGAGGAAGCGTGAAAATTGTATGGTTTTCCTAAGCGAGAGAGAAGTTAGCGACCCATTGGACTGGGTGATTTGAAGGAGGCGAACAGGTATATCCCGGAGTGCGATTGCACCACGCCCACTGCCAGGAAAATCGGTGATGCCCATCATTGAAGTATCCAAGACTCCACTATGGTGCTGAAACCAAGCAACGAAATCATCCATGCTTCAAAATCCAGGCAACAACGAAAACAGCGTCCTGATAAGTTGTCAGCAAGGAGTAAAGATGCAGTCTTCCCTAAGTGGTTTTTTAAACTTTACTAGGTATAGCCGAAGGAATGACCGTCTAAGTTTAAGGTCTGCCTAGACAAAGTTGCCTTCCACAGGAAACTCTCCACGATATAAGTGTAAGTATATAGCTAGCGTCAACTTGCACTTCAGTTACAAATGCTGCTTGAGGCTGCTTGCCAGTGCTGGCCGCACGCAGTACGGCGCCTGCGGCGTACTACTTATTACTATATTTGGCTGCGGCTACGTATGTTGTCAAGTCACCGACCAGCTGCGTATGAGCAACAGCTGCGGACTACCCTCGTTCTCATATATAACTTCGCCAAATCCCATTGATTGAATACTACAAACGTTGTTCTACGATGACCCAGACCAACCAACCATTTGAGGGTCAAGATGACTTCGGCCAGCCTCGAGGTAAGCAACTTTGGTCATACTGTATCTACTTCGTGCAAATACAAACTGATACGCCAGATATAGCCAACCCAGCCTCATCATCACCGCCTTCGGAATCAGAGGACTCTCACCAGTTTCCTCCTTCACCACCAGGAATACACGATAACGACCAACCTCCCCTGCCTTCCCTTGTCTCAACTGCAGCAGCTCTGTCTTCATCCCAATCGCCAGAACTGGGTGATATGATCACTCTTTCGCCCCAAACTTCTCCTATTACTCAAGATGACGACACGCCTTCCCTCCCACAGCGTCCTTCTGATAACAATGTGGACCCACGTATCGCGAGCTTGCGCGCCATGTTCCCCGATTTCGATGACTCTCTTCTGTGTGTAGAGAGTGCCTTATCATGTCATATGTACTGAATGGCGTACAGATCATCTGTACTTCAGAGTGCCAATGGTGACCAGGATCTGGCCATTGACACACTGTTGGGAATGAGCGATCCCGATTATGTCTCACAGCCGCTGGCGCCGCCGGAGCAGCGTGAGCCTACTCAGACTGACCTAGACGAACAACTTGCCCGACGTCTCATGCTTGAGGAGGAGCAAGCTGCACAGCAACAGTGGCGCCCTTCGCAGCAGGATCAGGGGCACCAATCTTATCAACCGAGACGTTCTACTTCTACCAGTCGAGGAGGCTGGGGAGGTGCTGGAGATGAAACTGGAAGGTATGACAGCACAGCGCAGGGGGGCAATCCGCCGCAACGAGATACTATGGCAGATTTCCAAGATGGTTTCAACAAGATAGCGGAGAGTAAGCATTCCCCAGTCTTGATCCGATCGACATTAATTGACTACGGAAAATTGTCAGCTGGAAAGAAGACATTCTCTTCAATTGTTTCAAAGGTCAAAGCGAAGATGCAAGAATTCGATCAGGGCCAAGGACCTCCCAGGTTCGCATACTTTTCCTTTTGTCACCGTTTACGCCAAACGTTCTAATCGGACTTCTTTGCAGGCAAGATACACAGCCTACTTGGGGTCAGGCATCCCAACCCTCGTGGAGTGGCGGACAACCCCACACATCTTCGCAGATCCAGTATCAGCCTTCGTACCACGATCCCAACCCGCAACCTCAGGAACCCTACTATGACCCCAATCCACCAGGCGACAGTAGAATTTATGGAAGTGGGTGGCAGTCTCCTCCTCGTCCCAGTGGAGGCAACTCAAATCCGAGGACGAATTCCAATCCTACTCCCGTCCCAAGCTCAACATACGTTCCTCCGAAACCCGCCACGAAGCCCATCCCGAACTCCACATCCATCGCAAGCAATAGCCCGACCTATGCGGGGTCGTCAATGTATAACCCGCCGACCACAGGCATGGGCACGTCTCCTCCGCCTGAACTTGCTCGGCGGTCAGGTGATATACCAAGACCGCCCTCGACGGGCGTAGGTACGCCGAGTGGAATTGATCCCGGTCAGTAAATTTCTTGCCTCCCGTCTCGTCGTCGTCTAATTTCATCACTACTCACTATCTTAGCTAAATTGGGACTTCTCCCCAAACGACCTGTATCACTCCTTCGGGAACAGCCCCCGCCTTCACACAGAGACGATAGTGACGATGAGTTAGAATACACAGAAAATCCGTTCGAGGACAGGGGCCAGTAATCAGGTGGTAATTCTGGGGTGACAAATTGTAATCTCGTCTTTGACTGTGACTGCTGATGGACTATTAATTGTGACGCGTACAGTACCAGACAACGGCTGCAATGTTTCACGCAATCGAGACACATTTTCTACAAAACTTAAGCACATTTTGAGCTTAGGGCTGCTGTCCACCCGTGTCCGTCTCGCGCGGTTCTCACGTGTACTCTGCACGGGTTCATCATCTCTGCTACGTCCCATGATGGAAGGCCGATACTGTTTTCTGTGCAAACGCTAACTATATAACTATTTTCCGACACAGTACAGTTCCCCTGCTCCATCTCGTACAATGCTACCAAGCCCCCATCCACTGGGCGCGATATAATGCACTCCACATCACTTCCTCCGATGTCACAAGCACACCGATAATCCATGGCCGATCCCGATGTTCTGTGTGACCGTCCCCTCCAAAATATGTCGTACACGCGCAAAGTATAAATTTATCTCTCCTGAAAGACGAGCTTCGTCCTCGCTCATGTGCAGAAGGTACTCGGTGGCTAAAATTCACACTGGACGGCGTCTACATGTTGCGATGTCTTTGCATATTGCAGTCCAAGCTCAAGTCCATCCGGCTTTTAGCATCCGTATACGAGGTTGTGAATCACAAATTGGAAGACAAAGTTAAAGACATGCTCGCCAGTTGCATTGACAGGCAACCTGATCAAGGACATTCTGGAACAAGAGCACGGCGCTCAATGTGTTGTCCTCTGAGGGCATATTTTATTTTGGAATTTTGCAAGCGATGACGGAGCTGAAGTGACCAAGCCGGAGGGTAAGAAGGAACTTTGGGAACAGATGGACAAGGATATCGCGAAGGTGGAGGTGGAATCATCTGATAAATGCGACAACATCTCACTCTCAGCGTGTACTACGTATGATGTTGAACCTGTCAATAATTTGGAAATAAAGTGCCCTGCTCCCCAAGGTCTATACTATCTGCTATGATCATCATTCATCGACTTCCGAAACGATGGGGACTGGACATTAGGATGTGATAAAGACTACATCATCAGATCTCCGTGGTCAGACCCAACGACGGAGGGCAGCTATTGCAGATACATAAGTGGGACTCAGAGTAGATTTTTAAACTCGCTAAAACATAACTAAGACTCGGTAAAGTTTGAAGAAACTCGGCCATAGACGGCCGGCACAGATCGGAGTTCAAAACAATACTTGTGCATTTGTGAGAGATAATGGGAGATATTGGGAGTAGCACGCATGATAGAGAACGTAGATATATCATAGTAATTAGCCTGTCAGCCTCCAAACAACAAATGAGCACCGGGGCCCATCCCACAATTTATATAGGGAAGTTGTAAATAGGTTCGGTTAAATAACTGGTTTTGTTAGGACTTTGGCTTTTAAAAGGAAAAAAATTCTATATATATTGGTCATAACTACAAATAATCACAGTATAGCAAGGAGTGAAATAGTTGTAAAACAGAGATAGGCATTCAGAATAGTTAGCACTCGCAACAGTTGCAAGTGCTACTGCAGTACAACTGTAGTAGCTATATTGTTGCACTCGCAACTGTTGCAAGTGCTAATGCAGTACGGCTGTAGTAGCTATACTATCACACTCGCAACCGTTTCGAGTGCGATGGTATGTCACGTGATGTTCACGGACCCTGTAATAGTAAGAACATGAGGCTAAGGGTCCAGGGGATAGGGCAAGAAAACGGGGGCGAAAGAAAATTGCCCTCTTATCGATAACCATCATCACCTCTACCAATGTATAGAATAAACCCAAGGACGTCAGATGCCTCCGAAAGCATTGCGCAAAAGCGGGGGGAAGAAGGCTGGGGGAACAACAGTAGCGGTGAGTGATGAATATAGAACTAACCAGTACTTCCTAATGCAACGCCTATCAGAGCGGAGCAGCATCCAATCTGCACTTATATGGTCATTTCAGAAATACATTTCAAAGTTGTAAAAACATATCTTCTGGTGGGCTGGTACATATGTTAGAGGGTACTTCCAGGATGGATATGAGCCAACAATCAAAGAAAACGGCGGTTGGGTTGTGGAGATATTGTCAAAATACTGACTTTTCAGCCCACTTGACATATCACATCATTGTCGACCTCTGGATGCTCCGGGACCATCGCCAATCGATTCCTAGGCCTCAATAACCCCAGTAACATTGTTTTCAATATTGGTATTGAGGTACAATATCGGAATAGTGACATACAGATGATCAGGGGGGGAGGAGGACCTTGTATATCTCAGGAATATGATTTTTCCAGGGAAATCTGGCATCACCACCGTGTTCAGAGGGCTCAAGAACCCCCAGGAAAAATACTTCTGAAGGACAGGCAAGTCACATGAAGGCTAGAAAAATCGATCTTTGGGTGGGGCAGCATGACAGGGGTGGTCAACTTTGGAACATGATTTTTAGAGCGAAATCTGGCTCGACCATCGTGTTCAGATGGTCCAATAACTTCTAAAATGAATCATAGATAAAGCCAGGCAAGTCATATGAAGGCTGAAAAAATCGATCTTTGAGTGGGGCAGCATGGCAGTGGTGATCAACTTTGGAACATGATTTTTAGAGCGAAATCTGGCTCGACCATCGTGTTCATATGGTCCAATTATCTCTAAAATGAATCCTAGCTAAGGCCAGACAAGTCATATGAAGGCTGAAAAAATCGACCTTTGGGTGGGCCACCATGGCAGTGGTGGTCAACTTTGGAACATGATTTTTAGAGCGAAATCTGGCTCGACCATCGTGTTCATATGGTCCAATAACCTCTAGAATGAATCCTAGCTAAAGCCAGGCAAGTCATATGAAGGCTGAAAAAATCGACCTTTGGGTGGGCCAGCATGGCAGTGGTGGTCAACTTTGGAACATGATTTTTAGAGCGAAAGTCTGGCTCGACCAACGTGTTCATATGGTCCAATAACCTCTAAAATGAATCCTAGCTAAAGCCAGGCAAGTCATATGAAGGCTGAAAAAATCGACCTTTGGGTGGGCCACCATGGCAGTGGTGGTCAACTTTGGAACATGATTTTTAGAGACCAAACTGGTATCACCGATCCATTCATATGGTTCAATAACCTTGAGAATGAGTCCTAATTAAAGATAGGCAAGTCATGTGAAGGCTAAACAAATCGATCTTTGGGTAGGGCACCATGACAGGGGTGGTCAACTGTGGAACATGATTTTTAGAGACAAATCTGGCATGACCATCGTGTTTATATGGTGTAATAACCTTCAGAAAGATTCCTAGTTAAAGCCAGGCAAGGAATATGAAAGCTGAAAAAATCAATCTTTGAGTAGGGCACCATGACAGGGGTGGTACTCAACTTTGGAACATCATTTTTAGAGACAAAACTGGTATCACCAATGCATTCATAGGGTTCAATAACCTCGAGAATGAGTCCTAGTTAATAACAATGTGTCATATCAATGGGCTAGTAAATCAATCTTTGGATAGGGCACCATGACAGGGGTGGTCAACTGTGGAACATGATCTTTAGAGACCAAACTGGCATCTCCAATGCATTAATATGTTTCAATGATCTCAAGAATTAGTCCTAGTTAATGACAGATGTATCATATGAAGGGCCAGTAGATCAATCTTTGGGTAGGGCAAGCATGATAGAAGCAGACCACTCAACTTTGCAACATGATTGTTGGATACAAAACTGATATCACCAATCGATTCATAGGGTCGAATAACCTCGAGAATGAGTCCTAGCTAATAACAAATGTGACATATCATGGGCTAGTAAATCGATCTTTGGATAGGGCACCATGACAGGGGTGGTAGTCAACTCTGGAACATGATCTTTAGAGACCAAACTGGTATCTCCAATTGATTCATAGGGTTCAATAACCTCGAGAATGAGTCCTAGCTAATGACATATGTGGCATATCATGGGCTAGTAAATCGATCTTT